TATCCTCCACAGTGACTGTGTGGTGCCCGATATCGAGGCAATATGTCAGTGGGCCTTCCTTTTCTGAAGAGAATGGGATTGCGGCCATAGTTACCTCTCAACGATACACAGACATGATAACAAACTTTTTTGGCTAAATTTGCAAAAACTGAACCTCCGGCAAAACGTCTGGTTTCAGCAAGAGGAGCCCACCGTCCACACTGCCAAAGTGCCAAGGCGTAAATGACCCTGCCGCAAAACTTGTTTCCGGGTCGCTAAATTTCCAAATTCGAAGATGTGCCCTGACCTCCTCGCTCCCTCGATCTGAATACTATGATTTTTTAAACAACCGGATGTATGTACGTGTATGGTACCCAAACGTTTTAACAGAATTGAAAGCTGTTAGTCAGAGAGAAGTCGAAATGATTACTGAGGACACATTGACAAGTCTGGAGAAGCTTTCTTGATAGATTGGACGTTTACATCAGAGACGACGAGCATCATTTTTGCTGCATAACATTAGGTACGTAATTACATATCCACCTGAACATGTAATCCTCAATTATAATTAAAAAATGCTTATAAATTGTGTAATTTAATATATTTAATGGAATTAAATTCATGTCTGTTGAAAATTGAATTTGTTATGCTTTTGTTTTAGTGGAAACTGGAAAGGTTCCCGTGGGGCCCCAATCCCCATCCCTTTACATTTACCTCCCTACGTTTTTAGCGCATTTTTGAAAAAAATACGCTATTATATTCGTCATTGCTGGCAGGCCGGCTGTCCGCGTTAGATCTCCACAACTACAATAGCTAGAGAATTCAAATTTTCACTAAAAGCTTTCTGCTATAGTGTAGATGTGCAGGCACTAGTCTATTTTGAGTTAGATTACTTGTGAGATCGATAATTGAAGAAAATAATTTCGATATGGGTTTCGGAGGTGCTATAATTTTACCGTTAGATAGCGCTACCAGTATAAAAACTTATTATTTACTTTGCGATTTGTTTTACAAAATGAAGACGTACCGTCAATTGAAATTAAATAAAATTAATTATTTAACGCAGGCAAAATTACTCGTGAGATCGATAATTTTAAACTTCGCTAATAAAATACTGACCTGTATTACCAAAAATGCGCTTTAATCATGCATATGCTGATTTACAACTTGTTTAGACTCGTTTTGATTATTCATGGACTCATCATATAAGAAATAAAGGAAAGGCCTTTCCTTTATTTCTTATATCATCAGTCTATGAATAATCAAAACGAGTCTAAAAAGCGCATTTTTGTATGGCATGGGAAACGCTGGATTAAATATGTTAGTGTATAGATATCGTAGTTACGTAAAGAAATAAACTTTTTTTGAAGCTGGAAGGTTTCCTTTACGGTTAGGTATAAAATTGAAAAAAAAGTCCTGGCTACATAATCATGCCAATAAAAATTTTAAGTTTTCCGCCGGTACCTTGTGTAAACATTGTGACCAATTTTTATTAATAAACAAATTACGTCGACAGCTGTTGGAAAAGTTCCTTGAGAAAACAATTTAAACGCATCAAAACCCCGACAAGAATCCTTCGACCGACCTTGTCTTTGCATGATTACCATTAATTTTTATGGTAACATGAGTTTAATACCAAAAAAAACTTGACTGACAAGCTTTCAAAGTAGCAATTAACATCCAACAGACTTGCCATTTAATTACAGAATGTTGCATTGCACTACTTTTTATCTCAATCGTCTATTACAAATGAAAATGAAAGGGTCCGTAAGCCTGCCGATTCTTTTTAGCTAAAAGGGAAAGTAAAAAATAAGGCCGCCCACCATATTTATTGCCTCCAACTTTAAAGGTCAATTTTTAATGCACAAACAAAGCTGTTTTACAAGTTTCACTTTTCAGAAAGGTGGACGGTAGGTAAACGTTAAAAAATTCGGTATTTCTAATGCAATCGATTTGTCCAAGTATAATTTGGATGCGCATATTTTTAAATGTTATTGTGAAATGTGAAAGTATTAGGTACCCATTATTTAATTAATAGTACTTTTTCGTAACTGCTGTTATCCTAAAACGATTATGTCACAAATGTTTATTTTCGGAAAGGATACTAACTACCGTTAAATTGATTAATTGCTCAGTTTAAAACACATTCTGCCGAGTACTAAATAGGGGTTGATTTTTGAAAATCGTTTGTCTAAAAAAATCATTTTCATCGACTTTTATCAAACAAATTTGCGAAGGGTGGTTTATTTTAGAAAATTTGTACACCTCCTTCGACCTACTTCCGATTATGATAATAATTCGTTAGTAATTCTGGTAATTCTCAAGGAACTTTACCTAAATGTAATTTTAGTAATTCGATAAAATCTGGTAATGCAAATGGTAATTTTAGTACTTCGGGGTTTTAATAACCTAAATCGTATCTTTTCACTGCCATAACAGCTCTTATACAGGGTGTAACAAAGGAATATGTAACAAAAACTTTGTGGCAGGAGGGATCAAACACCAAAGTCAGTGTTTTTTCATTCATTTCTTTCTTAGCAACCACAACCACGATTTTTATCCAAAACCGCCAAATAAGGGTCACTATACGTTCAATTTTGTGGCCCTGCGTCATTGATTTGTCAATCGAAAAGACATACGCGAAAACACTGTAACAACTATCAAGTGTGCGAAATCGTTAAAAAAAACCTGTCTCAAATTGATTCACAAATCAATGACGCAGGCTACAGACTCCATCGATTTGTTTCATGTACGTCATGAATTAATATTGTCACATTAACAGTTATCGCCCATTTCGTAAAACAAACCAGGTTTTAATACTAATAACTTGCTCATTGCAAGGTTTTGAATAAAAAAAACACTTGATACATAAATATTTTTTTTTTATTTAAAAAAAACAAATAAATATAATCCTCTGAATATGTTGTCCCCTGAAATTAAGAGATTCGCGAAATAGCTATAGAAGTATTATGCAATATGGGGTACCTTTCCACTTTGTTACGTAATTATTTCAATTGGGCCGCATTGTTTAACAATGCACCTCATTTAATTTGTAATTTACATTAACATTGTTTTTCAAAGTTTTACTTAATTTTGTGTCCCCGTGGTTCACCAGTCCGTTTTCAATTTCAAACATAATGTCAATTAAAATTAAAATTATTCAATTTCATGCAAAATGAGGCAACTTCGACGCCTTCGGTTTGACTTTTACCACCTCAATCTTAACGATTTTATGTAATTCTTACCTACTGGTGTACCCACCAAATTAATCAATTTCTCTCCTACAAAAACCTATAATTCTTTAACAATTTGAATAAGATAAGTTAGCATGTAGTAGGTACAATACACGACAATAAATTAGCATACGGCCCATCTTTTAAATAAAGTTGCAGAATTTCCCCTGATTTAGTGCCAAGATTTTTGAAAAAGTGTATATTATTTAGCCGATTGGTTTAACCGAATTGGTAGACTTTGCCATAGTTCCAATTATATCGACTTAATAATTGTTTCTACGACGATGAATACATCAAATTAATTTCCCCTTTCAAAGTTTCTTGTAGCTCTACAAATAGCGAATTTATGGCCAAAAACCGAAAAATGTCATTTTATTTTCAAAGATATCAAAAAATTATTTCTCGAATTATTTTAACAAAGTCTTAATAATTTTGCTCAGCTTACTGGTAGTGGGACTTGTGGGTTTCGACTTTTCGAGTCACATCACATCAACTGTCTGATTTCTTATAGACGCCATAGTGGATTTTTACGTCACTCACTTTTATCTTGAAGTTTATAATATTTCTTATGGCAATCTATCATGCCACGGCTGTGTTGCTGGTGACTATGCGAAACAATAAACTAAAAATATTAAATAATTTCCAGTAAGCTATGGAATTATTGCCATAAGAAAAAACATTCAAATCAAATACCTAATCAAGGTTGGTTCAGAAACGAAATACTAAGTGTTTAGTATCACTGGTTTTGTAATTGTTACCCTATCGAATAAAAATCCAATATGGCGCTCATAAAAAATAAATGATTTACCTACTCGACACCCACAAGCCATAACAATTTTATCTCGAATTTTATTTTAGCGCCATCAGAAAGTTGAGAAAAATTCTCTAAGGGTTTGTTCATGTTATTTTTGTAATATCATTCATTCTTAAAAATGACAATTTTTAGTTTTCTATAACTTCGCTATCTGTAGAGCTATAAGAAACTGTGAAATGGAAAACCAATCAGCATACAATTCTGCATAACTTTACCCAATAAGCGACTTTGTATCTTTTACGATTTACGAGATCCCCATAGTGAAAATGAAAAAAAAAACTCACCCTGTAACTACTCTATAGTCTCGGTGAACAGTATAACAATCTTTCTTATTTTAAGTTATTAAACTGGGAACAGCGGCTTTCTCCGTCTTGGTAGGAACTAGGGATCTGTTCGCTCAAAGTTATTCAAGCATTCATTAGATTAGATGCATCGATCTCTCGTATCAAGAGAGAGTTCCGGGGAAGAATGTTTTTTTTAAATTGAAAAACCACATAATATGTACGTTTTTGAGGGTTGAAGATATTGAAATTGACACGCAAGGTTCTAGTAGGAGATCGTAATATATAAAAAAGGCGACACCGACGGACAGAAAGATGGGAACATTGTGAACATCGAACCGTGTGGAGAAGAAGATTTATGTAAGACAACATTCGCAGAGGTATGTAACTTTTGGGCGCCTGACCTTAACGCGCGCCTTGCAAAAGGTGGTTCCGAGGACACCAGTTTGACAACAATCGGAGCCAAACTGTAGAAGAAGATAGGAAAAAACTGAAAAATCACCGTGTTAGTAAACTAGGCTCGGGGATGGCGCCCGGATGTCGCTAACTCCACATCATGTAACCCCGTCCCTAAAGTTTAGCTTCGTGCGGAGCTTACAGATGTAAATTTATATGTACGTAAAAGATAGTGTAGGTATATGAATACGAGAGATGGCAGTGAAATGTAATTTAGTTTTAATTGTTGATACTTACTTGGCGGTGTTGACGACAACGTGGCGGCGTCGATGGAAACTCGAATCTAAAAATTAAAATAATATTACAGATAAGTATATAGTGTAGTAACAACATTGAATAAAGAATCTGATTTATTATTCAATGGTAGTATGTACTAGTAGGTATAATAGTTTAGAAAAAAACTTTAATGCAAATATAAACAACAAATGCCTTCGGCAACCTCTTTTCTATGTAGGTACCACATTTTTAAGAAAAAATCGCATGTGTGTTATCTACCCAGCAGATGTGATATTATCTAAACTTTAAAGTTTAGATATGATCTCACTTTCCTGGAGGAATAGAATAGTACCTACATTTTAATTATTTTATAGCAGATAGTAAATTGAAATTGTAATAGGTTTGAGTAAATCTCTCTTTAACCGTAAGGGTAGATAAAGTGAAACAGATGTATTTTAATGACATCTGTCATTCTTATTTCAAATAGGACGCGGCGAACGAAATGAAATGGAGTTCAGAACAGAATACAATGCTGTTTCTATCGAAACGACCTCAACGGCAGACCCTATAAGCTTGCTATTTTTGACATCTAAATTAAATTCAGAATTGTCAGAAGCTTTACAATGATTTATATGGCTTCTGCTATAAAATAAAGTTTTGTATGTACATGACGATAAAGGGAACCTAACCATCTCGTCTTTCACTCACTGGTTAAAATATCCCGGTTATCGTCTTATATATAAACAACTATTACAATTGAAGTGTAGGGCATAACGTAAGAATTACTTATTTTAGAGTACATAGCAATGCAAACTATATAGGAATGTACGACTTGAAACCCTTCAAAACTTTTGTAACACTAAATGAATTTCATCCAATATAATCGAAAACTTGATTTCAACTTACCAAAGAAACGAGCAACAGGACCACAATAACCGGGTAGTGTCCACTATCCATTGTATTCCTGAAACAAGATCGAACGATTATTTTAGTGAATTACTATTCACTTAATAACAAATTGTTTTATTTCCAATTTTTAAATTACCGCAGTTAACCAAGAGCTGTCCGACCCTTAATATTTTGGAGTTCCCTCAGTATCATAAGAAACCACCGTGAAAAAATGTGCCATTACCTACCAAGTTTTGGGCAAGTGAAGAAATCTTGACTCAAAATAAAATATACCCTTTATACCCAGAGAAAATGGTCTGATGCTTCAAAAAATATATAGTTTAGCAGTAATTGTCAAATTCTAACAAGGGGGTGAAGACCTCGCCCTAATGAATACAAGGTAGGATGGAGTGGAGGAGACTCGGGTAAGAGGCACCACCAACGACAGTTTTTTTATCAAGTTGCAGCCAAATGTTGTTTGCCGCACAGTTCTCATTCTCAACGAAAAGGTATATTCTCCAAAGTGAGTATGGATTTCGTATTTATTTGGATTGGAAATGTCAGAACATCCCCCATGATTACGTATGTCCATCCAAATTCATAAAATAGGTCTTTATACTAAAGTTGACAACAATTTATAAGTAACTGAATTTGTTGCAGCTACTATATATTACTATAAACATTAAAAGTGACACTTGAATCTACGCTCACCATTACTAATTTGTTGCTCAAAGTGGACAACAATTTCTGCATACCCACATTTGCACTTTTATTTTACAGCAACAAGTTAACAACAAATTTGCACTTGAAATTTGTTATTTTCTTGTACTGAACAGATTCCATTTGACGTAATTACTAGAAACTTTATTAGGAATCTTAGGGAGCATTTTCGAAATGTTTATAGAACTTGTAACCGCATTGTTCATGAAAAATACAGCTCATACCTGTGTGACCTGTGTCCGTCTGTACGTTTAAGTGTCTCAGAACAGCATTGAAGTTAAGTAGAAGGTTGCGTTTGTAATTTCAGGGGTTATAGCATACATGGCGGGTAAAAAATTGATGAAAAGATCTTCATATTTGCGCAAACCTATTCTGACCTTCTACGTTTGCACAAGAAAAAGTAATTGTTTACAGCATGCAAAATTTCAAAAGATGAATACCTCGAAATGGATGTAGAAGGGGCGCATCCATCGGTAGATGAAAACTTCAAATGTGGATATCTCGCAACCAAATGTCGCAAGAGGGTAGGTACTCACAAGGGAGTATCGGAAGAGGGTGCTCCGAGGGGTTCTCACTAAGGGAAAACATCCAAGGATCCATGGGTGTGCAAAAGAATGTTTTAGGCGATAAAATGATCGATTTATTTATTTGTAAAGATACTTCAGATAAAAAATAACTGCAGATACTACCAATAAACGCAAATCTTGACGCCATTTTAACGCATTTTCTATAAGGAACATGAACGATACTATACCGTCCACACTTTGTCTGACAGTAGGTACTGTCTGTCTGTACCACTACTAGTCCTCCAGTTTAAGCTTTTTCGTTGTGATTTCTTTCTTATATTAATAATAATAATAATGTAAATACTCTATGATAGTGCTGAGACTATATCAGATTCGTCAAGTAGCGTAGATAAAACGAACACTAAAGAAACAAAACAAAAACATGTACTACAAAAGAAAAAAGTAGTAATACCTATGTTGATGGTATTAAATTGAATAAGAACTGCTATTAAACATCAATATGAACAACGTTTTTTATTGTATCGGTTTCTAATGACAAACTCTAAAATTATTTATATAGCAACAAACTACTACCTTAGATCAAACATAAATGAATTATTTAGTTTAAAGATTTTAGTACAACACTTCCCCTCAAACTTTAAACTTTCATTTATGTTACAATGAAAACATCCCCAATTTTTCTCTAAGATGTTGAAATTGAATTTTTGGAATTAGCTTAGTTAAAATATCCGCAACTTGATCTTCACTTGCAACATGCACTATGTTCATCTCCTTATTTTGAACTCGTTCCCGTACAAAATGCGCCCGCACATCAATATGTTTCGATCTCTTGTGGAAACTTGGGTTTCGAGCGAGTTTTATTGCGCGTATGCTATCTACACGAAGCGTTGGTACTTTTTCTAATGGTGCAATTTCCCCAAAAAGACGATTTAACCATACAATGTCTTTAGCTGCTTCGCTGGCAGCCACATATTCCGCCTCTGTGGTAGATAAGGAAACACTTTTCTGCTTCCTGCTTGCCCAGACGATAGCACCTCCACAAAATTTAAAAACCAGACCGCTGACAGACAGTCTTGTATGAGGGTCACTTGCAAAATCTGCGTCGCTGTATGACTCTAATTCGTTAACTTGAGTGTCAACTTCTTTGTAATAAATTCCCATTTCAGCTGTGCCCTTCAAGTATTTAATGATCCTTTTTACCATTGTCCAGTGCTGTTCCCTTGGTTCTTCCAGAAACTGTGAAACATAATTTACAACAAACGTGATATCAGGACGAGTAGATACTGCTAAATACATTAAGCACCCTACTGCTTCTCGATAAGGGGCTTTTGTCAATTCAAATTTCATTTCTTCCCCTGTTAATTGACATCTTTCAATTGGCGTACTAACTGAATTTGCTTCTGTCATTTTAAATTTTTCAATTAGGTATGTCATCAACATACCGTTTTTGATTAATGAAAATTGTTCCATCGTTATGTTGATTAATTTGAATATTGAGAAAACATCCGACTGGCTCCGCTGTCATTTTGAATTCTTCTTCGAGTTTTCCAATGAATTTATTAATAGATTCTTTTGTTGTGGCAACAACCAATCCATCGTCCACATAAATAACGACTATCAGTTTTTCATTTTTGGAAATACGGTAAAATAAACATGAGTCAGCTGTACTCTCCTGTAAACCAAATGAAATTAAAACCTCCTTGAACCGTTCGTTCCAGCATCTTGGGGATTGTTTTAAACCATAAAGACTCCTCTGCAATTTACAAACACGCTGACTTCCATCTTCATAACCTTCAGGTTGATCCATGTAAATTTCTTCATCAATTTTTCCATATAAAAAATGCAGTCTTGACGTCAAATTGAGCAATCTTCAATTTTTCTTTCGCTGCAATACTCAAAACTATCCGAATTGAATCAAGTCGTGCCACAGGACTAAATGTCTCATTATAATCAATACCTTCTCGCTGACTAAATCCTCTGACAACTAAACGTGCCTTAAACCGCGAAACATTCCCGTAAGAATCCCGTTTCACACGATATACTCAGCGATTAGAAATAGTTTTTCGCTTTTCCGGCAGTTCAACAATTTTCCACGTCGAATTTTCTTTCAATGATGCCATTTCTTCGTTCATGGCGGTAACCCAATTCTGCTTTTCTGCCGATTTTATGGCCTCGTTATAACTTTTTGGTTCAACAACTTCCGAAATCATTGCATATAACAATCTGTTTGGTGCTTTGAGATCGTTCCGATTTCTGAGATGTCGTTTTTCCAAGATTTCTTCCGATGCTTTACCCTCCAATTCCTTTTCTTGAGTTGGTGTGCTCGTCTCTTGATCGACAAAATCTTCTTCATGATCTTGCAAATTCCCTTGATCGATGAAATCTTCTCCTGGAAATGTTTCGGGACCTTGACTATCTGCGCTTCTTGTCTTCTCCGGAAATAATGCCAATAATTTTTCAGACTGTTCTGGTTCAAAAACAACGCATTTACTGCGAACGATGCGATTTTCCGATTTATACCAAATACGAAAACCGTCAATGTTGTCAGAATATCCGACAAAAATTCCTCGTTTGCCTTTTGGGTCCCATTTATTTTTCTTTTCTTTCGGTACGTGCACGAAACAATCTGTGCCAAAAACATAGAAACGATTTAAATTCACCTTCTTCCCCGTGAAAAGTTCGTAAGGAGATTTGTTTTCAACTCCACTTGGTCCACTGCGATTCAAAATGTAAACAGCAGTATTGACCGCTTCCGCCCACAAATATTTTTGGCAATTTTTTAGCCAAAAGCATTGTTCGAGCCAAATCAACCACTGTTCTGTTTGTTCGTTCAGCGCATCCATTTTGTTCATGCGTATAAGGATTTGACACCGCCAAATTCACCCCGTCCAACTTCAATATTTTTCGAACCTCGCTGTTGTCGAATTCTTTTCCTCCATCACACTGCAGGGTTTTCATCGATCTACCAAGTTGAGTTTTTATGATTTGTAACACCTCTACAATTTTTCCAGCAGTTTCTGATTTTTCCTTGAGGAAATAAACAAATCGCATTCTTGAATAATCACAAGTAAAACACGCAAAATATTTAGCACCACCCAACGAAGTGCATTCCATTGGTCCGCACAAATCAACATGTAGAACTGTTCCAGTCGTCGTAGCACGCTGATTTCGTGATTCAAAAGTACTCCGGTGTTGTTTTCCTTCCACGCAAGCTCCGCAAAATGTTTCGTCCTCGATGAAGTCGATTTTCTGTTTTTCAAAATTTTCTTGACATGTTGTTTGTTCTGATGTCCAAATTTTTCATGCCAATTTTGAAGTGTAATTTTCGTCGTTAGATTGGCCTCATTTACATAATCTTTCGGAAATGTTATTTGAATTACCATCCTGAATAATTGACCCATTCGAACTCCGTATGCTTTTACAACTCCATCCCGAGTGAATTCACATCTTTCGCTGGAAGATCTGAACTTCATGCCCTTGTCCAACGCAGCCGTGACCGAAAAAAGATTTCTTCGTGCCCCTGGCACAAAAAGAACATTTTCCATGTGACATTCTATTTTCTTTCTGTCGACATAAGCCTGAAATTTTATACTTCCTTTTCCGAGAGCGTCCATTGTTGATTTGTCGCCGACATAAATTTTTAAGGGAACTGCAAACTGCTCATAAGACAAAAACCACTCACGATGACGAGTTATGTGATCTGTAGCTCCGGAATCAACAATCCAAACATCGCCATCTTCCGCGCTGAGAGCCTCAGCCTCGTCTTTCGATTTTTCTTCACTGTCTTCTTTTCCCTTTTTGCAATTTTTCCGGATATGCCCCACACGTCCGCACCGGTAGCATTTAATTTTATTAAAATTATTGCCACCATTATTGGCATATTTCTTTTTTATGTAGGCCTTACTAGAAAAAAGTGCGACTAACTCTTCCTGTTTTCCTGTTTTCTGCTGCCGACGTTTTTCTTCCGATGTCAACACTTCAACCAAATTCGCAAATGTTTGCTGTTGTTCAGATCTCGCCCACCAAGCTTGTTGAAGGCCCTCGTAGTCATCTGCGAGAGAATCGAGCATCTTTACTACGAGTGAAGACTCGTCCGGTTTCACATTCAGCTGCTGCATGCGCAGAACCAGCTCCTCATAACGAGCAATGTGAGTCACCATATTATCAGCAGGATTTTTACTAAAATTGAAAAATTCAGTTTGAACAGTATGCGCAGCTTGTTTGGTTCGTTGCTCAAAAATAGAATGCAATTTGAGCCAAATTTCCCGTGCCGTTTCACATGAAACCAACAACGCCATAACCTTTGATTCTAGAGATTTAATAATTATCTGACTTGCTGCACGATCTCCCCTGTCCCAAGCCTTGAATTTTGCATCGTATTCTGCCTGATTAAAGTCCTTATCTTCAATAGCTAATTGCACTGGCTTCAGTATTTCCCCAATGCAAACTTCATACGCGTCCACTTTTCCTCGTAATAAATTTCTTATAGCAAATTTCCAAATACTCCAATTTTCAATACCCCGTAGTTTTTCTATTCCTTGAATTTCCATTTTTCGTGTCGTCTCTTGTCAAAAAAAAAAAATTGATTCCGATTTTATCGATCCGCTGCGCTATCTATTCCACGCTAGCAACCAAGATTTTCTTTGAATGACGTCCCAACGAATATTTAGAAAGAACCACGCTCTGCTACCATGTTGATGGTATTAAATTGAATAAGAACTGCTATTAAACATCAATATGAACAACGTTTTTTATTGTATCGGTTTCTAATGACAAACTCTAAAATTATTTATATAGCAACAAACTACTACCTTAGATCAAACATAAATGAATTATTTAGTTTAAAGATTTTAGTACAACAACCTAGTTACAGATGCCACTCCGCATTTAAAAATTCATCGACAGAATAAAAAGGGTGTAATTTAAGGTATTTACTTACCTCATTTTTTAATTTATTGAAAGATAAAAGACGCGATTTGAGGGTAACTTATTATAACATTTTATCCCGTAATAGTTACTACAGTTCCGAGATGTTGTAAGTCGAATAGATTTTGAGCTAATATTGTCTCTACACCTAGTGGAGTATTCATGTATGTTATATGAAAACTGGTAGTACGGTGTAGCACAGCCCCGAGACCAGAACGACAAAAGATTCTTTGGATTAACCACATCTATCTAGTTATAACTTTTTACGCCTATGTAGGTATGTCTAAAAGATGCTGCCTACTATATGACTTAAAAATTCATGAGACGTTTAATATGCCATTGCTAAAATACGTGCCGAGTTTCACGTATGGAAAACGAAACGAAAAACTCTTCAGTCCATGTTTTAAATAGAAAATAGGTACGTGTTGACAAAGTAGGTACAACTACCTGTTTGTTAAAACATTTACATGATACCTACTCCAAAATGATGTAATGAAGTTCGAAGATGTAGATAACTGCAGAGCATATCCTTATGGACCGACATGCATGATGTTATTATAATCAAAGGTAGAGTCGATATTTCTTAGCAAATGCTATTGGGAAAACTGAATTTGCGATCTTCAACTTTTTTTATGAATAGGTATTCTTATAATCGTGAAGGGGTGGGTAAGGAAAAATCAAATACAGCTTTGGTGATTTCCCCTCTAATGAAGTGTAAAGTAGCATTGCAATTTTCCTACACGCAACAGTCTCCTTGAAAACTGTATAATTTCACAATTAAAATTTTTTCTCCTTCACTTTTAAATAATTTTTAGCTGGGCGGAATACCGCACATGCGTTAGCATACTCAAATAAATCCAAAAGTACCTACCTACCTTTTAAAAAAAACACTTATACACAATATCACAGAAAATAATAAAACCTAATCAGTCTTCAAATGACAAAAAAAATTCCCAAATTGCCTTTTTCGGTCATTTATAAAACACGCTCACCAATGAAACTAAGAAATTTTATTTTGCACTATCGTTTTATTATTTTTAGAAACATATTGCGTTTGGTTACTACCCGTTATTTGTACGTACCATACGACCACCGTCTTGCGTTCTAACTGATCGTTGAAATTTTTTATGCCAAACTCGGTAGAAAGCAAAAGCAAGGATTTCAGGTGTTATTGGTACCTGTAATAATCGGAATTTATCGTTGAAGTTCGTGGTGATGTCATTTGTCGTTCATTACGTCATATGCAGTAGGTAATGAAATAAATACGGATCCATATAGAATTTCAATTAATTTATCAGGTTTCTGTAGATGCATTTTACATTTTCCTAGCTATTCTTACTTTTCACCTTCAGCAGGGAAATAGGGAGATATTATAATGTTCTGGACCAGGATAGGATAACGCGCATCTCCCTGTACAGCCTTTTAGATTTTCAAGTGGGATTGATGTCTCCTGAGCGCATAGGCAACTATATCACTAGATCAGATTATCAGAAGAAGAATCATCATAGACAAGGATCGTTGAGTGAAAGAATCGATTCTTTCACTCAACGCAAGGATTCATTTGAAAATTTAAATAAAATCTCAATATCTTACTTGCGAAACATCTCCGAAAAAATCATATTACCGCTTCTTGTGCCTAGTTAGTTGTGAAAACAAAATTAGTCCCCATTTGTGTTTTTTTGAAAGTCCCCGTTTCGCTAACTGAGCGAAGGTCGGATTTTTGCGTTTCACAAGAATTTCCTGTATTTTTCCCGTTAATTAGTTGTGGAAAAAGAAAATGTTGTCGCTTTAAGATTTTTAGCGCATTTTTGAAAAAAATACGCTATTATATTCGTCATTGCTGGCAGGCCGGCTGTCCGCGTTAGATCTCCACAACTACAATAGCTAGAGACTTCAAATGTTCACTAAAAGCTTTCTGCTATAGTGTAGATGTGCAGGCACTAGTCTATTTTGAGTTAGATTACTTGTGAGATCGATAATTGAAGAAAATAATTTCGATATGGGTTTCGGCGGTGCTATAATTTTACCGTTAGGTAGCGCTACCAGTATAAAAACTTATTATTTACTTTGTGATTTGTTTTACAAAATGAAGACGTACCGTCAATTGAAATTAAATAAAATTAATTATTTAACGCAGCCAAAATTACTCGTGAGATCGATAATTTTAAACTTCGCTAATAAAATACTGACTTGCATTACCAAAAATGCGCTTTAATCAAACATATGCTGATTTACAACTTGTTTAAGTTCTTCTTCTCGGAGTCTCCTAGGATTCGTTAGTCCTCCGCCCTTTCCTATCCCGCGCTAATATAACTGTCCTTGCCTACGTCATTCGGTCTGTACCTTTCTTTCATAGCCTAAAGGTCTGTTGTACCTACGCCTCTGATGTCCTACCCCTCTCTTTCTCACTGACATTACCTTCTATATGTGTACTAAACCTCCGTGTCCATGCACGCGCCCTATCATTCTATCATTGAGTAATTTTCACTCAATTCTATCTCGCCTTCTCTCTACGGTTTTCACATTTCCTATATTCCTCTACACTAAGGCTGCTTCGTTTGTTACCCTATCCATCCAGCTACTCCTCATTATTCTTCTATATAGCAGCATATGTCGAATGCTTTTATCCTACTTTTGTTTTCCATCGTAATGGTTTCGCATCGGTATAGATCTATTAATACTCCATATATGTAATTTTTAGCAGCCTTTTCCTTATTCCTATATTTATCCCGGAACTTAGCAAGTCCCGCTTTTGCTCAAATGCTTTTTTTATCCTAGATTTTACACCTTCCTTACTACCACAGATGTAAATAGTATAATTCAATGGCAGTATATTTACATCTGTGGTACTACGATCATCTTATTGTGTATAATCATATTAACAGAAATAAACTTATTTTTATTATTACTTACAATAAAACTGGCATCCACTTCCGCATGGTGTATAATGGTCCAAGTACACAACAAATTTGGTTGAATTCTCTTCATTTTAGTTGTCCGGCCAAGAATTGCCGAATTTTCGAAAACTACTTTCAGGTTTGTTATTTTCATGTTCAAAAACCCGATGTTTTGGTCTCCTCTACCACCAAATTTTTTACATACTTATGGATAACACCCTGATGTATTTAGTTCGTTCTTTTTTAGTGGCATCCGAGCCGAAAAAATTATTGACGATCAATGTGCGCATGCACAATGCCAACTTTCTTATTTATGGAGACATTTCTTTGAAATGATTCTATAGCGCGTTTACACCTACAGATGCAGTATGGTGCTTATGGAGATACAGATACAGTACATGCTTAACAATGACGGCACAAGCTTGGAGAAGCAGGAACAGGAGGTAACATGAAAGCGCTTAAATGAGACATGATATAGCGTAGCCGGTACAACTGAATATCGAGGTAAACGCTGCACTTTGTGACAAAAGCATGAAACTCGGTACACATGTTTATTAGGTCCAAATAAAACTTTTGACCCGCAGCACCCACCGAAATTTTCGTGTGGGTTCAAAATTTGAACACTTTTGTTCAAAAGGGTGTTCAAGATTTTAAACCTGTAAAAATTGACGACTTTCGGCATTCTAGGGGTCGTTTTTGAATGATTTAGGGTCGCTGGTGCTAATGGAAGCATTAAAAAAGTTGCATATCTGACCCTTAGGCCCAAAATTTGGAGTATTTTCAAAATAACGGTTAAATTTTGAATTTGATAGTTTTAACCCTGCGTGAAATATTATATTGAAGTTAAAACAGTTTTTGGTGTGTAAATAGGCCGTTAATCGTTCAATAATTTATTCAAAATTTGGAAAATCGAGCTAGTTCCGGCCGATTCGTGCCCCTGGAAATGAGGATATTGCAACGATTCCGTGAAACGCGATCGATCGCGACGCAGTGCCTGGGCGTGCCTTGAAGTCGCCGAGGCAGCCCCCAAAATCCATCAGACAGCGGCCGATACGATTAGGCCGCGAGTCACAGGCGTTTTAGGCCCTGCGCGTCGTTGTAGGAAATCTGGGCGCATATTGAGAGACCGTTACCACCATGACCTGACCAGTCGGGAGCTGGTTCTGGCGGGGCCAGTCTCACTGGTCAGCGGTGCGCTGATGGTGATGGCCGCCGTCTGATGGATTTTGGGGGCTGCCTCGGCGACTTCTGGGAACACCTAGGCACTGCGTCGCGATCGATGGCGTTTCACGGTATCGTTGCGATATCCTCACTTCAAAGAAAGTGCGTCGCCAGAGGGGGCAGGGAAGGGAAGCTGCGTCCGTCTAGAGATTAAAAAAAGTAGCAAAATGCAAAGCAACCAAAGTGTCTTGGTTTTCTTGACCGATAATTCCTTATTACAATTATTGTGGTTGTAGAGGTAAGACGGTATAACAGTAAAAGTTTATGTGCTCTGCACTATACCTACAATTAATAATTTTTTATCCTTCATATGCCAACTTGCCCATCTCTGGGCCATCAGCTGGCGACACTCTTGCTTCAAGGGGCACGAGTCGGACGGAACTAGCTCGCTGCGAGATGTTACTTGTCATGGAGTGAGCTCAAGACTGACTGGAAGTACAGATTTCCCAACAAACGATGACGGGAGGGCAATAATGGAAGCATAGGCGACATATCCCGTCAGAGAACACGTCCACTTCAGAATCTTAATGAACTGCCCTTTCTTTCGTCTTTCTTTGTCATTGAATAGTTGTTGCAATCCGGGGCAACAAGGGTATGACTGCGCCGAACATTCCCTTTTAATAGGTAAAATAGTATGAAAAGGGCCTAACTATGAGTCGCATCTGTTTTCTGAATACAAAATTAGCATCAGCAACCACAAATTATATGGAAGCGACACCAAGAACGGCAAAATCCTTCAAGTATGGATTTTCCAAATTTTGAATAAATTATTGAACGATTAACGGCCTATTTACACACCAAAAACTGTTTTAACTTCAATATATGTAATATTTCTAGGTAGTAGTGCACGTCCAAATTAGCTGGAATCGACATCCGAAACATCACGCAGGGTTAAAACTATCAAATTCAAAATTTAACCGTTATTTTGAAAATACTCCAGATTTGGGGCCTAAGGGTCAGATATGCAACTTTTTTAATGCCTCCATTAGCACCAGCGACCCTAAATCATTCAAAAACGACCACTAGAATGCCGAAATTCGTCAATTTTTACAGGTTTAAAATCTTGAACACCCTTTTGAACAAAAGTGTTCAAATTTTGAACCCACACGAAAATTGCGATGGGTGCTGCGGGCCAAAAGTTTTATTTGGACCTAATGAACACGTGTACCGAGTTTCATGCTTTTGTCACAAAATGCAGCGAAAAAATTTGTACCGCCTACGCTAATAGAAATGTGAGGGACAACTGGAATAGGAAAGGTAAGGGGGCGGCCAAAGTAAGGTAAAGAAAGAATGAGTAAAGCTTGAAGAATGGGCCAATAAAAGAGAGATGTAAAGCAATTGAAAACAGTGGGGGCGGGATAAACATCTGAAGTAAGAGTAAGGAAGGCCTAGACGCGTGTTGAAGACACGGAACAAGCAGTTATGAGAGAGTAGGTATGGAGTAGAGACTGATGATGATGAAGGCTTGAAGAATACCACAGAAAATGACAAACGCGAAATTGGATTGAAGAGGGGGAGACAATTTAGTGGCTTATTGTTAATTCTTAATTAGTGGATCTTGCAATGAACATTTAATTTCTTGCTTTGTATTACTGTATACTTTTCCTCTCTTATCTCTGCTTCATTCAACACTACTTTCAGTTTGAGACTACATACTCACACTATTAGGGGTCATAGTAATCGAAGCAAAATGTTACTGTTAGTACTAGGAATGAAACTCAGGAATTCTTCACTTACACAAAATAGAGAATGTTTTTTTTATTTAAACTTAATACATTTTTTCCGCTTTTATCCCATTTAACGTACCATTGGAAACTCCTGAGGCTACTGTACAATGAGCTCCCTTAGGTCGAAGAGGAGCTAATTTTGGTATGATAGGCTTGGGTGCGTTCGGAATTTTAAGCAATACTCCAGCAGTAATAGGTTGAAGCGCGACTAATTGTGTAAGTTGTGATGACTGATTCGATTGAACAGGAACTAACACGGTGGGGACAGAGTGTTGAGCCTTTTTTCTTCTCAGTTTTTCCACTTCTTCCACTGAAAATAAGATGTTATTTTACACCAAGAATTTATAAACATACGTACTATAGTAACATGTCTAAATTACAAGCATATAGTAAAAGTAAAAGAGAAATAAATCCCGGGAAAAATTAAACATTTTTGTTGAAAAAACAAAAGGGAGGTGTCTATAGCGCGTTTGCACCTCCAGATGCAGTATAGTGCATATTATTTTTATTAAAAAACGTGATAATGACAGCACAAAGAGATTATTGTTGCTGTGTTTTGATGTCAGAGTGGCATCATTGCGGTGAGGAACAAGGATAGCATTATCGAAAAATGCCGCAAATTACTAATAGCTGCCTATAGTCCATATAAGAGCCCCTACTGCATCCGGAGGTGTGAAAGCAGTATAATAGTAAAAGATTCTAACTTGGAGAAAATAGTACCTATAGGCTATATACAGCTTATGGGTTTAGGGTTGTGGTCAAGTTGGAATAGTGTTGCCATCCGTCCGGATTTCCCCGGATTTATCCTAGTTTAGGGGGCGTCCGGGCGGGTTTTCAATGGTAGTCCGGGTTTTGAGGTACTGAGTGGGTGAATTAAAAATCTTTCTGCCAAAATTCACTAGTGGCACAACAGTGGACAAAATAAAGGAATTTATTGAATATTGAAACAGTCCTTTGGAGTTCTTTTAAGAAGCGAAAGTCAAAGAAAGTAGAAAACACTTTAATGAACACAAGTGAGCAAAAATATGGAAAAAGTAATGACCAAAATGAAACAGATTCAATCAGCGATTTTTGTGTTACTACAACTAACTGTTCATGGCAACGAAAAACAACTCACTACTTTTTCATTACTACCTAATTTTACAATAATTAAAACTAAATCAAGGCGTTAAGGAAAGCAGGCATTTTCAAATATCTCAACACAGTCTCGTCAGTGATAAAAATAAAGTACAATTTCAAAGATTATAATTGTGTAGATTTGTATAAATTTCTTTTAAGTAAGGAAGATATTCTAAACGCTATTGGAAAGACGGAAAATACCGAAAACCCGAAAAGTAAAATTTTTGTTGTTTAAAAAATATTGTTATTAGCTTCTTATATGTTGTATTTTATTTTGTTAAAAAAGTATATTATTGCTTCATTTAAAGAATTTAAAAATATAGATAAGCCGTTGCTGATTCCTAACAGTTAAAGAAGATTTTGTTTCGTGATAGAGTACGCCTTGTTTTATTTAGAAAAATTAATTGTTTGTTTTATTTCTTTGGATTAGAAAATATTTTTTATTCAGTTGATATGTCCGGGTTTATAACCCCTAAATCCGGGGTTTTCACGCTTTCTGTCCTAGTTGGTAGAGTTTTGAGATGGCAACCCTAAGTTGGAACTTGTGGTCACTGTAAAAAGTTACAAAGAGTGAAGATATAATCAGTAAAATCCTAGGTAAAATCCACAGAATATACAATAAAACCGAGAATAAAACTGTCAATGACTAGTGCAGTAGAATGCATAAAAGAACGTGGACATATCTACCAAGAATGAAAAACAAAAGAAAAAATCATAAGAGGCAGAAGATCAAGATCAAATGGAAATGACAAGATCACACAATCCTTGCCGAAGAAAAGGTTAAAGAAAAAAGTAAAAAACCAAGAAAGGTTATGATTAATATTATATGAAGTATGAAACATACTTATTCGTGGGTCCTTCGCTACCGGACAATCTTTATGGTACATCAGCATAGTTTTGAGCCAAACCACTTCCCTTCTTAGTCTTTCATTCTCTTTTGCCAGCTCTTTTGTCTGTGATTTTAATAACGAAACTTCTTCAACTAATGTGTGAAACATCACTTTCTTTTTAGCACGACTACGTACTTGAGCAGCACGATTTAGCTCTCTTTGCTTCTGCAAATGGACCACACGCTTCTTCCCTACTACCTTCTTGGCAGCACCCTCAACTTGTCCAGGTACACGTACAGTTTCATTTGTACTGTTAGTGACCTGTGGAACAATACTTTGCGTAGTGGTACTTTGATGAATCTCACTTTCATCTATCACGAGTATATCATCATTGAGTGAGAATTCGTCATCGCTGTTGGAGTACTTTACCCCTTCCTGGGGAATGTGTGGAAAAATATGTGGGGTATGTAAACTTTCATCTTTCGAAGCCACAGGTGGCAAATGTAAAGAGCCGTGTGTTGCTAAATCTGTTGCTGCCTTCCTGAAGGTTTCCTCAAAAGGGTTAACGTCTTGTAAATCTTGAAATAAACCTACTTCTTCACAATTCCGTATGAATCTTGTCGGAGTTGGGGTTTGGTCATCTGTAAAAATCGGCGCAGTTGACAATTCTCTATTCACAATATCACTGACCTGAATTACTATCGCCACCGATGCCCAACTGCAAACCTAAAGTACGTTTATTGTTGTGATGTTCATTTGTGGATGAAAGTAGTTTGTCACTACATTCATTCATCGCTTATTGCTTTAGTATTTCTGTACACATTCATTTGGTGACAGTGTCGATCACTGCTCCTACAGAAATCATATTTTTCTTACATTTCAGGCAGTGAGCGAGTAATGTATATCACTTGTAGACACTTATTCTAAAAGTGGTGCCTCTCACTTATAAAAACTAAGCCAAATTTATTTTAATTTAACTAACATCAGTGAACATAACCAAAACATGTGATATTGGGCGGCAAAATATCAAATTCGAATGGCTTCCATCATCAATCACAGTAGATCAGTTAAAAAGTTGTATAAGACGATTTTAAAACTCAACCGTGGTTTACCTCCCGAATTGTGTATGTTGGGCAATGAATATGTTCGCGACGAATTTAAAAAACACAAAAAATGCAATCCTGAAGAGGCCAATATATTTATTGACGAATGGACGGTAAGATGGTCAATTGCAGCTTCCCACAGACTTTTAGCTTTCTGTTCTTAGGTTTACGCAATTACCGTTGCTGAGCAATTAGGTTTAAGAGGCCCGAAAACAGCACGAAAATTGGGTATGAACTTGCAGGATGAAGATTTGGATCAATTTCGTTATGAACAAATACAACAATTGTATAATTTAAAAATTGCAGCTACTAAACCTCCTATTAACGATAATCACTAATATTTATAGTGTTATCACAATTATTTTGTTTTTGACCATGTTCTGTTAATATTTAATTTAAATCAAATATACTCTTGAATAGGACAGTATAGGTACCATATCATTGAACTATACTGGAAGGGAAACAAGCATAGATATATGATTAGCATTGTTTAGTTATTAGAGAAGCCAGACGAGTGGTAGTATCTTTATCTCTCTCACACTAGTATAACATTAAATTCGTTGACATAATTTTTGTATTTCACTTAAATTCATACGGTCGTATTTTCTGCTTCTATTAGGAGTGCTAATAAACAAACTCGGTACTAAATGCAGAGACTTGTTACTACAAGTCTGGCTAAATAAGAGTGATTGAAATAGTTATTCCACCATCTCATTCTGTCGCACGGCTTCAACGAAACGCATTTGTCGCCTATACCGGGCAACTTGACCACTGCCGTCTATGAGGTTCAGCAATTAACCCACTGCATCATGAACAGGGGTGGTTTCACTCATAGGCTGAATAGGTGGTTGATGTGGGTCTTGTGTGACTCATTGATCTACACCTTTTCCACTTTTATTCGAGAAGTTGTAAATTGTATTTGAGAATTGTTACTTGTATTTGAGAAAACGTCAAAGTAGATGAGAATAGTCATTTGGATTTGAGAAAACATCAAATGTATTTGAGAATAGTCAATTGTATTTGAGAAATTATCATTTAATTTTATTGTATTTCTAGAATGTAATATTATTCCTAATGAATTATAATTAAGAATCAAATTTTTATAATTCCACTACTGTATGTAGTACCGCAACAGCAGCAGCAGCATCAGGCTATGTTATACATGTGATTTTGTTATTGATTCTCAAATACTTAATTTTACCATTTCTTGAATACAATTTACTACTCTCAAATTCATTTGATGCCTTCTCAAATACAAATCACTATTCTCAAATACAATTGATACTTTCTCAAATTAACTTGATAGTTTCTCGAATAAAAGTGGAAAAGGTGTAGTCTAGTGCCTGTGTTACGTCAGAAGATTGCTTATATGGATTATTCCTTATATGTCAACTTGACGTATGACAGCCCTTCAAGTGAGAATTTGGACTAAATGCAGCACCTCTTGATCGTGTTTGTGCAATGCGAGGTACTGGCAGTTGGATTACCTAAAGTGATGATCACACACTACTGTAGTCACTATTTCACCTACACAAAGGAGGTAGAGACTAACCCAGCTCAAAGGAAGTGACCGGACTATCACCACTGCTTGTTCACTTTTGAGGTATATAGATCAATTAAGTTGTTTCGCCGTTTGGTATAAGGATGCAATGATTATAGGTGACTAAATGTTAGGCAGGAATTACCGTGTATATATAGTAAGAAAGAAAACTGATTCTACTCGGTGTGTCGCGAATGTCTTCCTTTACTAGACAAGCAGCTTAAACCGTGATAGCCATTTTCCTCTACGACTTTTCCATATCAGTTGCATTGGCTGTCCAACATGGTATCAATATTGGCAGAAGAAATACACTTGAGCCAAGCTCCAGATAGCGGACCTTGTACTGCAAGGATTCGTGCTTTATTATTTGTTTTTGTCTGGGAGTTGGATTTAATACACCTATGTGTTTAATCAACATAATGAATTACAGCATTAAATAACTTCATGCCGTTAAGGCTGGACAGTATACCTACCTACTACTCTGTTCCGAAAACGCTTGATTTCATTCCACCAATCGATATCTGACTTCTGAGTGAAGATGCAGAAGGGGTCGAATATTCCTGTCAATGGTGAATGTTTTAGCTAGACAATAACGCTGGGGTTTATTAAAATGTTTTGAAATAATCTTTTTTAAGAGAAACGCGCCTAGATATTAACATTAGGAACTTATAGCACTTTTGGAAATTATTCCCATTTTATTTATACATAAGTTATCTTGGAAAAAAGACAAAGTACGAAAATTAAGTGTTGATGATACACAATACATCAAGCTATTTCCATAATATTTACCTGAAACCGTCAAGAAAATCTGAATTTCAGGGCTATTTTGACATTAGAAGGTTGATCTTTACCTGACTAGTACTGTAATATTTTTGCCTGACTCCCATTACAGTCCTAGTACATGCAAAATATGTTAACTGTGCAAAGTTTGAACCGAACAGGTTCAAGCGTTTGCCAGAGGCAGAGAGGCGTTACCCTACGGGGTCATTGGATTTGACCCATTTTAAATAGGCTTATTACTTGTGGCATATAGGTCAACTGTGCAACGTTTGAACCAAATCGGTTCAAGCGTTTGACAGTGTTATCGTGTTCACGGATAGACGGACACCATCGACTCCCCTATAAAGCTTGCATCGCTTTGCTCTGCCGCTTAATAATTCACATACAGTAATAGCTGTGAAGATATACAATTACATTCCTCACAGTATAAGGTTAATTCCTTCCCTTCATATGTTTAAAAAAACGCGAAGGGCGAAACTTTCCTTTGTTTTTTATTCTTTAAATGAATTCTTCGATGTTTTACAGGAGCGAATGAGTTTATATAATTTAGTATGTATTCATTTTTAACTGTAAATGTATATTTATTTGTTGGATGTAGTGTTCCATCTCTCTTTAATATGAAAGGTGTGGGAAAATGAAGTAAGTACGTAGTAAGACCTTTTTGACACGTTCTTATATTCTATATTATAGCTCGGCCTGAGGATGACCATACTTGGCCGAAATCGATAGCCAAAGAAAACAATAAAAAAACGTGTCAAAAAAGGTCTTACTATGTACTTACTTCATGTATATTTATATTTTCTTGTTTCTTTGCGCTTGTTAATAAAGTTTGTAAATTTTTTGTCACTGTCCCGTTTTTGATAAAGGGTTATTAACTAAAAATCTTACCACCCAATCAGCCATGATGAGTATTGGTATTGTTTAAATAAAGTATTTCAACAATGGTATTGGTTAAAGGTTACCCAAATCCAACAAGTTGTTGGATTACCGAAGTTATGTGTTAAACAAAAGTGAGTTTTAAAAGCTGTCAGCTCTATGTAAAGTGTTTATCGTATTCCAATTGTCCCGACCAGATAATTTGGATATTAATTCGACTAATCTGCGAGTACTTATTGAATTGTTCCTTTTTTTATTTGTCCGTTTTGTAAATGGGTTCAAAAAGGCGTTGTTAGCCTTAACTTTTTCTTACAGGTTTTATTTGTATTTGATTTTTTTATCCGGATATCTTTCTTGTAATTGCTTGTTATTAATCAATTGTGTGTCAGATTTGTGATTCAGGTTTTTTTTGTTTTATTTCCCAAAATTCTTTTAATATGACTGTCATTTCAATTCAAAATTTTAGCGATTTCATTGGAATTTACGGACTTTAATTAAGGCCTTCTTCAAACCTATAAAAGTTTTAAACAAAGTTAAGATTTTTGTTCGTCAGGAACCAGTTGTGCCCTAAAAGGGTTTTTAAAGGGAGAGAAGAAAATAAAAGGCAATTTGTGCCAGCTAGGTGGCATTGTTTGACCGCGTATCATTACATAAAGCATTCATTTTTGACACAGCATCAATTTATGACGCTCGAAACGCGAAACTTAGGTCAAATTTGTTAATTTAAATTCAAATTGGGGAAGTTTTGCCATACGGTAAAATTATTTTGGTACTTTGGTTATTTACAGGAAAGAGAAGTTTGCATTGTGGAGGTTAATGGTTATCGAAATTTGTAAGATGTTTAGGCATAGGAGTCTGCCGAGTTTTGTCTGAAAAAGGTTTGTAGGGTATGTTTTTTCGATCTAGATTTGATTAGAATGTTTAGCATAGGATTAATTCCAGGGCTAGGGTTTAGTTTAGAAAATTATTTGATTGTAGAAGAAACTGCAAATTAAACAGAGATGGATTATGTCGCTGCACTTATGCAGGCCATAACACAAACAGGGAAATGTGCTGCTAGTTCAAGGTGTAACAGGTAGATAATTATATAACTTTATTGCAGCACATACTGCACCTTTTTGCGATCTATCAAGTCTTAAAAGGGGTAAACGATAGTCTTCTTTGCTTATGAAAAAAAAATCTTTTAAAAAAATTCTTTAATATAGCTGTACAAATATGCTCTAAAAATACAATAGCAAGCAAATCACAAGGCACAAATACTGTGATATTTTCTTTTTACTACCATTGCCGTTTCACTATGCTCAACTTTCATAGTAGAAACCGTTACATACTTTACATTCTTTCTTTTGTGTTTCACTTTTAACTTGTTTTTTGGATTCCTTCTTGTTTTGTAGATCATTGTAAACAAATGAAAATACCCAGCTAATAAACTTGCGCAACAGGTGTATGCTGACATTAGGTCCATGAACAAAAGTATTCATAATTTGGTTTAGCCAGTAGACAGTTTTTTCACTCTTGTCATATTTCGACGGCCCGTATCTTTTGCAAAAGGCCGATTTATATTCTTTTAGTAGTAAACTCACAAACCGAATGACAAGATGAACTGCTATAAACAATGGATTTGTATGTATCATAGAAAACTTATCATGGCATATTTGTATCCAGTTAACATTCGGAACAGCTTTAAAGAATGCCACTGTCACATGCAATATTTTTTTTTGAATCACTGGTTGAAAATGCTGTAGAAGGGTTGTAAATATTTCTGCAGTAGATTTGCCATCCATGTATAAGCGGCAACATCGAATACCCAAGGTTATATTGTCTAACGTAAATATTGATTTAAATGTTTCGCCAATTTGAAAAGTAGCGCTTTTCACTTGTGCCACTGTTTGTTTGGGAATTGGTGGTAAATCGGAAAAGAATGACTTTATGTCAGATAATTGTTCCAAATTTGATATATCAATTGACATTCCATTTAAAGTAATCCTCCCATTATTAGCTGCAAATTTAATACCATACTTATTAAACCTTTTATTATTTTGTGTTAAAAAGGCAAATGTTTCATCTTTGGAAGAAATTTTTGATAAAGATGAAATTACTTCAGCTCTTCCTTTCTCTGCATTTCCAGTTTGTCGAATTGTCTCCTTTAAAAGTTTATTGAAAGATTTTCTAAAAAAGAGATGTTAAATTTAATTAAATATATTCATAGTTCTCCATACCTGTGACGGTTACTTCGTAAAGATTCCTTATAATTATTTAGACTACTTGTTTGAGCATCTTCAATAATAACGCTAGCCGTTTTGAAATTTACGACAGCGTTGTGGAAAAATAAGACGGAGGCTGATAATTGCAAAATGGACAGTGCGGACACATTTTTATCTTCCTTCCAGTTATGGACAATTTCATAACCAGAGTTTGCAACGGCAACTGCACTGTTTCCTACATTCAAAGCATTAATGGTATTTAATCCAATTTTGATGTTCTGAAATATGACAATTAAATTACTGGAAGTAGACCAGAATTTCGTTATTTTATATCGTTATGCTATATGCGCCTAAACACGGAACGGTTTTTGAATTATTTCAACTTTTTCAAAAACTTTGAATTTTGTAGGAAATAAGACAATCCCATTGTTTTCAGAATTTGTTTAGATATATGGCCTATGATTTGCCCAATGTGTAATAACTAAAAAAAATAAAAAATAAAGTTTTCACATGTTTAAAACTGAGAAATTAGAAATGATTTTCTGATTCTGAGCAACATATTTATATTTAAGCAGGTACTGAAAACATGTGTGTGTTTAGTCTAGACTCTAACTTACTAAAGGAAGTTGTCTTGTCTTTGGCGTTTATTTTGATAGAACTGATGTAATCACACAAAGAACTTTTACGAAAAATGATCTTTTTAGTACTCTGCACGTGTTAAGCATGATGGGAGGCTGTTTAAAGTTGGGCTGTAACCATTTGACTATAAAAATGGAAACGGGAGATTTTGTCACATGGTAGAAATTACCATGGCAACACAATTAATGGCCGACAAATGCATCGACAAATTTAAGTGGAGCTTAGCTTAAAATCCATGGCAACCACTGCTTCAATAATCGTTGCCATGGATTTTAAGCTATTAAGCTACGCTTAAGCTAAGCTCCACTTAAATTTGTCGGTGCAAACGGCCATAAGGCATCAATTGTAACCGCAATAGTTGGCAGATACTGCTATTATGGATACAATTATTGCCACAATTCTCTCCATCGTAATTCCTACTGATCCAATATTAAACCGGTTAAATGATCATAAAGTCCTATTTTAGCAATGATCCAAATTGTTTTGTTACAGGAAAATGCTTCACATAATTTGTACAGAAACCATTGAATTTATAGATAGTTATAAATTCAATGCAGAAACCTTCCTGCGAATTGCGGAAATTGTATTGAAAAGCAGGAAGAGGGCCCGCTTGCTCAGATGTATTTTTTTTCAAATTTCAAATATTTTCAAAAATAAAGAATTTATCTCCCTACCGAACACGTCACCAAACCGCTGTTGATAGCATCTAATACTGCATCATGAAGCAGTCACCTTGCCCTGTGTCGCTAAGGGGCTGCATGGAGCTAAACGGCGCCTTCTTGATGGTAAACTCGAATTTTACTTAGTTTGAACCTCGGTTTGCACGCACGTTCATCAATTCTGTTTTTGCGGAATATTGTAATGCCAACGGATTAACAAAATAAAAAAAATATTTTGAACAACATTAAACGTTCGAATTACGTTTATGCTCATCAATGTATTTCACAAAATATAGCTTCTTCAGGCGTTATTTAAAAAATAAAACCAAAATCCTTTAGTGAAAAGAATTTTTTTTAATTGTGGTAGTTCACGTCCTTTTCCCAAGAAAATTGGTGCACAAATATGGATTTGGAACGATTTTGGGCAATAAAGTAGTGGATGCCAAAGTTAAGTTACCATCGAGTGAAATACGTATGTATGTGCATGTATATAATACCGCGATATAGGAAAATTAGTCTTGTAAATGTAAAATTTTACTAACCGAGCTTATATTAACACCTCTTGCAGCCAGTTGTGAAACTACTGTTGTAGCTCCCATTCCTACAAACCCGAAAGAACCTGCAACTATGTTTAAATAGGCTCCTCTGCACTCCGAATTAGCAAAGCTCATACTCTAAAACAAGTTGTTATAATAGAACAAAATTATAACATAGGAATAAACACACTTGACAATGCTTTCGCCTATCGTGTATGGTCATACTACTCCGCACCATTGAGTATATACCAACACCGGCACCAGTTACAGAGGCTGCCACTATTGCTAATGGTGCAATTGTAATTGCAGGAATTGCAGCCACTCCGAGAAATACTGCCGTGCCCATGCCTACGGTCGTAGCAGCGATATCTGTTCCTTGTAAAATGGCTTGATCAATTCCACAAGCCGGAGATTCTTGCGTTTGTAAAGATACTTTCCCATCAATGTTATAATACCGACCGTTTGTAGGAAATACCATTATACACTTGTGCAACTTATTTAATTCCAGGTACTTGGACCACGATTGGTAAACACGATTATCGTGATCAATTATGATTCTGCATGGGTTGGGACTATCGAAACATTTACGAATAACGTACACAGCAATTGGCATTATATCTGTATATTCGTCATAATCATCATATTTTTTCTTGCGCTTCTTGACTTCATTGGGAAGCGGTTTTACGCAATTGAATACAATAGCCATTGTCACACAGTCCTTATATTCTGAATATCTTTCTGAAAATAATATTGATTTAATTACTTATACAAAAAACATAACTGAAAAAAGTAAGTAATTTTGATTAACGATTGCACCCATTTCCCTAAAAACTGGGTACTCACTAGCGAACTGTCAATGTGGATTGCAACGTAGGTACATACAAATGCATCTTCACCAATTTCTTACAATGATCCACAGTGTTTCACGCGAGTGTATGGTGAACTCAGTGGTCTCCATAGAGGCAGGAATTTGACGCTAAGCGTCCTCTCTAAAAGAAATGTGTTACCTGCAGAAAGCGCCACCGCCAACATGCTTTTTTCAATATTGCTGAATTTAAAAACAATATTTTAAACATAGATAAAGCGGGATGATTATTATTATTATATCTTGACTTCTGTAAAACTGTGATAGTGATACTGCAGCAATAAATATATTATTATTATATTATTTTCAAAGATGATCAGTTGCTCACAAAACGTAATATAAAATCTCGGTTGACATTGAAATGGTATTATGTAAACAAAATGTAATCAATTATTGTCTGAACCCACCAGCTTGTAACACACCTGTTCATTTTAAACAAAAATAATGCATAATAAATAAACTCTAAAAATAAAGAAATTTTACCCAAAGAAAATACCTGCAAAATTTTATCAACTTAAAATATATTATTAAATTAAATAAAAACAATAGTTTCTCATTTTATATCAGACCCACACTCAATTTAAACAAAGATGAACACTGAAAATGAAGGATAGTGGCAATTATTCATTTTAGAGCTTGTCTAAAGTCTAAACGTTTATTGAGCGAAATTTCGGGTTGTGATTTCTAAAAGTGATAGCATGACAGTTCTCATTATTGACTACTAGTTAATAATGACCTCATTATTAATCACTTTAAACAACTGCTGAGAAAGTCAACTTTACAAGTGACAATTCAACTCATGTATAAAAAATCGCATAAGCCGCAGTGTAATTGTCACTTTGACAGCGGCAAAAGTTACCTGCAACTTTTCCAGCGACAAATGCACTAGTGGTTTTTTCACTTATTCATTTTGGAACAATTATCGCATTATCCTTTCCCATATGATTAGCTTGACGTCTGTCAATAATTGACTAGTTTGGTGAATTTCTTGTTCGTTAAATTGTCCTGCCGAATTACACTCGAGGTTTGTATTTAAACCGAGTAAATTTGGGTTGTTGCAATTCAAATCTGTTTCCTTTTAGCAATTGAACTCGAAAAACTGTCAACCTAAAAATGCTCCACCTGCGGTGTCGCATTTTTATTAGTTGACAGTTTTTCTCGTCTAATTGCTAGGCAACAGATTTTCATTACCTAAACAACCCAAATTTACTCGGTAAAATACAAACCTCTTGTGCAATTATAAGTGAAAAAAACGTTAATAATCATGTTATCAGACGCTAGTAGTGAAAAATAGTTGTTTACCCAAAATCGTCCTGAAACCTTCATTTTCATGCCTACTTTCTGTCAGGTAATTCTGGTTTCCATGACAGAGGCAGAACAGACTACGTTTCATGGCGCTTGTCACTTTACTGGCCGCACCTGTCACTTTACCGGCCGCACCGTCACTTTACCACAACCATCTATATTTACAAGCCCAAGCCGTGCAGAGAATTATATGGCAACACTGCAGGTAGGGCTGATTTCCGAATTCAACTTTGTAGATTTGAGGCGCATTTGGGTGTTGACCTATTTTAACATGAGTGAAATTGCGACAATTTGCGTTACTCCGTATTGAATCAACAGAAATTATTATTCAGGTAAGTTGCTAAACGAAATACGAGACGAAATATATCGATTTGTTGAATTAATGAAATTTAATTACAGCAACCGTTACAGTTTGCTAATGAGTACTTGGCTTAAGTTTGAGTTCAATCCGTAGCATGAAATTAGCTGCAGTCTTAGCAAACATTTGAATGGTAAACATTAAAATTATTACTTACCGCTTTGTGTCTTGATGGCTTGGAATGTGTCCTCTATACTCTGCTTTTGTTTTTCACTGTAACCACTGATTTCAGTGGGGGGACCAAACTTTGAATAACCAATTTTCTCTTTCAACTGGTCAGATTCATCAGCTTTGTAGGAGTCATAGTCCCGGTTGCCTAATTTATTACACATATCTTGCTGATATTCTTGTGCCCTAAAAAAGCTTTAGTCATGCTGAAATTTAAAATGACTAGTACCCTATGCGTCCATTGAAATCATCACTATCAGTATCCATCGACATACCATCACATGGACATATAATTCTTCCTACACATTCTATCATCGTACATAAGTCGTTGGCCGTTTGATCCCCTCCAAACTTAGAGAAAATACCAACAGTATCATTGTTTGAAAGGAGAATGAACAGTGCGGACTGTTCTGTACAAATATATTCTTTAATTACATCTAATTCAGGCCATTTTTCTACAGCTTTTTGCAAGGCACCCTGTGTATCAGTCTTAACCTCAAGATCCCAAGGCAAAACTGAAAAGGCTACTTCCAAAATGCTATGGAGATCACTATTGCCTGCAAATTCTTCACAAACCATTTGAGAAAATTTATCGTCATCCTTGTGTAAATATAATATTAGTGCTTTGCGCTGTAAAAAAATCACGATTAGTCGTGTCATAGTGTACAAAACTACTCTTGTGCATATACATGTTGGTAATTATTTAATGGGTACGTATTTTTGTAAAAAATATAGAATAAACAAAAAACTGGGTTTAAACAAAGGACATCCCTTATAAAAAATGAACAGAATACAAAAGAATATCGAATAGCAAAATAAAATAGTAGTAGTTCCATTAGAGAAAAAAAATAGTTATGGCACTTTGAAATTCAGAAATTGCATCATTTCCTTGCAACACCCTGTATCACTAAATCTAACTTCCTCATTATCAAAATGTTGCTCTATATTCGGATTAACATTATTGCTCAAATTTATTTCTTAATTTCAACAAACAACAAACTACGATTCATGAAAGTCAGCCTTGTTTAGGGGGAATTATTCGGAAAAAATTATAAGATGGGAACAATGACAAAAAATTAATAACAAATGACATCGCAACAACTAAAAATATACAGGGTGTTTTACCGTCACCCTTTATATTCAACAATAATTTCTATTCGCGATTCAGATTAACAGTGAGACCTCTGGTGGCAGCACACTGTAATTAATACAGGTGGGAGAAACCATTTTGTTTTATATAATGGCCAAAAGTAATCAATAACGTAGTGTTTACGGCTGTAAAAGTAAATACGCTTGCAAAAATTTTATTTGCAATCAATGTCATTACATCTTAAATAGCAAGGATAGTTTAAAACGTCACATTTTATCATATTACTTTGATTTTTGAACCAATAATAAGGATAATTTAAGAAATCGTCGTCTTAACGCATATAATATTTCCAAGTAAGCAGTGCAATTACACAACCAACAATAAGGATAAGTTAAAGAATCATCGTGTAACGCATAACATTTCCAAAGTCTTTAATTGTGAACAGTTCAACTACATAGGTAACAAAAAATAGGAAAAAAGTACATCATTTTTTGACACCCTCCACTTTGAATAAATTGTGATCTTCATTTATAATTAGAAAATTCAGTTAATTTCGTGTTCAAGTTATTATACATTACTTCTATTCTATGCTCGATTCTATGTTTACTTACCTCATCTTCTGGTGCGAAGCAAGAGTATTCTATTGCTTGCCTCAAACAGCAATACTGAAAATTAACTGCTGTATCTTCATATTTATCATTAAATTTTTCAAAAAAATTAATAACTGCTCTTTCTTCGAGAGCTTCCATTTCTAGAAAAAAGTGTTGGTGTTAGCGTGTTTCAAAAAATGTAAACCGAGTTATTTCCCGCTCCTAGCACATTCACAACAGATTTGATAAAAAAAAAGACAATCCCCCTTTTTTCGTATCATGCTATGCCACTGATATGAGAGAGGTTACATAACAAAACAACTTCTTATAAAGCTTTATGCAGTTTACCAAGATGAAATGAGGAGGTGGTTTTCGTACAGTTGTTACTTTATTGGTATCAGCTACACAAAACTTACCACTCCACTCATCTTCGTCTTGTTCGTTAAAGCGATATGTCTCATTCTCCTCCTCATAGGAGATATATCTGCTCAAATCACCATGGCCTAAATATAAGATCGTATTAGTAAGAGTAAGATGATACCCATTCTTGCGACCTACCTTCCAAAATGTTTTCAATCAATTCTTTATGTTCATCTTGATTGAAATACTTCGTAGTCGGAGGTATGTAACATGCCATTCTAAACTTCTATAGTATTAACAATAGATAGGTAAACTAAAAACAAATAATGCAACAATTTTAGTTGCATACATGTGCAAGTGCATACCTAGCATAGCATGGAACTTTTCTCAGCTGCAGTTGTAGAGAAAACTGATATAAGCGAGCTAATGGCTATGATTTATTCTTAAATCGGAGAATAATATTTTAAGGGAGTATGGTGTGAAATAAACCAATTGTAATAAAAATAGCAAATTATGAATTGCAACGACCACTGCACTATTGAACGTTGACAGTTTTGACTATTTGAGGAATGTCTAATCTCTAATGAGGACACGCCCCCCGCTCATATACGCCATGCACATAAATACATGATGGTTCAGTGCATTTATGCATATAATATCCGTGTTTACCACATATATATTAGTATATGGTTTACCATGATGATGGTGTTGACGTTATAGAATAGAAGGTGACAAGTACATACCCAGTGGCGTAGCTACTCGGATTACAGGGACTAAAAAACTTAAAAGTAGAATTCAAAAATTTTCCTTATTAACCTTACCGCCCCCCCCCCTGCATCAGCCCTTGCTCAATTATAGCGCAAAAAAACAGAGATAGCCTAGTAAACAGCAATTTTCCTGTAATATATCAGATAATCATATCTCATATCTCGTACGACTGTAAGGCACCGTAAGCTTTCAACGCTCAATTAGTCAGGACCGTGTGTAATAGCAGAGTATGTAATAGGTATACTTAAGATAACTCGTTCACGGAATAAAACATCCAAAAATAAAAAATTATCAAAGTCCTTGTGTGAGATGGAAGGGACTTCAGCGCATTTTTGTGTGGCAGATCAGTATTCTATTAGCCATTTCTGACTCAACCATCAATAAAAGATCTTGTCGAAAGCTACTACATTCACTTTGTCGGTACCCGCTTCCCACTTTCCTCGTGCACCCGCAATTCACGTTTAAAGTTTTGACTCCCCACCATCAGTAAAATCTTGTAGAGGGCTATCATATTCCCTGGTTTGTCGATATCCACTTCCGATGTCCCGTTTCCTTCCAATGCGCGTTTAAATATTTGACTCCACCATCAGTAAGATCGTGTCGGGGGCTACCATATTCCCTGTGTGGGTACCCACTTCCGACTTCCCGTTCACCCGCAATTCGCGTTTGAAGATTTGACTCCACCATCATCAGGAAGATCGTGTCGGTGGCTAACACATTCTCTTTGACGGTATCCACTTCCGACTTCCCGTTCACCCCAAATTCGCGTTTGAAGTTTTCACTCCACTATCAGTACTGTTAGATCTTGTCAGAGGCCACATTTCCTTTTTCGGTGCATACTTATATTACACCCACATTTTGGTGGATTTCGCTAAAAAGCTTCCACAAGGTAGTACTTAATTTTTGGGACACTTCTCATTGCTCGAGCTTCTATTGGCGACACGAGAAAGGCTGAAAGAGAGACAGTGTATCGAAATTCACGAAATGTTAAACCGCGTGACAAAATTCGCAATGGAAAAAAGGTGCCCGAAGTTGACTACCTTTCGAAAACGCGCGCGCGCGCCTAGCAAAAGGTCGTTAATTTCGCCCCTAGGACAAAAAACAAAATTCCGCCACGTAGGAGTTGTGCGCGTTTACAACATCTTTCCGACGACACCAATTTGAAAAGAATCGGACGAAAACTGTAGTAGAAGAAAGGAAAAAACTGAAAAACCTTCACGTTAAACTACGCTCGAGGATGACGCCCAGATGTCGCCAACCCCACATCATGTAGCCCTACCCCTAAGGTTAACAAATTACACGGCCTTGTAGATACATGTACACCCGTTGCCTTTCTACGGCGGATTACAAAAAAAAATAATGAAAATGTGTCTGTGACGAGATAAGCCGGACAAATCAACTGCTAAAACCAAATTCGGACTAAAAACACAGCTTTTCAATAATTTATTTTACTCGCAAATAAAAATTGAGGATACACGGGTCTTTTTTATTTTTAATGTACTTTTGTAGATCAGAAATGAAAAATGAAGCCGGGACGCCCCCCATATTGGTATTGACGATAAGAAATACGCCATGTCTAGGTGCACAAAACGGGAACTGGCAACTGCACTTTTTAGAAAGTGAAAGCTGTCTGTCCCATCTCAAGAGCACCAACGCTTCTTATGTTACAGCCATCTAGGTCTGTGCTTTTGTCAAGAAAGTATGGTGCAATTTTAATCTTTGTTTTAAAATTGACATGATTTAACTTCACTATGCGGAATCATGTATGAAAAATATTAACTTTTATTGTTTCAAATCGTTTTCACTGTTGGTGTAATGTTTGCTCAATTTATGATTGCTTTGGTTATATGGCCTTGACCCAAAGTTTGGCCATTCATTTAAATATGTACATGTTATCAAATCGTCTGATGTAGACAGAGTTATGGTTTGTAAACTAACATTTTTTGGCCTGAAGTCACGGGGATAGGAATACTGTAATCATTATAGTTAAAAATCTATAGATGTGATTTATCTTATTGAATCTCAACTATAGGCTTGAAATTCCCGCACAAGGATCAAAGTTACCCCTCCCCCGGGGGACCTAACAAAAACTCTTGGTGTTAGAATCTATGTGCGATATGCAATAAATACTTTGTTGTGTAAATTGTGATGATGCCAAAAATGTCTTGTACCACTGGAAGGTTTTTATAAGCCTCTGATGGCAATTCAAAGTAAAAGTCCAAAACTACAAAAAATCAGTTTTTATTTTGTTAAAATTGTATTATAAATATCAGTTCTACGTTGGGGAAAAACTGGAATTTGCTGACGCACTTCATCACATTCCGAAAGATTTAAATCACAATAGACTATTTCTTCTTTGGAATTAGCTGTCGCTAACACTTTCCCCCATGGATTGGTTACTTGAGTATGGCCCCAGGCAATGTAACCCTTCTCACCCCTTGCTGGGCTTATAGTGCACACAAACACTTGATTGTCAACGGCACGAGATCTTTGAAGCAGCTCCCAATGCAAAGGTCCGGTCGTCATATTAAAAGCCGCGGGATAAATGAGCATATCACAATTTTCTTGCCTGTACAATTTGGCCAACTCCTCAAATCGCAAATCATAACATATACCTAAACCAAACTTAACATCCCCGATTTTAAACGTAACTAAATTATTTCCGGCACTTAAAGCTTCAGATTCCTTAAAAGTAATTCCGCCTGGTATGTCGATATCGAATAGATGCATTTTACGATACTTCGCGATCATTTCCCCATTCGAATTCCACACAGTGCATGTGTTGTACAATTTTGAATCGCACCGTTCCGGTATAGTTCCTCCGACGATATAAATACCATGCTCCTTCGCAGCATTCGAAAGCATTGCACAGGATGGTCCACCGGGTATTATTTCCGCATACTGGTCAAAGAATTTTGTACCGTATGGGGAATTAAAACATTCGGATAGTGCTACTAATTCGGCACCTCCCTTTTTGGCTTCGGCAATTTTATTTGCGGCATGTTTTAAATTGGTTTCCCGATCACTTCCCACATTCAACTGCAGTAAAGCAGTACGAATTTTTCTGTTAACCATTGTGCTAAAAGACGTCGATTGAATTAATCTTGTAAACATACCGTTAATTTTGAAGTTAAATTAGCTCCTAATTATAACATTACAAATTAACACTGAGAAAAAGTATTGATCACACGTATCTATGTGGTATTATCACAAATAATGAGTAGGTAATATCAGTAATATCATATACTAGAAATTTTCCCATTAAATCTAACATAAAAGGTTATAGGTTATGGAATATGGTACAAAGGTCGCCAAACAGGAACAAGAAACATACGGGGGCAGCCCCAAAAATTCCCGACCTGACTTAGATTCAGATATCGCAGCCAGCCAAAACTTTCAGACGATAGTCTACTTAGCCTTGGAAAAACAAAAAATTGAACATATCAATTACTTTTCATACAAGTGGCGCTCGTTTAACATCAGAAATCACAAAAATCGAGTACCGAGCCTTGATCAAGTTCCTTACTCAAGAGCCACCGATTAAGTTCAGGCTTTATGAGCCTACAAGAAAGGTGATGGTTGCGATTTTTTGGGATTTTAAGAGGGGATACTGACCAACGCACTTACTGCATGATGCAGCAGTCAGTTGCGCAAATTGTCTTGATTTAACCTCAATGCGTCAACACGTATTTGATACCTTTTGCTTGAAATCGTTTACGTTTTTGGTGTTTTGCTTGCATGGTCATGACCAGAAGTAATAATTCATATGAATTTTGATCATTCTTTTAATATGTGGAAGTAATTTTCCATCTTGCTCTTAACAGCAGGATTTTATTGCACCAAAGATGAGTCACATGCTGTGTATTTCACCATTTCTTAGACTACTTGCTAACGGCTGAGATTTATTAATCAAAGGTCAAGATTGTTGAATAATTCCACTTGACACACATTATCGAAGGCACCCTTCATGTCAACAGAGATAGCCATATTTTTTATCTTCGGGTTTTTTAATTGCTATCATTTCGTTTCTCTTTCAGGTCTTCATGAGGGTATCCTATGTTCTAGAGAGGGCATTTGTTTCATTTTTTCGATGTACACAGATACATTATTTTTTTATTTATACACTCCAATCAGATGATTTTTTAAGTAATTAAAAAGTAGGTAGCTTTTTATCAGCGATTAAATGCTAGGTAGCTTTTATCGGCGGCAAAAATGCGTGTAGGAATGCGTAAAATATATATAGTGGTCTTTTATTAATCGCCCTAAAATACACTCGATCTTGGTTTTAAATAAGGATAATTTTATTTTTAATACACTCAAATTTTGTTGAAGGCTGCCATTTAACTGTCTTTGAATTTTTAGTGCACTTTCACTTTCAAAAAATAAAAGTGTACTTTTGCGCTCTTGATTGCTGTCTGAGTCACAAAGGCTTCGAAACTACACCACTTACAGACTTTGTATTGGTGTTATTATATCAGAAATTAAAAATTATTTCCTGTTTGTATTCTCGCTAAGGCCTGTAATGTCCATAAAGGCTATTAAAATGGAAAAAACAAATTTGACAGTGCACTCTTTGCCTTTTGCTCACAAGCGGCTTGACGAATTTTTTTTGTTGCACTATAATTTTTTGCTGCCATTGCTGCATATAAAATTTGTTGCCTTCCCTCACTTACTATAGTTTTGTCATCCATTCTAAATTTGTTTCAATTGTTTTCTCTATTAATGTGACACCATTTGAGCTATGACAAGGTAGAAAACCTGAAGTCTCCAAGGAGCACAAAATAACCTGTGTTTGAATTTGAAGCAGATCAACAAATGTATAGTAATTCTTGTAATTTACGTTGACGACGTGAGCGAAGCAGTTGCAGTTGTAAAGAGTAATGCACATCGATTGTGACATTGAGAGAAAAGCGAATAAAGATAAGACAGCGTTTTCTAGAAGATCTTAACCATATAGGTTCAGTGTGAATATTTGCAAACCTGTCTGCAACTGTACAGGAAATTAGCTAGCAGTAGCTATTTTAGCCAGTTTTAGATTTTTCCGCCAGATAAGCAATGGATACATGTGGAAAGAGCTGTTGCAGTTCTGGCGGACTACCTTTAAGTTATCATCATAAATCATCAAATCTATAATAAAAATATTACAAAAACAACCTCTAAACTTATTAATATATTGTACTTGTCAAATAATAACAGAAATCTAACTCAATAGAAATGGCTATGACTTTGTTAGAATCTTTACTTATTACTGCATTTGTCGTAGGTGGAGTTTGTTTAATTGTCGATCTATTAAATTTCAAGGAAGGAAGCATTTGCCCGTGTCACTCTCTTGAAGAACATAAATGGAAAATATTTTATCGCCACTCACTAAATAACCGTAGACTAACATCTGATTTTTTTCATTAGTGAACTGTCATTAAATTGTCATCATTTTTGGTACATATTAACAAAATAAGAATGGTTTTACATGGCTTAGAAGCAACATTATTCACCTTAGGAGTTTGTGCTGGTGTACATTTAATAGCTGCTTTGATGCAATCATTAGAACAAGGTGACAGGAAAGATTGCACAGTTTTAATGAGCGAATTAACGAAACGAAGATTCTGGGAGTCCTAAGCTGGCACATTTCCTTAAGAATAATAGAAGTTGACCGAAGTTGCCATTAGTTAATATGTACTAAAGAAGATGATAAAATAAAACATATTTGCCTACAAATGACTCGATGATTGTGTATTGTAGCATAATATAAGGGTTCACCTATTAAGGCTCAATCCTATGTCTCTATTTCTAAAAAACGATTCATGGTTCTCCTTGTAATGAGTTAGTAACTTCACATTGCTGTAGGTGAAACAACACATGAAAAATTGAACCTTAACTACACACTAAAAATAATAAAAAATTGGTATATCACAACAGTGTAGAAGTCTTCAATAATTTAAATTCACTGAAACAATTTATATTTTTAAGGTGAAGCAGGAGATAATCAACCTCTCTCTATACTGTCGTTTTAATGAAGTAAAAAAATAGCCAAAAATATTGTGTTTTTGACAGTGCATTATGAAGCTGTTAGCTAATTTTATAAAGTCTCTGAATTTTATGATGAGATACCATTTCCCAGAAGTTCTCAATTACTTATCGAGTTATTTCTAAACCAGTTGGTGTTATATAAAACATTGTACATTTAATAACAGATAAAAAACATTGAATTACACCAATTTTACAAGATAATTTCATTTTTAAAACTTCTGGTTAATTCCTTATGTGGAAGTACAACAGAATTCAGTAAAATGGTTTCTGAAGGTACACTCACAAAACCCCCTGAAGCACACAATATTAGTTACACAATCTTAATTTTTGGACTGATACCCACCTAATATAGTTATTGATGGATTAAGCCTTCCATCATGATTAAACAAAGGGGGATTTTCCATCTTAGCAAACGGTTTATTCGGATCGGGATCAGAAGGTGTCCCTTCAACTCGTGCCCAACGGCCAACTTTAGAATTTTGTCCGATAATACTGTGAAGGACCAAGCTATGGTTCTCTATAACGGCATCTGCCAATATAATACTTTCTCGTATCCGTACACCAGGTCCGATCATAACTCCAGGTCCAATACTGACGTTGGGACCTAACTACAAGAATCCTTAAGATAAAATAGATTTTGCCAAACTTACCGTTGCTGAAGGATGCACTGTAGCTGTCGGGTGAATATATACGTCAGGGATTATGTTACATACAGCATTACCTTTATCATTGACAGTATGTAAAAGTCTTTCGCTGTGTTTTTTATGATACAATTCTAAATAATGTCGATTTGCATAAATAGCAGATCCTGCCGTCTTCAGTTGTGACCACCAAGTAGTCACCTGCAAAGCAAACAGTCTTCCGCCACCGGCTAAAGGAGTCAAAATTTCTTGTTCAAGTTGGATAAAACCAGTCTCTTTGGAACCATTACCATTTCTAACATTAACAGATTAGTATAGGCTAGTATAATTCACATGCAGGGTGTCCTAGACCAAGTACCTAGTACTGCATGTGAAATTCATATCTTTCAAGAGTGACATACTGAACTTGCACTTCTTGTGCTTCCCTTTCTTTAATTTTGCACAATAAAGATTATTTTTAATAAGCAGACAAAGTATACCCACTTAATGTGGTCCAGGTTTTCATGCAATCCCAAACAATCAGAGACACCCTGTATACACGAACCTATAAATGTCCTGTTGCTTAATATTAAACGCTTCTCCAATAGTAGAAAAGATCTCCAAAGAAAATACATAAATGCCACAATTAATCAAAGTGGACACATAAGAACTTGGCTTTTCGACATAATGTGTCACTTCTTGTGTAGCTTTATTAGTCGCCATACATCCATATTTGAGCGATTGCTGACGGGTCGCTTCAGTTCCCATTATTGTAACCTGCAAGAATGCTTAAAATACAAAAATGTTAGGTATAAGACACTTTACCAGGGCTCCCTTTTGTTTATGGAATGTGTAAAGCTCCTGTAAAGGGAAATCGGCGCAAACGTCGCCGTTCATTACAAAAAACGCATCCGGATTACCACAACGTATTTGATCACGAAAATGGTATAAGCCGCCTGCTGTTCCTAGTGCTGTAAATTCTTGTAAATACCTACCAGCAGCGTCATTAAAGAGTTGTGTCAAAATTCGTGTTTACCTTATATTTATGTTGTATTGTTGTTGCATATCACCGACAAACTGTTGAATTTGAGCTGCGGGATAGTAGCCTATAAGTAGGATTTCCTTCAGTTCGTCAATTGTAATACACGCTTCGATGTGGTGCTGTATTACTGGTAATCCAGCAACCGGGAATAGCGGTTTCGGAATGTCTAAAGACAAAGGCCGAAATCTTGTGCCTACAAAGTTGGATTAGTACAGAATATTAAAACATAGGAGATTTACCTTTCTGAGGCCCACCAATCAAGATCACAGCTTTCAACATTTTGTGCTTTAACTTATAAAGGAATCAGGTGCGCTGAGAAAATTGACACGTACATTCCTTTCGTGGCTGTTCACGTTATCAATTCCATGACTTGACAGTAGTATAGTAGTGTTTTGTGTACTTCGTGATCGTGATGACTGTTCTTTGAAGTTTGACCTTCCCGCAAATGTCATAAGGACCAGTTCATTGAAACTAATTCTCATTAGTTAGAAATGTAAATAAAGTAGGGACAGGAAAATCCAGTAGAATTATCGTCAACGGCAAGGGTGGCATGCTCACGCAAAATGCGGGACCATCCCCTGAAAATGGGGTCGGTAATCGGTATATGCATAGGCGGGCTTATTGCCGCTTTTCGCATCGTTGATGAAGTGCGCCGAAAAAGCTCTCCGTGGAGAAAGTAAATTCGCGATCTTCTAAATGTAAAAAAAACAATCTTAGTTCACCAAAGATGTTTTTTATAAAAATTAAAGAACAAATTTTCATTTAAAGAGAAACCAGAAGCTACTGGATTATTGTGTGATCGGGTGTATACTGAGCTTTAGCTTCAACTTTGTTATCTACTCTGATGGAACCACAATCTAGATGCAAAGCTGTGGTTCCATCACAGTCTATGTTGTTACAATTTCAAACATGCAAAGTGAATTGTTTAAATATGTATTGTTTACATTGTGCTTTAAAACAATTCTGATGAATGACGTTTGTGAGATGAATACTAACCGCTGTGAACCTGTAAAATATAGGTTATATTAGTACAGTTCGGAAGACACTAATCAAACTGCAAATTTACAGATATGTCTTCTACGATATTAATCCTCCAGAAGGTTTCAACCTGAGAAGAGATGTTTACATGCGTTTCGCTATATTTGTGCACAAACTTAAACAGACCAATCTTTCGAATTTCAAGCTTGTTTTACCCCCTTGGATAAGACTCTACCATTGGAACAAGCAAGAATCCGTTCAAATACCGTGGTCCCACTTCTTCGATTTGAACAGTTTAAAACAATTCGCTCCAGTTATAGAAATGTATGATTTTTTTAACGGTAATGCACTATTCTTCACTATCTTAAACATTAAATGTAAAACTGCAGAAATTAACGTCAAATACTCGAAAATAAAAATCGATCAAGTGTACATACTGCAACACTATAAAGAAATGTTCGACACAGGGAAATTTGAGGACAAAATGCAAATAGAAAAATGTGCAACAAAACCGAAAACCAATTTTTACTTTTATAACAACATCACGTCTGACAGTATTAAATGTCTATCGTTTCATGGACAAGCAAGTCACTTAAAAAAAGTGCTCGAGGAATCAAACGCTCAGTAAGTAGAAAATGGGACGATTTGTAAAATAATAAACCAGGACAATTCTGTTTGATCATGCTGAAGTTGCACTTCACGATCATTTCGGAAATGATATCTATTGGAAAGCGAGACGAAGTATGAGATTCAACAAGGAATTGAAGAAATTGGCGGCAGATTTCAGGCAGAAATATTTAAATTCGTCCGACCAGGCAGATGGGACCATGTTACCTGAGGACTGGCAAAAGGAGACTGTAAGTGAACATATTGAACTTTACAAATTTAATTACTTTATAGGGAAAAAGAGCAGCTAAAGGTGGTCCTTATTTGAGTGTACATTTAAGACGTAGGGATTTTGCTTTGGGGCGACCAAATGATGTGCCAAGTATCCACGAAGCTGCATCACAAATAACGAAATTATTACAGCAACTTAGCTTGCGCATTGTATTTATTGCCACAGACTCAACAATTCAAGGTACCGATTCACTTACCACCCCTTAAATTTTGAAATGCAATTATAGAATACACAAAATTGGAAGGGCTGCTCTCCACTTATAAGGTCTATCGATTCCTTCCAGTTGAACCGTTAACTGATGGTGCAGTTGCGGTGATAGATCAAATTATTTGTTCGCATGCACAATTTTTTGTAGGAACACATGAAAGTACATTTACGTTTCGTATACAAGAAGAACGCGAAATCATGGGATTCCCTGAGCATACAACTTTCAACAGACTATGTGGAAATAGATGTGAGAAACCTTCAGTGTGGAAAATAGTTTATTGAACAAAATATGACCTTTATGAATAGTATTATTTATCAGTACGTTTTGGTATTAAATCTTCCTCATGTTGGATTTGTTGAGTTTTAACAACGTTTTCTTTCTCTTTATATTGCTGCAAGCGTAGGGCTCGTTTCTATAATTACTTTCATTAAAGAAAGTCCAGTAGGCAGTGTTACTCACTTTCAGTTTTGCACTTTTCTCATGAAGATTTCTCATTTCGCGTTTAATATTGCACAACTTTGTTTGGTAAACTTTTAGCATATTAAACATCTCCGCCATTTCTTCAGAATTTTTTGCCCATGATATCTTTAAATTTTCATCGTGTAATTGTTCGACCAATATATTTTGTTTAGTACTAAAACCATTGTTAAATTTGTTGTACATGACTTAATTACTATTTACGTTAATTCCTTCAACTGGTTGTTAACATTTGTCAGACTTGGCTTATATAAATCGATTAGGCCAGTTGCTAGCAAGTGAACAGTGTTTGCACAGTAAGGATTATTCGAACAGGTTTCTGCTTGCGATGAACTACAACTTAACAATTTACTAAATCCTGTACTTCGATAGCTACTAGGTACCTATCAGTATTTAACGAACCCATATTTAAAAACAGGTCTCAAGAGACTTTTGGAACCCAAACCAAAAACGAAAAGTGTTATTGTATTTACAAATATTGAAACCGTGTCTAATATTACGGTACCGGTAGCCGACATTGACAGGTTATCGCCATTTTTTTCAAGGCGCTAAATTCAAATTGACCAAATGATTAAGGTTTGTTCTAATAATGAATCAGCAGTTAATAAATTGTTAATAGAGCCCCATGTTTATATAATTCTTTCTGCGTTAACCACTAACGAGATTTAAAATTATTAACATTAGAATAACTTAAATGGCAACTGTTATCATTAGGTTAACTAGACGCTAGATGGTTTTGTCTCGTTTAGTTTCGGTACAAGGTATGCGTAAAGGAAAGTGTTGTAATCGTATTACATTTTCGATATGCCAATCTTGCGTTTTCTGGAAGTTTTGAAGCCCACTGACCCCAAAAAGTGATTTTTAGCTTGACGTCTGTGTGTGTATGTGGTTCGTTTTTTGTGAACCCGATAACTAAAAAACGCCTGAACCAATTTGGATGGAGAGCTCTATCCAACAAGACCTATTATGTTAAAATCGGTTAACCTAAACCGAAGTTACATTCACTTCCTTAAAGAGATGTTCCCCTTCCCCCACCCCTCATATTTTATCAGCTACAGCAAGTTGATACAAGATTGCGGTGTATGTATTTTTTGTGCATGTTTGTTGGGTATATTTTAGGAAAAAAGTTATTTTTCCACTTAACCATGCATTGTACGCTCTCTTGCGGCAACCTAGAAACTTGAAAATAATTTCCAGCGATTTCTCTTGGTCCCCTTTGTTCCCGAAGCTGGCAATTAACGGTTCCATATGTATGTATATATATTAGGTAAAATGACAAAATAAATATACTTTTAGACAACAAATAGCAACATCTCCACAAATAGAGCTACCAATCTAAGTCATTGAAACTATTGTTCAAAAATTCATTTAGTGAGTATAGAATGCTCGACGTTTTAAATATTCCTTTATAGCTTTGAATGATAATAAATCCAAGTTTTTAGTTTTCGTCGGTAATGCATTATAAAACCTCATCCCATATGATACAGGTACAGTAATGTCATAACAATCTTTGCTACAGCTATATACATATTGCCTGTGCTGTGACTTTTATTAAGGGGGCACCCTGTATATTATGTGTTGGGATAGGGCTATGCAAAAAATGGCTAGCTGAATACAGAAATGGCTTAATTTTTGTTACTTTATTGTAAAATTCAAAGCCCAAAATCACAATATCAATTAATTATCATCAAGAATTACAATGCGACAATATTACAACCAAGCAAACCTTTTCCTGTCCATTTCTTCGGTATCAAATACGTTGTAATATACCTGTCACCCCGCTGAAGTTTAACATATAATTGCTGCCCTTCTGAGTGTTGAACAACATTTGCAATATCAACAATGTTGTTAAAATTTGAAAAATTTACAGATCCAAATTCGACTATCAGATCATTAACCTGAATTCCAGCAATTTCCGCAGGTGATCCAGGGCTTACAATCGTAACCTTTGCAAAAGGTGTCTTGTTAGTTACACTGTTCCCCACGTGACTTGCTTGCTCTTCACGCAAACTGTTATTTGCCGGTAAGTGTGTGGAACTGCTATAATAGCCGTGTAAACCATTTTCTATTTGTTTCATTAATGATTTGTGGTCATTCTGCAAACCTGCAGTTAAATAGATAAATATAAACAGTTCAGAAAATATTACAACATACAAATAATTCTATGCCTTGCGTGCCTCACTTGATAAATGTCGATACTAGAAATTGGAAATCCATCTTGATCTACTAAGGGATCATTCATTCCAACTCCGTTCTGAAATAAACTATTAAGAGAATGGTCCCGGATACCTTAGATAGTTACTTTAGTAAGAATTTCTGTTAATTCCTTGATGGTGTTTTCAATGTCATCTTTTTGCTTCATAAGTTGTAACACATGTTCTCGAATTTCAGTAGTTTCGTTCATTTTGGATAACTATGAACAGCTGGGAGGTAGATTTGTTACTGTAAAGTGTAATCGATGACTTTGAGAATAAATAAACTGACCTGACAAATGTATTGGTTTTAGGTTAGATTAAATTTGTATCTTAAGAACTACTACAGGCACATTTGAACTACTCTAGCGCTTTGCGATAAAATGGCAAAAAACAGTTGCTCGTAGGATGGACCCAAAGTTAGACATACTCATATGTCTATGCCCTGGACGCCATATACTAGTCTTTAAAAGGGGGGGTATAAACATATATGGTGTAAATATCCCTTAGCTTGGACTATACACAGTACCCTGTATAGGTGGGTTCATAGCTCTCCGTTCTTACGTTTCCGTTTGTCCGTTAGCCAATCAGAAGACAGCAAATTTTTAAATCGTACGTCGTCCGTTTACGACGGAAAAATTGGTTGAAGTTGAACATTTACGTTTCCGTTGTTCCGTTTTTAACAAGAGTGAGGTTATGTTTGGTACGTTAACAGTGTTCGCCTATTCGTTCTTCACGGTAATAATCAGATAGCAATGTGCTCTTACTTTTGTACCATTTTTACATACTGAAAATCACGGAGGGCACAGTACAAAATAAAATTTAGGTTATGGTTATACGTTGCAAATGTACAATGTGGACGGATTGCTATGAACCTTAATAAAATGCATTATCCGTTTGACAGACCGACGCAACGGATGAACGGAGAGCTATGAACCCACCTTATGACTGCCTTCAAAAAATAGTTCTGCTCTATACAGAGTGATTTCTAACCTCCCTACTAAACTGAAATGGTAACTAGGGGATCAAAATAAACGTTTTTTCAAATAGTTTTGATCAAATTCTCATATTAAGAAAGTTATTTAAATTTTTCAAACTTGACAGTTACTGCGGGTTTTCGTTTATTGAAAACCGCTTATTTAAACGATATGATTGGATGATTGGAAACAAAGAGTTAACGATATCAAATACATGAATCTACATTGAGGTTAAATCAAGTCAACTTTTAAAATAAGAAATGAAACAAAAATAAAATGCTGCATACAAACCATCATATAGTATATTAAAGTATAAGTGGATATTAAGGTCTTTAAAACGCGCGCGGTTTTTCGAGCACGACGGCGTAGCCGGAGTGCTCGAAATAGAGCAAGTGTTTTAAAGACCAGTTATCCACGAATACTTTACGCTATTTTTTTTTATTACTACACTTTAAAATCGTCATAATTCCATAAAAATGGAAATAAGAACTAATACAAAATATGGTTTAATTAGTGATATAAAATCAGTATACCTTCCGTTGCTATGAAAATGAGAAAAACAAGAAATATTTTGAAATCTGTCACATCCTACATTATTGTTGTCATCACAGTTATATGTACCTACTTATACATGCTTAAAAATGAATTCTAACATTGATTGCTTAAGTAGAAAAGCAGAATCGCGGTTGATACCGCAAAAATCAGAAGACGCATATAAACGAGAGTACGACAAGTTTGTGCATTTGAAAACATCTGTTAGTAATATTTGATTTGAAGTTGCAAAGTATTCCTGTCATTGTCATGGTAACTTTAAAACACGCGCTGAGGCGTACTTTAAATAAGCAATATAGATTATAAAGAAATACAAAGGTTACTGCATTAAATAACACAAAAATCCAACATTTTGCAGGGTGGCACCTCTCAAAATCAAAATCGAGCGATTTGTTATAAAATACTTTCCCGGTCTCTCTCTCTCTCTATACATAAAATGACAGTTGGAAATCAGTTTAAAAAGGCCATATTATCCGGGTTTAACAAATCAGGATTGTGTCCTTTAAACAGAGAAACGGTTCTTGAAAGACCCCCTAATATATCCTACCTTTATCACAACAAAATGAAGGAATTCCGGAATGTTTGACAAAAATGTGTTACAGGTCTAATGAAAGTTCTAAAGGAGGCAGAAATACAAGACTTGTGGTTCCTCCCGGCCGTAATGGTGCCCTTGAAGATAGGTATATGGAACTCTATGAGGATGACGTGGAGGAAAAACTTAATGCGAGCTCAAAGAATGTAATTATTGAGTTTGTTTAATATTTCACTATGATCATTTAAAATATAAATGAGAAATTATTTAATGGAAAAGTGCTAAACGTTGTAGAAGACATTTGAACACTTTTTTAAGAGAATCAAACAATTGGATGAATATGAATTTGAAAAACAACAGCCACTAATAATGTTCTGCCGCCGACAAAGAAATATGAATAAAAAATTTGGACTATAATTTATTCATTGAAGCAATTGTACGTTTATGGAGTGTATTGGGGTCTGCTATGCATCCAGTTGAAGTTCGTTTGAGGCTTTTTCAAAGTGCCAGGGACGGATTTCACTTGTTTATTTTCACTTACAAACCGTTTCGCCTTTATGTCATTTAACCTATCGCCCTGAGTCTGTTCCAAATTCTGCACGAAACTCTTCTCCATTCTTGGCAAATTTTTCTTATCCACAGTGCGTTCCCTACTTACACTTTGGATACGCTTTCTCTGCTTTGCCAAAACACTTTTCGCGTCGGAGGTTTTATCACTGTAAAATTATCAGAAATTATTATTAGGTAGAAAAAAAATCACGCGCACCTCCTCTGAGAGATATCGACAAATTTACTATTGCGAGTTAAATCTCGAATTAATCTATCTTTTAATCTCGGTAGTTGTTTGGGTTGAAGTGAAGGGTTTAAAAATTTGCCATCTGTGGACGTGTTTGAGAAACCACGATTTGACTGGCCATGGTTTTCAGCATTTTGCTGGACACGGTTAACGGAAGATGTTCTCGGTCGTGCATTGGATTTGGGAGAGTTGGCTCGGTTCGGTTTGGATAAATTAGTTCTGGTCTCCACAATCCTCTTTCGAATATGACGATCCAACTTTGCTCGTTCAACCGGCCATACTTTACTGTATATTCCGTAGTTATGATGGGGGATCTTTTGTTCATTTCCAAAATGTCGAATTCTACAACGGGAGGGGAGTCAGTTGAGGCTTTGGTTGCCGTATAGAAACCTATAATCTCTTCCTTGGTGCCACAACCAAGGTTCGATTTTTTCAAGCCAGCCTTGTTGTTGTCCGATTACAGAACCAGGTCTGCATATACGTAACCAAGCAATGGCCTCGTGAGCTGTCATGCGATAGTGCTTAATGATGTAGGCGCCAATTAGTGAACCGGTTCTCCCTAGTCCAGCCTGCATAAAACATATCAGTGAATATCTGTCTGTTGGATTTGGTTTCTGAATTTTTTTTAATATGTAAGAACCACTCCCCAAAACTGGAGTATAGATTTCGGTTGGATGCAATCTATTTTAGGAATATTTGGCTAATCATGTCAAGATGTTCCCTTGAGAGTGGGAATCTTTCATTTATGACGACAGAAACCACTCAAATAACTTACCTTGCAATGCACCGCAATTGCCGCTCGCGCATTTTCCGACAGTTCCAAGAAACGTAGCAGAATCTGCTTTGTTGGAATTGTACCGTCAGGAAAAAAAAGCTCGTGGTGCTCTATGCCCGCATTTGTAAAACTGAAAACACCTCTGAGTATCGTTCCAGAATAGAGTAACTTACACTGAAGAATCGTACAGTTGGTTATTCAGGCGGACGACGGTCTTAACATCGTTTTCTAAAAAGTACTTGAGATAGTAATCGGGAGGAAGGCTATTTATGCTTATGTTATCGGTTGGACCAATAAATGCCAAAAACTTTCGAGGAATTAACCAGTTCATATCTCCATTTTGTAACTTGTTATAAAGATCGTATTCAGTGTGGTTAAAATCTTTGAAATCAAAAAAGTTAAAGGAGAGAGCTTTGCGAACTGCGTTAAGACAATCCAAAATATTGATGGTGTAATGGGAAAAGCCTTGTGATGCATCCATAAACTGCCTGAAAGGAATATCTTTGAATCGTCACTGTTTCTGATGCAAATTTACTTGAAAGGTCCACCGGTGCTTAAGAGAGTCCTATACACATCTTTTGGATTCCATTGCAAGTAAATTATCATATAACAACCCATTAAGCAAGCGGCATTTACTCTTCTCATTGGATTTGATGTTGTATAATGTACCACGCGTTTAGAACCATGCACATACTGTAGACAACTGTTCAACTTACAACAATACTTGTACAAACAGGATATGTCTAACGGCCCGAAGTCAAAGTAATAATTCAGATAAATTAACTCCTCGTCAATATTGAAATAATGAACGTGACGGGTGTGCTTTAGGGTTTTGGGGCTCTCTTCTTCCAATACCGCAAAATAAAGAATATTCTTTATAATTTCGGTCATATATTCAATTTCTCTGTCGTACTGAAATCCTTCCATGGCGCAATTTTGAACGCGGAACATAAATAAAAATATTTTCTTCAGTTGCGTAATTTAGGCTGAATACTCGATAAAGTCGAATGTATAACAGTGTTTAACATGTAATTTAACACGATGGAAAAAATAATATGCAACAGTTTTCTTAGAACCTTGTGCATCTCAAAATTTTGACATATCCAAATTGTCAACACCAATTTGTTTTTGGGAAGCTTGATTTTGTCATTTCTCAACGATTTACATACGCTGCCATGAACGTTTCTGGATGGTTAAGAAAGTTTTGAAGAATTCCATATTTAAATATTTTAAGTGAAATTGATCAAGAACTGTTCATTTCCTCGTGAAAAAATTAAGACGCAGATTTTAGGTAGATTTCTATCTATCTGTTGTAATGGTAAATTTTATATACCTATATCACTTTAAAGAATCATTCCAACTTTCGTAATTATGAACCGATTTCGACCAAACTTTAAGGGTTGGTGTACTTAGTAGATATCTCGCTCAAGTTCGTAAATCAGCCAATTCCACCATATTGGAACAAAATGGCGGACACTCAAATGTTAATGCGATTAAAGAAATCTACTTACACCTATCGGCCGAGCCGCAAGGGATTTTTTGTATTCTTATACTGTCTTACACGTTTTTTAAGATTCTGTGCTGTGACTGGTTGCAACTTGCCGGTTTCTACGATGCCGAGGTATCCATCATATGGACAAATAGAATTATTCGTAGTATTAGCAGTATTTTTCATAAAAAAATACTATAAGTAAGTGTTTTTGTTTAAAAAAAAATGACATACTAGTAATATTAAAATATGTTTAATTATAATTATTCAGTGAAAATGATGACATGCGTAACATAAATTTATCTACAATCTTAACATCAGCAACACAAGAATTGACACTGTAACACTTACATTGTAAATCTCCGGATTTGTTATGACGAAACAATCACATAAAAATTAAACTTAAACCAATTGTACGCCAAATTTTGCCAGATAATTTTGCAAATGCAACTGAGATTGTTTATCAATGCTGTTAATTAGAGTCGGTAAGAATCCCGGTCGTGAGCTTCCCAGTGTTGCCAAATTTTGAACTAAAAACTCTCTTGGTTCTGAAACACCTGCAAAACATAAAACTAATTGAAGGGCACACCATAAGCAAATATATAAAAATTACAACATAGGTATCGGTACTTACCTTGCAAAGGATCAGACTTATTGTTATTAGCGAAACTCAACTTGGCTGTCATGGTTTGAAAAGTGGGCGTATCGTCGATTTCTACAAATTCGTCATCCGGGAAAGTACTCTCGTCAACCTGCCCCTCGAAGAAATTCATCAAGCACTGAAACGTAATTAGTTAATGGGTATATTGGGTTACAATTTGGACAACCTGCAGTAAAGGTGCCCAATATTTTTGGTAGGACCCCGTATACATTTCCGGGCAATCACATAGCAATTTAATAACACCACACGAAACAATCTTTCGTTCCACACCTCCGGAAACTTTTTGAAGATCGGCTAAAAATAATTTTTCCAAAACCATTCCAAACATTCTGAAAACAGATGGGTTAGCTCAATTGAAGGCGGATGCTAATCCATACTGGGCCTGAATTCCATCTATGGTAGAAACGAGCTCGTTTGCCGAAAACTTGATTACGTATAGTGAGAAAAATACTATTGTGCCTATAACGTATTTCGTGGTTTTACTAGATGATAACCGTTGGAAGAGTAAGAAAAAAATTTGTTTATGGTATGGTGTTAAGGCCTCTCTGTAAAGACACTGAATTCATATTTGTAACTTTGCAATATAACACACTTACATTGGAACGTGCTGTATAATATTTTGCATTAAATAAAATCCTTCATGGTCATTTGCTTTTGACGCTATTAGTTTTTGGAAAACACCTAATAGTCCCACCTAAAACAAATGAAAAGTTATTGCATTTTGACTATTTTCCAATTCTTCACATTCTTAACGTTACCTTCACTTTGGATGGGTTAATGTTTATGTTGAGACACTTCTCATTTTTATCTCGAAAGCGAAAATTTACATTTAAAAAAATCTATTTATGAAAACCTTCAAAGGGTATTTTTGTTTTGCTGGTTCAATAATGATGTTTATTTTTCTGTGGTTACAATTTTACAATTGCATTCCACAAATACAAAGCAAATAAAACTGTCCAAGGCACGAGAAAAACAGAATAAAATTGTGAATTATGTACCCCTTGAACTATGTAAGGTATTTCAACTAAATATTATTCCAAAATTAATAATTGTTACCAATACTAAAAAGCATTTGCCGCTACAAATTACGTCGCATAGAAAATATAAGTAAATAACTCGTGATATGATCTAACACATAAAAATTTAAATTGATAGAGAAATTTTGACCTAATTTGTGCCGTTGTAATATGATTGGCTGAACTTCAAAGGTAATGACATGTCACAATCACTTGTAAATATTTAATTTTAATATTGAGGTATTAAAGTTGCGTTCATTTATCCTTAATGAATAACCTTTCTCTTAATACCTACATAGATAATATGTATTTTTTTGTTTATAAATTTATAAATTACGATTTTTTTTGTAACTGCATCTGATTATGAAGGCTCTTGTAATAAGATGTAAAATCTTTATACAATAAAATTATTATTATTTATTAAGGTAATGACAGGCTTTATGCAGTTACAGTGATTTCTAAAACAATCTCCTTTCAATCATGCACCATCTCAACTCATAAGTAACTGAAGTACCTAACTAAGCTAAGCGCTGTTCAATTTTACAGTGCGATATGCATCTATTGTTTTTGTAACCTATGGATGGGGTAATTTTGATGGTTTGACACTTTTTTAGCGCATTTTTGAAAAAAATACGCTATTATATTCGTTATTGCTGGCAGGCGTTAGATCTCCACAACTACAATAGCTAGAGACTTCAAATTTTCACTAAAAGCTTTCTGCTATAGTGTAGATGTGCAGGCACTAGTCTATTTTGAGTTAGATTACTTGTGAGATCCATAATTGAAGAAAATAATTTCGATGTGGGTTTCGGAGGTGCTATAATTTTACCGTTAGATAGCGCTACCAGTATAAAAACTTATTATTTACTTTGTGATTTGTTTTACAAAATGAAGACGTACCGTCAATTGAAATTAAATAAAATTAATTATTTAACGCAGCCAGAATTACTCGTGAGATCGATAATTTTAAACTTCGCTAATAAAATACTGACCTGCATGACCAAAAATGCGCTTTAATCATGCATATGCTGATTTACAACTTGTTTATCTCAAAACCGAAAATTTACACTAAAAAATGTATTTATGAAAACCTTTAAGGGGTATTTTTTTCGAATATTCCTTTCTCACAGTGAAATCAGTGGTTGATTCTCTGAGACTGTAAATTCTAACTTAAAATGTCTCCCAAAGATGCATACTCAAGAAATTTTAAAATTTTAATAAGCATATGAAACGGATACTTACCAGTTTGTCTTGAGCAATTACTTGTGGAGCTGCTTGTGTAAGAAAAGCACAGAGTAGGCGTACCAACGGGCTTATATTTGCAGGTCTCTCCCATAGCACAGGTGCTAGCAGGCAAGGTAGCAATTGCATGTATGGCTCTGGTATACTTCCAGTAGGTGTTAACTCCATTAAAAGTGACAATAATTGGAATACATACGGTATGAATTCTAAAACCTAACTGTGTCTAAAGAGCTACAACAAAATTATAGTTACCTTGAATATCTTGTTGTAAAATGTTTTGAAAGATGGGAAAAAGTATATCCTCAAATGAAGTAACTGCGGAAGAATTACTTCGGCATACAATTCTAAAATGACAATAAGCAAACGGAAGTTAAATGCATAGGACTAACCTAATCGACAATGAAAATGTTTCAAACAGAAAGTGGTTAAAGTGAGGTTTGGAAGGATTTTTCGCCACTTGTTGCAATTTTTCCGTTAATTTGGGCAGAATTGCGGATAAATACGGGAGAACACGTTCTTGTAAAGTTGAAAAACTTCTCATTATTGCTACAAATATTCACTTTAAAATCTGCGTACCACTAACCACATCTACCTTTCATGACATATTCATTTTCTTCCGATACCGGTTTTTCCAAGGTGGCAAATAGGTTGGATAGCAAAGTTTCGGTTAGTGGAGCTAATTCCTCTCCCCTTACCCTGGAATGAATCGATTTTAATCGACAATCTTACGTAAATAAGTACCTACTTACATCGAAATATTGTTACGATTTTTATCTCGCATAACTAAAATTTTTTCTATTGTACAAGCAGCATAAGTGTGCACCACTGCACTTTCACTGGTAAGATGCCGAACAAGGTGAGGTAGCGTACCAACAATCATATCACGAGGTAGAATTGAACGGAAGGTCATAACATACTTGATGGCGTCTGCTTTTACTACAGGAAGTTCATCAACTAAAAAAGGAGTTTAAAATCTGTTTCTAAGACAATTACCAATACCATTTACTCTCTCCAATTCAGTTAGAATATGTTGCTGACAAAACTGAGGGATGGATACTAGCTGACTGGTTTGAGTAACGCCATGTTTTTGAGTTGCTCCCCGACTGACAAGGGACGTCACCAAATATACAGCAGCATCCTTGCTTCGCCAATTCTCTAGCGGCTTCTCCGAATACTTTGATAACATGACCTACAACGCATTTACTATCACGAAGTATCATTTTAATGTCAATACTACCTGCAAGTACTGTCCAAAGATATTCATAATCCGTTGTTCGAAGTTCTGGCTCAAAGTGTTTACAAGGTCGCATGCCGCTCGGCGACGTGTATCAATGTCGGATCCTTCAATATCACGACGAATATACTCCTCTGGATTATCTTCAAATAGTTCTTCGTCTGAAGCTAAAAACAATAAGGATAAGTTCTGTAACGTCGACAAACCCACAGCAGATCCATTTTTTATTTGTTGACTACTTACTTCTAAATTCCATATTTGGTATAATGACCTTCTCGCATATACTATTTAAGACATTATCATCTTCGAAAAGGTGGCGGTAGTGAGACCTTTCACCAACCGAAGACAGAAATTGAAGTGCATTAGACACCAGCTGCAAAGTTACAATTGTCCGTAATTAAATTTGAACAAACCAAATGCAAGTACCAGATCATATTTCGGCTGTAATCCTGTAGAGACCAGCAAACTCCAAATATCGGTCACAAATTGAGAAAGATACGGTTGAAATTCCTCGTCGTATTTCTGGGCATACAATGCGACATTATCGCATACTTGTGACTTTAACTGCTCCATTATTCCAGATTCTTCGTCATCCTACACTTACAGATTTAAAATTGCGATTAATTAATAAGATATTACCGTCGTTCCTAAAGATTTCACTTCCACCGTTAGAAGTGTATGAAAACTCTTCATCCAAGTTTCCATGTTATCTTCAAAAAATTCGGGCAAATCTTGAAAATTTAACGAGTAAAACACCTTGCAAACGAGTACCAAAGAACTATAAATAACTTTTAATGCATTAACATCTGCAGCATGGGCTTGGGCCAGATGCATAGTTGCCTGGAACAAATGTTACAATCCGAGCAGTGCAGATAATCGACTATACCAAAAGTAAATCCGTTAAAGGCTGCGCCAGTTTCTCTAATACAAATTTTATTTCCGCAAACAGTTCGTTAGACTTGAATTCGTAGCGGTACTTTTTGAATAGTGAGTGTGCTGTTCTTAGGATGCCATTGATAACGTGAAAATCGCCTGTCGAAAATTTCTCCACCATTTGACTGATCAGTTCAGGCCATTTAAGTGGAAAATCCGTTTTACCTATAATACTAATCGCATCACTCAGTTGCTTTTGAATTGATTCTGGCAAGGTCAACATCAATGTAACTATCAAATTTTTTATTGCGGCACGGTCACTCTGATGAATTCGATCGGCCTGGTCATCCTCCTATAATTATCTATGTTTTACATGAGCGGGTATGTTAAGAAATTACTTACAACATTCCAATTACGTTTGATGTAATTCTTGAAAGCAATAGCTCCGGCAGTTCGTATGGTTAAATCGATTTCATTCTTGTGCACCAAATGGAGTAAAAGTAACGGGTAATTTTGGTTAACTTCAACCCCTTCCAGGAACTTTTCAGCTGCAATTAATGCAAAGGTACACCAAAAACTTGCATTAAATTAGAAATACAAACCAGGACGGCGAATGTTAACGTCGGGACTCAACGTTTTCTGAAGGTATTCGCCCAAGGTACGTAAATTCTCGTCCGATATTTCCATTATTGCGCCTTAATAAACTGCGAATATGGAACTCCTTTCATTAAATTAATTAAAATTTAATAGCATTTGCATTACCGTAACGATAAACTAACCTAAAAATTGTATCGGCAATCGGCTTTCAAAAAATTCATGGGAAAATGGAATCCGCTACAGGGATGCCAATATACCATAGAGGCATGAATGAAAGGGCGCGTCACGCGCACCATGCGTACCAAATGGACACTACTGAGCATGCGCTCGTTTAAAATCCGTCTTGCAGGAGCAGCTACAATAGAAAGCATCGTACACGCATCGTATTCGTGTTCAAAGGTGAAAGGAGCATCCATAATTCCATACACATACCCTTTGTATTGTTTACATACTTTATTTAATCAATGCCCTTTGATTATACAGGGTGTCCCTAAAAGGTCTGTACAACGCGCTACCAGGGGTTCTTGGTATCAAAATAGGACGATTTAACCAAACTTACCTCTATCCAAAAGTGCTTCGGTAAGGCGCTATCTACCGCCAAAGATTTAAAAAAAAATCGTTATTTTTATTTTATCGGAAAATGGTTTTGCCGATTACCATGAAATTCGGGATGTGAATGTCTAATGTAAAAAGCGTCTTTGTGATATCATCGTTTTGATTGTAGTTGCTATGTAGGTGGTAAAATACTGACCATCCACATCTGAAGAGGTCTAAAACTTTTTAACTACTATTTTGACGGTTCTGAATTTTTAGACACTGATAGACAGTTTACTTGCAAGCATTTTTTCTCTCTTGATGAATATCGCTATCTGTGATGGTTTACGAAAAAAAAAAATTTAGGCATGATGAATGGCATGCACCATACATGCGATTGTTCCTAAAAAATCAGAAGATGGGTGTGAAACAGAGTGGCGTAACGTTTGTTTGTTGTTTCTTCAACTTTAACAATTTACATTTTGCTTGAAGGCTTAAAATTTCATTGTTAAAATTGTAATATGGCCTTTCAATACAGTAACGCAGAGTTAACTGATATGCTATTAGTGTTTGGATACTGTCGTGGAAATGGTCGCAAAAAAAACGTAAATTGTTAAAGTTTAAGAAACAACAAACAAACGTTACGCCACTCTAAGGTTTCACAGCCATCTTCTGATTTTTTGAGGAACAATCGCATGTATGGTGCATGCCATTCATAATGCCTAAATTTTTTTTTTTTTCGTAAACCATCACAGATAGCGATATTCATCAAGAGACAAACAATGCTTGCAAGTAAACTGTCTATCAGTGTCTAAAAATTCAGAACCGTCAAAATTGTAGTAAAAAAGTTTTAGACCTCTTCATATGTGGATGGTCAGTATTTTACCACCGACATAGCAACTACAATCAAAACGATGATATCACAAAGACCCTTTTTACATTAGACATTCACATCCCGAATTTCATTTTAATCGGCAAAACCATTTTCCGATAAAATAAAAATAACGATTTTTTTTTAAATCTTTGGCGGTAGATAGCGCCTTACCGAAGCACTTTTGGGTAGAGGTAAGTTGGGTTAAATCGTCCTATTTTGATACCAAGAACCCCTGGTAGCGCGTTGTACAGACCTTTTAGGGACACCCTGTATAATCAAAGCACATCCCACTCGAGGAAGGTGCAGCGAGGTGTCGCAAATTAAGTGAAATTGGGGGTAGAAACTTATATCTTAATGGGGTAGAATGTAAAGTATTATTTTCTGCGGTACTCCCTGAGGCGGATGAGTGTCACCCGTTCGGGGAGATGATGTGAATCATGACGTAAATGTTTGGATGGGACAGCCAAAAAACAGGAAGTTAGGATCCATAGTTGGGGCGAAGAGTGCTAACCATTATATTATAATTTTGTGCAACAGTCCTGGAATGGCATTCAACTGCTCATCACATGTGATCCTGACGGGCTATCAAACAAAGTGGTCTCTTTATATATGTCGTAGTCTTTTAGTGAAATCCGTCATTTCACGAAACGCCTAGTCCGAGACCTAGTCATTTAGTGAAACGCCGAAAATTTGTACGTGTGGGGTAATTTCCCTTCCCCTTCTAGATCGATAAGGATACCATTTATCGATTTCCAATGGGAACGGAATCCAATCGCTTGGCCCTGGAAAGTACACTGTGCCATAGTTTCATATAAATGACTAAATCACTAAAAGACTACGACATATACATATCAGAACCGATGTATTACATACTAGTATGTAATAGAGCACTAGTAACAGGCATTTTTATCCCTCACTACTACAAAAACTCGTCTTTTTCAAGACGCATATAGCTTGGATCTACGATCTGATAAGGTATGTAATTCCCTTAGTGTTTTTAAATTTTGCATCAGAATGTACGGTCTAAATTTCTAGCGCCCTCGGACACGCCCTGTCAGGGACTTTCTGAGCGTGGTGCCACTGTACAAATTATGGTGGACCCCCAAATGAGCCGAAAAACTCCCACCACAAGAGGCGTGCATGAAGCTCAGTAAATGCGGATGCAACAAAACACGATGTAAATGCATGAAGCAAAAAAAAATGCCGTGTTCGTACCTCTGCAACAGCGGTAGGCTACATGTTTACACTGCAAACCCTAATTAAATCAAATTTGGAATCACCCTGTGCATTAAAAAAACGGAATCCACCGAAGCAGAGACCTCTGTGCGTACAATGCGGTAAGCGCGACAGATTTGAAATTGAAATTAACCGTTTTACAACTGTCAAGCGTAAGCGTAAACTGGTCGGTTAAGTTTATATTTTTTTCTTCAATTTCGTGTCTCAAAATATTAGGCTCGTACACAGAGAATTTATAGGATAAAATGGATCCATTCACAGAGGTAAGTGCGAATAATTCGATTTCTAAAGACCCTAACCTACCTATGGGCATCTCTAGCGTATTTTGGAACGTGCACGAGAAAGGCAGAAGAAACTGCTTCAAAGCAAAGACATTGGAACAGTAAGTCCCTTGGGAGAATCGAACACACTATCGACGACTTCGTTGGAAGATTTTAAAAGCGTAAATATGACAGCTACAGTCTCAGACTCGATGTTGTGTACAAAGAGTCTGCTCGACAGTAATTTGATTACGGAAACCCAATCTGAAGGTAATTTAACTAGTATGGTTAGGCAAAATTCAAAGACGCGCATTTCATCAAACATAACTGGTTCGCCTCAATCTCATCTGAAAACATTGAACATTCAGAGGGAGAATTTTAATATGGAAATTAAACTTTCTTCTACAGAAAATGTTAGAGTAGAAGTAGAATTTCAAGAAGAGAATGAGGAAGGGAAGGAAAACATAAAACAAGATACTGCAGGTCTTCGAGACGATGCGAAAATGAGATTGCAACGATTGGGAAGGCTTTATGCGGGTATGTTGTAATGTAAGTGTCGGATATTGTGATCATTTTACAATAGGAGGCGAGGATGCGAATATATCGTCACCAATTCATCAAACTGAAGCCAAGTTCGTAGTTGATGAGACTCCGTCCAAGAAAGTCGAAAGGAAAGGTCCGGGTAGGCTGGGAAAGGGTTTGGGAGCATTAAACACGCTTGCTCAAGACATCAACCAATGGGAAGACGATTTATCAACTGTAAGTTTTGGAAATGTCTAAAAGAATTTTTACAATTTGATGTTTTTGTTAGGGTAAAATTGGTGGAGATAAGCCAAGTGTGAAGAAAAAGTCGTGGAAACCGCCCGCTCCCAGACCACCAATTTCCAGTGTACGTGAAAGTGCTGGTAAAGTAAAAGATGATTGCGTGAACGTGCAAGTCAGCGATCGGAATTCACACACTAAGGAAGAGCAAACACGCCAAATAAATTTAGATCCAACACTTGTTGAAACTTTGGTAAAGTATTGCATTATTTTCTTTATAATCAACATCCGCTTGTTGCATTAATTATCCTAATGTAGATGAGTGGGATGTTTCCTACTCTCATAGCTCTCAACATATGCTGCTATTGAAATATGTGCAGAATTTTATGAATACTTTTTAATATGATAAATTACTTTATATATGTGGGATTCAGTGTGTATGAAACAGCAAAATCGTGATTTTATTTAAAAATAAGAAAATCGGGATGAATTTTTTTCTCATCAAAATCTGCAAAACTTTTTTCGTTTGCCTAACCAGAATAGGTACACTTGTATAATCTCATTGGATCTGGAACACCCTGTATATCAATTTCTATTATTTTAACCATTAATTTTACCTGTTCCTGTTGCAGTGGGTATATAAAAATCAAAAGCGACCTCTCTGAATAACTCGTACACCAAATTTTAATATCATAACCACTTTTAAAAAGAGTTATCGTGCATGTGGACGGGTGGATAACAATAATTATAAGCAATAGTAGAAAACAAATGAAGGCAAAAGAATCTGCGTTGATGAATATACAGGGTGTAACAATTAAATATGTCATATATAATTTGATGCTACAGTGGTGAGAATTTGATGAAATTTGGTGGGTACACACTTTATGTATTTAAGCCTAACACACATGCACACATATTTGAATTTATGCGTAACTCGCCAAAAAGTGGTTGCGCATGCCCAGATCCATTGAATAATAAATTCCAGCAACATTAGAGTGAATTTTTATTTAAGCAAGTTACATCCGTTTTTGTGTGTTTATGGTTCTTGAGAAAAAAAGAAATGCAAATTTTCAGGGATGTATTTGACGGGGTATTTGATGGTATGTATATGGGGGTATATATGTGTTTATTTTATAATTTTATATTTATACTGTTAGTTTATTGGTTTGTACAGAAGTAGGGAATAAATCATTATTATTATTATTGTATACTCGAAGATGCTTATATTAATACATAGGTATTCTTGCAAATCATGTTTAACCGTTTATGATTATTTTATTTTTTATTTCTACCAGTCCGGTTGGCGCAGTGATGCCGGTACTGACGATCCCTCGTTCGGATCCGTGTTTGGGCATGGATTGGAGACAAACAAAATTGCAAAAAAAATTAAATATCTTATAGGTGTCTGTTTTTTTACTTGTTTACAGTTGGGAGGTGCGATATTTCGTCTTTCCAAACCTATTTCTGGGAGATCTCGTATCCCCCTCCCCGAGTGCTTATTCTGACTGTTTTTAGCAACTATTCCCCTACCAAATGATCATCTTTGGCCTGATAGTTCATTGGAAAAAAATAAAAATAATTATTTGTGTTAATACATTGAAGCAATGCTCACACTTGTCTGAAAATGCTATTAAACATAAACATAAAACACATGAAACATATAGAATAATATTACATAATAAGTAACGTGAAAATTCATTTAAAAAAAAACAACAAACAATTTAAAGCGTTAAAGTCTTGAGGTCGTTTTTAAGAATCTCTTGGATGTTATGCATTGGATTGTCGCGTAAAAAAGTGTTAAGTTTTTTTGAAAAAGTTTTTCATTTTGTGAATGGAAACAAGGAGTTATAAACGGTAATACAATACAGGGCCGAAATATTTATGTGCCGCTTGCGACGTTTTTAATCTTAATCTTTTGCTATACTATACACGGTGTCCATTTTCCGAGTGCCACTATGGGGATCTCACTTATCTTAAGAGATAGAAAGTTGGTTAATGAGGGCAAAGTTGCCAATTTTCGTGCCGAATAAGAATCTGAAAAGAAATTTGAAATATCTCCAATAGTTTTAAAGATATCGCAAAAAAACGAAAATTTCTGATCTTTGTTTTTAATTTTTTTATGATAAAGTGCCATTTAGGTTTATGTTAGTTGTATGCGAAAATGCCTTTTTCAAGTGCAGATCAAATAGATATGATCCAAATTTACTACACTTCTCATCGAAATGCCCACATGGCTGCTGCAACATACTTCCAGCGTTATCCAGAGCGGCAACAATCTAGTTTGAGGTATTTTTCTTTGCTGCATAAAAACTTGGGCGAATATGGTTCTTTTAAAAAGAATTTGAAATGAACATTACTGGTCAATTGAAAATTCTCATCAATTTCAAGGACGACGACCACAAATACATTTTAGCGTTAACGTATGGGTCGGTTTATTGGACGATACAAATAATTGGTCCTTAAGAGACTCTAAGTGCTGACCGGTACCTCAATTTCCTGAGGACATTTCTAACCGATTTTATTGACAATAACGTTCCTCTTCATCGTTTGAACTCGATATGGTTCCAGCAAGATGACGCACCGCCCCATAATGCTAGGAGGGTTGGGGAATGTTTATCGGAGTTGTTCCCCATCATGTTATTGCTAATAATGGCGACGTACGCTGGCCGGCGCGGTCACCTGACCTGTCTCCCTTGGACTATTTTTTGTGGGAAAAATGAAAAATGAAATTTACAAAACATTGCCAGCCGACCTTCATGAACTTCGTTATAGAATTGTGAGCACTCTCAGGAACAATATTACAAGAAGGGATGTGTCAAGAGCCATAGCAAATCTTAGGAAGAGAGTGGCACTGTGCTCAGAATTAGGAGGTGAGCAATTTGAACACATGTTGTTATGCATTTTGTTCTAATTTTAATTATAATTCCTGCAAAACGAAAGTTCAATTCTGTTCAGATGAAAATCGAATTTCTACTTCTCTGACAACGCTGCAACCAGACAGATGGATCAAACTGTCAAACATTTGTTCACAACAAATGAACGTTTTCTTTTTACAAAGCACTCTTCTCAAAAAATTAAAAATTGTATTTTTAGGAAAAATGTGATACTGAACCACCATATGTGTGATATATCGTTGTAAAGAGAAAAAAAGACGTAATCTGAAAATGTGAAAATTCAAAATGGCGCCCATAAGAAAAACTAAAGTTGCCACATGTTTCTCCGTCATCTTGAAAGTTATTAAAAACAGGATGCCATATTTGAAACCTCCATTAAAAAGTGTCCGAATAATGTGTTAATTAGAAATGTCTACTACGATTAGTTTATCATAAAAAAATTAAAAACGAAAATCAGAAATTTTCGTTTTTTTGCGATATCTTCAAAACTATTGAAGATATTTCAAATTTCTTTTCAGATTATCTTATTCGGCACGAAAATTGGCAACTTTGCCCCCATTTAACCAACTTTCTATCTCTTAAGATAAGTGAGATCCTCATAGTGGCACTCGAAAAATGGACACCGTGTATATTTGATTGTTGTTTTGTTATATAATTTGATTTATTTCTATGAATGAACAAAACAGTCAAAAATGTATTGAGTTGAATAGGCAAAAAAAGCAAAAGCTAAAAGATTTATTTACTATTCAGTCAAACGCAAAAAGCCCAAAAGATCCACTCTAAACAACGCCTTTACCTTTTATAAAATTCAAGTAGGGACAACTGGAATTCTCATCTCGTAGTATAACACGTCATTATTTTTCTTTTTTAGTTGTTTATCTCATTCCGTAAAACTCCTGTAGATCCCCCAATATTCCAACACTGAGCACAGAACTCCTTAAAAAGCTCTTGAACACTCTAAGCGACTTTTGGCTCTTAAAATGCTTTAGAAGGTGTTATCTGTATACATGTATTTTACAGGTACGCCTAGTTTCTTCGTATTTAAGGATACCCACACAATAGAGAGGTGCATTATGCACATATTCACGCTTAATTTTCGGCATGTTTGTCTTTACACATACCTACCATATGATTAAAATATCAGAAGAGGCCCTCAAAGCAAATGGAAGGTCCAGGCGAAAAGTATTTGTCCATGTGGTCGAAATTTTTTATTAATGCTTCACACTTCAATATGCATTTCTCAATCCTTACAACATAACTTGTAGCAAAAGTTTTAAAAAATAATTTTGCATAATAAAATAACCAACATTTTCCTAGACCAGAACTAATTTTTATTGTGACCTAACGTTTAAAGCACGTTTAAAGTAAATGTATTTTTATTGCGGACACTTAACACATAAAAAACTAAAACCCATAACTTTATCTAGTGCAAAACAATCTGGATAAAGAAATCTAATAACCTACATAAATGACTCACATGTAAGGGGTATATATTGTTACAGGAATCTCAAGGATTTACGCGTACAGTATCGAATTCTCGTTTAGTATACAATTATAACAAGAAACTGGCGGATGAAACTAAAAGCGCGGAAATTCGTAGCCCGTCAAAAATGAAAGAGTTGAGAAGTGAAAGTATTATCGAAGAAGTTGAGGAGTGTGACAAAGAGAAAAAAGTAGACGACGTGTCGGTCCCAATCAAACATAACTTAAAGGGGAACATTGCCAATAAAGCCGCGCTTTTTGAGGCAAATTCCAATTCTAGTCCGAATCGAAATGGAAAAGATCCGGCGCTTCTGTCGTTATCGGAAAGGAAGGCGCTGTTTGAAAAGAATAAAGGGGGAATTTTAGTTCCCAAAGCTCCTATTTCCATGGCCGCTCCCGTTAAGCCAGTAGTGAAACCGGTCTCGCCTGTGAGAGTAGTAGAGAAAAGGAGTCCTCCGAAATATTTGGCTCCTAGACCTCCCATCCGTAAGGCAGATATCACAGATTCGTCTGCATTTCGAGTAACCCCAGGAGAATCTGGTGGAATCGCAAGTAAGGTCGCTGCACTGTTCAAGAACAAAAGTACGATAAGTCAGCAACAGATCGAGAACGAGATTAAAGAACAGAGACAAAAAGAGATGGACATTTTACTGCATAGGTTTCACAAGAACAAGGTTGGTATTGGTCGACAATCATTAAGGTAATATTTAACACCTTATTAGGCTGCTGTTGAAGATATAGAGAGAGCCCAATATGACTCGGATGACGATGGAGACGCGACTGAAACCACGGCTATGATTTCTAAGAAAGTTGCTGAAATAGTAAAGACTAATCAAAAAACTCCCTCACCCCCTCCTTTACCTCCACCGACAAGAAAAAGTGGGGGTAAACGCTGTAGTAAGTTTTGAAAGCTGTTCACAGAGTATTTTGTACTTTTCTTTTGTAAGTAAATAATGAACACTGCTCATGGATCATTTGGTTGTAGACTTTTTTATTCTTCCCCCTAAAATGATTGAAAAGAGTGGGTTTTCCTATTCTTAGCTGTTTGAGATTGATTCTTTTGATTTGCCTTTATTAATAAAAGAAAAAGAAGAACCATAGGTAGTGGCATAGACATCTTTTCTAAATTTCTGCATGCCATGGACATTCTTCTTTTGCTTGTACATATTGATCTCGTACTCAGATGACGGGTAAAAGCAATTTAAGTTAATAATTACACTGCAAAAGAATTAATCTGCGAATGTACTGTGTAAGCTACTTGTTTGATACATGGGAACTCATTTTTTGAAAGGTTTAGAAGATAGTCCAAAGGTAGCTGCCAGTTTAGAGGACGTAAAACGAATCAAGGTCTCTCCAGCAAAGCCAGGTAAATTATATCCGTGCTTATCGGACATCGAAGCGGCAACTGAAACTGAGACTGAAGTGAATACGGCTTCGCCATCCCCAAATAATTCAAGGTGCGATACTTTTATAGACTGGTGCCTATTTTTACTTTGCCTTGCATAGCTTCTAATTACTGTGGTGGCTGTCTGCTGATATTTTTATATACGCGATTCAGGGTGATATTTTTAAGCTTAATTTAAGTTAACTGTTCTGTAATCGATTTCATTAATAAACAATTAGCATAATCATTCATGTTCATTTCACCCTTTCACATTTGATTAATTTAAGTTCGTTATTTTATTTTGTTAGTTACGAGGCTTGTAGTGATTCTGACGGTACCCTTGGAGATACCAGTTTTGGGCGGGAAGTTTTGGAAACTGTTTGCAAAAATGCTAGTCCCCCCAAACGCGTAAGTAGAGAATGAGTGTCGGGAGTAACGTTCTATTGATATTCTTTTAGACAATTTACATGGACAGCACTGAAAGTGACATGTCCGATATTTTAGATGACATGGATGACTACTTGGATGAGGCCATGGCTTACGATGTGGAGAATGGACCCACTCCACCTAAGCATAAACGATCGAGATCTCCAGTAAATGTCAGCATTGTGCATCTTATATCTGTTTGTAATAATTATTCTTTAGATCGACAAGGGGTCTCACAGTTCGAGTTCTTTTCAATACAAGAATTTTACACCCTCGAAACCGACATCTAAGCCTTCTACACCATATCAAACACCTATAAAAGAACCATCACCTCTTGAAAGTGATGAGAGTCCAGCTTTTGTGGTTGATGGTGATGACGTACTGCCACTAACCCATACAGTTAGTTTTTACAGAAAACAACAGATACAGGTTTACTCACTTTCCTTGTTGCCAATACTATGAACATCGTTGCAGGGTTCAAAAACGCCAGTTCGCCAAGTAATTAAGTACCCCGCAATTCAGGAGAATTCTGATTCTTCTTCAAAGGAGGAAGATGTTGAAGTGCAAAGTAAAATTTGTTCGCTGGTCGAGGAAGTAATGCTACTCTCAGTTTTTTTACTGTATTGAACAATTTTTTTGTAGGTAACCAAGCAACAAACAATTATTTCACAAACTAGCCAAGCCTTAAACTTGTGTTACTCAACCCCTGAATTTACAGGATCTACAGAACAAGTTGAAGCAGAGAAGGTGCTATTGCTTGCTAGTAAGTATTTAGCTTGATAAAACTTAAAAAACTACTAGGATCTGAAGTGTTATATTAACGTTCTTCTTGACCAACCAACTTATTTATATAGGTGAAATGTGAGAGAAATAGGTTTTAGTAGTACACACATATTTTTTATAATCTTATGCCTTTTGGTACCTTTCGTGGAGGCTGGGTTTTGAGCTAACCAGATATTTCATACATTGTATTGTTTATGCTATTTTTTAAGAATTTTATTATAAAAGTTGGCTTTCAGCTTTCTATGACCAGTGCCTAGGTTCTACAAGCTAAATGATTCAAGACACTCTTGCATTAAAGCAGAGTTTACCTTTTACATGTTTATAGTATATTACATACCAAGCTGGAAAGTGGTTCATTACCTACGCCGAGGGTTTAAGGTACACCACCTACGCGCGAGGCGTTGGTTATGAACCACTGACCAGTGAGGTTTGTGTACCATTTTATTCACAATCTGCCTTAAATAGGTAGTATAACTCGCACCAGTGTCAGTGTAGCATTGAAATCTAGTGGCGTGCAAGACGGGAAGTACTTTGCCGACCTAGACGAGATTCGCAAAAGATGTTAAACAATTGCTCACTTCCAAACTTCAAAACAGTTGGCAATTGACATATTACATATACTTGAAATCACGAATCTTTGTCCCTGCGTCATTGATTTGTGAATCAATTTCAGACAAGTTTTTTATCGATTTCGCATACTTGACAGATATTACAGTGTTTTAGCGTATGTCTGAAATTGATTCACAAATCAATGACGCAGGGACAAAGATTCGTGATTTCAAGTATATATGATTGTGAATAAAAGCTTTTATCTGAATCAGACAAATGTAGCAACATGCGCGTGCCTGCCTTTTCGTGGTTACATGGGCCACTTCACGTTCTATGCTAAAATTAAACGGTATGAATGCAAAATAAGCATCTGAGCAAATTAGAGCGCGATTGATTTTGATAACGTTTACTGCAACACATTTATTTAGCAACTGTTAATTGCACTTACTTAAGTTGCCGGATTGAAATTTCTAAAGTCGGTAGTCCAGTAAGGCTATTGTTAATTGGAATTTCTCAGGTTGGCATAAAGGTTTTTTATCAACCTGATAACGGTGTAAACCTGCAACCTGCCTACTAAAGGACAAGAGCTTTCGGACGCAACAATGACAATTGAAATGGGTATCTTGAACTCTTCTACTATCTGGTTATGTTTGGCCCACATTCACCCCTCAAAAAATTGTGTTACTTAAAACCGAAAGCAACGTAATGTAAGTTTTTATCGAAAAAATTCAATTACAGCTCACAGACGTGCAGCGGCGCAACGCGAGATCGAAAGGCTATCAGTTTTGAAAACTTTACATTCCGATAACAAACTTACAGAAAACATCCCACTAGAAAAAGGAAAGCTGATAATATCCAACATTGTTCTTCCACTAAAACGCGATTACGTTCGGGCGCTTAATGCGAGTAAGTATTTTGGTCCAAATTAAAACAAAAACATAATTTTTTGGCTTTGGTTTAGCTGGCGGCAAAGGGCACCATGTGGTGTGTTTGATTAAATGCGCCGATCAAGTCTACAGTACGCAGTTGGTCTCGACGGTTGCCACAAATGACAGAAATCCTAATTTGGAACTAAACATACCGGGTACTATCCATTTCAACAACATTTACAGTAATTTTACTGCACAATTTGAGGTATACTGCTTGCAGGCACAAAATGAAAGTCTGCCGCACGATGTGAAATATCACATCAATAAAAAGGTTAGGGCCTGTGTGTTACTAAATCTTCTTAAGAAGGTATGTTTATAGGGAGGCAGCAAGATCACCCCAAAAAAAGGTAAATCAGAGTCTCGTTTAATTAGACCACCTAAGGAATCGCCCGGTGGTCCTCAAGCTGTGAGATCACCCACTTTTGCGCTTATGGGATATGTTGTATTTTCCATTCAAGCCACGAAACGAAAAAATTGGACCTTAAATAATGTTCGTGAATTCAATTATTTTCTTTGTCATAGTGTCAACTTACAATTTACAGGCGCCATCTATGAGCCCATTAGAAGGGATTGTTGAAATGCGTGTCAAGTGTGAATTCACAATGAAAGTCGAACATCACGGATTTTTGACCATGTTTGAAGATATATCTGGTTTTGGTGCATGGCATCGACGCTGGTGTATGCTGCAAGAACACTCTTTGAGCTACTGGAAGTATCCGGATGACGAGAAAAAAAAGGTTGATTTCAGTTTATTTGTCATCATTTCGGGAACAATTTTTCTTGTAGCCCCCAATTGACACACTTGATTTATCAACGTGTATTACAACACAAGTAGGACCAGTTCGAAGAGACATCTGTGCGAGATTAAACACATTTTTAATTGAAACTAAAAGGCCAGTGCAACCTCATGATAAAGATAGTTTGGTAATGCAATGTAATGGCGATATTACAATTATAAGGTTAAATTTATAATCATTATTTATTAACAAATCTAAACGAAAGATTTTAGGCATTTATTATCAGCAGATACAAAAGAAGAAAGAAACGAATGGTGTACCGCATTTAATAAGGCACTTGCCACTGCCAGTATGTTGAGAGGAACGAAGTAATTCTTTAATGTACTTCACTCTTACTTATAATTGATATTGAATCATTTTTATTATTGACTAATTTAATATAATTTTGCTACTTGCTGCCATACTAATAATATTGTATTATATTTTTTATAATTTTAAATACAATCATAACCTTTGTAAGTTTAGTCCATCCCAAATAAGAAAAGAACCTTTCAAATTCATCTTGATCACTCGCCTCAACTTAATTCGATTTTATGAAATATTGTTAACAGTTATACAGCAAAAAATGAGCATCAGGCACGTTTCTCAGGGAAGCCATTCAATATATATGTACATTGTACATACATTGGCAAACCACGCAATCTGTGTAGTAAATAAGCTTAAAGCATTTGGTTTATTCATCAATAGGTCCTACGTTCTGTATAGTATAGGTGGTTCTTTTATTTGTTGGGACGTGAAACATACTCAGAAAGGAAATTGAATAAAATGCTGAATTTTGTGTGTAAGAAAAGACAAAAGAAATAAAATATATTTCGCACACAGGAAAACCTTTTATGGACAAAAAACCTTGCAAACGTCGCATTACAGCCGTTCCGTCGCCACTCTATCATTGAAAAACCCTTTCGTAATTCTTGTAAGTTTTCGCTGCAGCCGCTGTCGCTTCATTTTCCACACAACCCCGAGCATCCACGTTTTGTCGAACGGCTCTTACTTCTTTTATTTTCCGAATAGCGTCCGCGGTCGTTTTTCTCCCACAGAATCCACCCTCCGTTTTTTCTGTCCGTGATGTGTTCGATGCGCGTTGCGATTATTCTGTCAAGCGCCTTCCCTATAACCGGTAGTAACCTGATGGGCCTATACAAGCCAGGCCGAGGTCAGTTTTATCCTCTTTTCCAGGTTTGTTGAGCTCTGTTTTTTCAGTTTGCACTTGTGATAAATTATTCAGTAAACTTTCTTTTGTACATTTTGTAAAAAATTAATTGTTTAGAGTAATACCTCGTACACCTTTTGGTTTTTTTTTTAAATTTGTGGTTTTAACTTGTTATATTTTTAATATTGTTAGTTTGATATGAATTTGTTTGTCTGTTTGTACTTTTTAGCGCATTTCCACAAAAATTTAAAAAAATGTGACTTCGCCCGTCCGTTTTTCCGTCCCTTCGGTCGCTACTAGTTCGTTGTTCTACTTTTTTCGCTGTTTGGTTTGTTGTGGTGTCGAGGCTTGCACCAAGGAAGGAATTTTTCCTGTGCCGCTTAAGAAAAAAGTTTGTTGTAAAAATCTATGTTTTTCATGTACCATAATTTTACACTTTTGCCGTTTATTAACGATCTTCGAGATCATTTATAATGTTGTATTGCTGTCTGTCTGTCTGTCCGTGTGTAGTTGTGCATCACGATACCTTTTGTATTTGCACAATCCAATTTTCCTTTGTTAAGGTATTTAACTAAAATTTTGTATGTAGGTATTTCAAATAAACGTGAAACTAATATCGAATCTAAAAATTTGTTCTGGGAATGCGCAATCCGATTGTTTTTATTTGTGAAGATATTTAAATGAAATTTTGTATGTACCTCTACGCATCAATGAAGATTCATTATTCAATGATAGAATAAGTAAAAAAATATATTTCTTGTTAATTTTAGGGTGGTAGCATTTAGAACCTACGCAAGTGTGATACATGCACGTACCTATTTGTCTAGAATGACGAATTTTTTCAAAATAAAAAATGTAGATACATATTTGAAAAATAAAATTGATGATAGTCCCAAAATAACCTAAACCGGAAACTACCCCTCCGATAGGGTTTTATTAGGTCCTAAAGAACACGCGCATTGCATAAATGCATTGACTAAGTAACTAAAATTACTTATTTAATATTCAATGATAAATGTAAACATTTTTACGCCAAATAAAACAATTTGCGGCGCCGGAAACTAATCAATTTCTATACAAACAATCCTGTTTCGTATACATTTCCATAGATGGCGTAACCTGTAACAATCATTCAAGAATTGGCGCGCGCGCCTGCACTTTTTCATATCCAGAGTTCGTATCATCAAAAGAATGCACTCCTGAAAGTATCACACATCTTACTCACGTGAGCGGTTCAAGTTTATATCATCGGCACCGCATCTACGATCGTATTCCATTGAATTCCATTCGTTTAACCGCCCCGTTAAAATATCGAGCGCCGGTAAAATCAGTGCAACTCGTGATTTAAGTGCCATTCGTTACCAATTTTTTTTTGAAAAATGTCCGTTGAAACCGTTGAAGGAACTGAGTACGACCAAATTGTTCTCAATGGTCCCAAAAAGGTAATTCTTTTCTTTATTAGTTATTGTGGGTCTGTAACGTAAAATAAACCCGAGCACTTTCGCGATAATTTTTTGTGAGTCACCGGGCTAACCAATGCGTTTGAACTTTATCTGTATTTGAATAGGCACAGATTTGTATAAAAATCAAAAATTGTTTTCTTTTGAAAATTTTTTTTGCTTTGCAGAATCTCACAAGGCTATTTGCCTACTTATCAGTAACTATAACTGCTTATCTGAGTAAGCGGTTTATTTAGGTATGCGTTGCGATTATAGGTACCTTGCGGTAATTTTTTTGAAGGAGAACTACAACAAAAATTTATTCATCAAAAAATGCCGTGAAGCGCTTTGGGAAGCGGAAGCGCAATTTCGGCCTGATTACACAATTTTTTTTATTTTGCGTTTATAAACCATTTTAAACAACTGTTGGCGTTAGTAAAATGTTAAGCCTCTTAAGTGCAAACTGAATGCTAGCCATATGGTCGGTGACGTTATACACAAAGTCACTCACCCAACAAGTTTTACATTTTTTTATTCTGGCTAATACAACTTTGAGTGAGTCGGTAAAGTAACATATCACTGTTGATACTATGAAAATTGTGTGGGGCGTGGATTGTTTGAGAAGTTGTTAGATTTCTATTTCTTTTGTGTGTGTGCTAACGTAATTTATATGATCGATGTCTACTTTATTACCTATTCCATAACCGCCGGCCACACGCGTTGTTTATTTTTTCAGGAAATTACCATTACTTACCTAGTTTTTACACATTTTAATAAACCCGAAAAAACTGTATAAAATACCCGAAAAATATTTGTACAACAAATGATTATTGTTTTATAGTGAGTACCGGTAAACATTTTCACAAAAAATTGGTATGGCCGATGTAAATCCCAATAAAATCTCGTGCACTTTACCGATACCTATGCGGTATTTCGCGACACGGTTCGCAAATTTTATTGCACGTCTTTAATAGCATCTCTATAGATTTTTATTACCAATATGCGAACTGCAGTTATAGTTGGAAAATGCGGTTTCCGTCAATGTCCATCTGCCATGGTTGTCCGGAAATTGCCACGGTAATTTCAGCGGAAATTGTTTAATATTATAGAAATTGCAATTGTAATAATTATGGGGGCCCGACGAAGGCACCGAAGTTGTGACAAAGTTCCTCCAGAACTAGATGGACCGTGGTTTTTGGAAACGTTCCACAAACAATTACCTAATGAGCCGGGAGTCGGGACTGGTGCTTTTCGCGCCTAATTTGGAGGTAATATGTTTGATCGACGAAGGTCAGCTGGATTTTATTAATTTTTGCTCGCCATTTTTCTAATCTAGTAACGGCTGCTGATCGAGCTGAATTTTTAGTTATTTTTATTCTTTTTACATCGAGATCTGCGGATAACATCTTCTCGCAATACTGTCACAAATCGTTTGCAATCGCTTGCGCTCCCATTTGATTGCCGTTTACCTCGCAGTTCCACAATCGCGTTTGCAAGCTCACAATCGCCTAAAACAATCCCGCAGATTCGCAATCGTCACAATCTCACAATCACATTGGCAATCGCCCCCAGCTGTTTGTAGGAGTAGGTACAATCACGCGTCGTTGTTGTAGTGGTTCATCAGAGTCATAGACAAACATTTGTTGGTGAAAAACATTGTCCTGACTCTTTCGTTAAAAAAAAGGAAGTTGCAAAAGTATGCAAAGTTCTCAGCAAAGTTGTTCAAAAAGTTGTTTACAAAAAGCAGCACCAAGTACGAATAGAACCCCCCAAAAGAGCAAACATAAAAAACTACTGTCAAAAGGGGTCCCAAGCAGGGCAGATAGCGAAACCTCGAAAAGTGGAAGCTATTCAGAAAAAAGTGAATTGAAAGAAGAGGAAAAATCGAGGGAAAAATCATTTTGTAAATTGTGTTCAAGAAATGAAGAATACTATGCTGCTGCATACGATACGTGGCGTATTGGACAATGGATGTTGATATGTATAAAATGAAGTTCCTGAAAAGAAACTTTGATGATTACTGAATACTTTGGCAAGAGGAAGATGCGAAGAAATATATTCGAGGGGTGGGACACTCCTAAAAATTGGTACCTACACTTATTTATAAAAACGTTTCGATTTGTGGTATTTATTATTGTATTTAATTTCTATTTATTTAAAACGTATTTAAGTGTATTTAAACGCATTTACAGAATATTACGTAGGTACTTACATTTTACATTTTTAAACGCAATTATTTCATTCTGTACAGACTTACTGGATACAAATGTAGTACTTGCACAACGTGAAGTTCTTTCAGGTTGAAAGTATCAATTATTTTTCTAAAAATATAGCACATTGAAAATTTTTAATCTTTAGGTGTTTTTGAATGTATTTGAATCAATATGAAATTTTTTAGTGTTATATTTTGGAAAAGAAAATTTAATATGATAGTTTTTGGTTAAAATATATAGGGCAGGGGTCGGCAAGTATAGTTTTAAGTAGGGTCCGGATAGTGTTGAAAAATTGTATCGAGGTCCAGAAAAGAAACTGATCAGGATTAAGTACTATTTTTTTATTTGGCTTTCAAAGTTATATCAATATTAGTATTATTTATTGCCACAGATTTTACAAACAAAACAGAAACATTTGTAATAGCAATAATAATGTTATCACCCTGGGTGAGGTGCAGATTTAAACTACTTTTAAAGAACACACAAACACAATAACTAATCAGGAACTCAAATGACACTACAAGAAAAATTGAAAATTTAAAATTAAACAGAATATATAGAATTAAGCAAAAACATGCCTAATAGGTGAAATCAGTGGGAGAAATTACAACGACGATCTTGAGCCAATTTTCATAGTTTGGCTTACGAGGTGAACAGCAAATACGAAGTGTGTCCTCAAGATGGGCGTCTGTTAATCTGGAACGATATATGTTCTTCAAAAAATGAACTGAACAACACAACGACAGCAGTCGCAATTCGTTGGTTGTCTTGTTCCAAGACCAAATTATGTAAGTATACTTAACACTATTTGGCGGTCCGAAATTTGACCATCGCGGTCCGCCTATTGCCGACCGCTGATATAGGGTATTCAATTTAAAAAATGAGATACGGAGGAAAATAAAAAAATTGACAATTTCAAAATCAACCTATATTTTCTTAGTTAAAGGAGATATTACATAAGTATCATACAGGGTGTTTTTTTTTAAGATGGGCCATGCGACAATGTAAAGGCGTTCAGTTATTTAAAATGGGCCATAGGGAAATTTACATTGCATCACTTGTAATAGCTTCCTCGCGAATCATCTGCCACAGTACTGTAGAAATTGCGAGAGAAATTGTTTCTAAATCAACAAATTTATTCAAATCAGATATAAACGTATAAGATTACAAACGGTGCTCGAATAGTTTTCCACCGGTAACCAAACAATACCCGATACTCGGCACTGAATAGCTCGTATTACCACTCAGCTACTGTGCCCACTCTTGTACAAATTGTCCCCCATGATCACCTTTTCGAGCGGCGGAATACATGTTGCTGCTTCGTTGATGCAGTTTGAAGGATATGATTGAGAACTGTCAGTGAAATAACTAAGCGCAAGGCCAAGATTTGAGAACAATTTGCGCAGTGTAAATTTCCATATGGCCTATTTTAAATAACTCAACGCATTTACATTGCGTTATGCTGGGTGTGTATAGTTTCTATGGTCCATCTTTAAAAAACACCCTGTATACTGATGCTGAAAAGTTAATTCCATGCAGTTACATATTATTACCTATTTGAAGTGGCAGATGACGATAAAAGTTTACAGAAGTCATTGTTTCGGTCCTTCAGATGGAAGCATCCAAATGTTGTCAATATTCGGTCTTTTGAATTTTGCCCCAGCGAATTCCGATAGGGTGGCTGCGTGCCCAGATGGCCGCTAACTGTTACAGTTACAGAATAATAAATTAGTAGGTTACTTATATGAAATATGGGAAAAAGGGAGTAGTTATGCGCGGTCAACGTTAATTTGGGGGAAGATTATTACATTTTTTAGCGTTACAGAATTTTCAATGATCTAATTTTTTACGCCTAGACAGTAACCTAATCTCAAAGGCGAATGATTGTTAACACCGAAAAGTAAAATACCTACTTTCTTGTTAAATATGTTGTATTGAGTAAGTACTAACAATGGAAATGTAATCTTTTATGATTTGCAAATAATAACACAGTAGTACGTAGTGACATGCTCTATTACCTTCTCCAAATAGATATTTTATGCGAACATAATTGATGCAGAAATATTGGGAGTATGTATACATCAGGGGCGTAATAAACATGCCCACAGTAGGTACGTAATTGAAAATGTGGTGCAAGTAATAAATTATAGGTAACTACCACTTAAACGGGTGAAAAAACTGATTAATTTATTCCATTTCTAACTTTCTTCGAGGGAATTTTCTTGGCAAACATCAACAAAGAATAAAAATAATAGGAATGAGAACTGTGTGCATTCAATTTTTGAAGATGTTTCAAGCATCTCCGTCTTACTTTTCACTTTGTATAATTATCACGATTCTTATTATCAGTAGATACAAACAGTCATATAGACAGTTAATGGTCGCCACCAAAGGAAATTCTAACGATTTAGTCACGCAGTCAACGTGACGGTTATCATTAATTAAAATAATTTTATTTAATTTTAAATGGTTCATCGACTTAATTGTTAATATAAATGATCGTTTTCATGTCGTAATTTTATGCTTAAATTCCGCTCTTTTCTTGTGTTAATAGATTTTAGTACTAACAACGGTATTTTGTAAATTAAAAACCAGGTAGGTACGTACCTACTAACTAATGGACCAAGGAAGAAATGTTTGTGTCGGACACAAACTTGGAAGATTTAGTGCATTTCGATAACATTCTTCAAGATATATCTCAATTTTGGGAGTAATAGGTATTCAAAAGAGTGAGGTAGACGAAAATTTATTTATTACGATTTACCAAACTACATCTGATTACACAAGAGATAAACTTACTATAAAAGGACACTCGGAAATTAAAGGAAAATTTGTCTCGCAACGTGCCAACGTTAATAGGGAGGATCTTTTTAAACAATGGGTAAACATTTGTTGTATAATATAGCAACAATGGGATAGCTCTATAATCTACAGATGGTAGGTACATACTAATCATGACCTACTCAACTTCTGAGCATGGTATGGAACTATGGAATTTAATATATTATATTATAATATAATCACAAACTTAGTGCCGAGGGGTGTCTCACTGTGGAATTGCAAAAAGTAAAACGTTTTTCATGATTTTCAAAGAATTCTGCTAAAACTGATAATAGCTTGAACAAATGGATACTGTAGAAATTTGTTATAATCGCTCAATAAAATGCTATAGTGATCAAACAATGGAACTATTGACATTGTTTGCAATAAATTATAAATTTGATTAATAGGAACGTTAACCCGTTAAACAAGTAATATAAATGCAATTTAAAAATTTATTAACAAACACGTTAGATTGATCAATACCGGAACCTTTCTTTGAACAACCACTTTAGGCGATGACTTTTAGTGTTCTAAAAATAACTAAGTTCGATTCGTGTTCCTATCCAGAAAAAAAAGCTCAAGCCGCACATCTCAAAGTACAAGGCTATGCAATAGAGATATCGAGGATTAAGAGTATGTAATTAACTGGCGGGTATCGATCTATAGTCTACGTTAAATTCAATTAAACCCACTGATTTAATATCCTATTAAAAAAGCTTTGATGTAATTTGTACAATCTGATTAAGTAGGGTGCTCATTTGTACCTGCCATGTGTTGCGCACATCTCTTACATTACAACTGTAAAGCCGCACATTACGCGTACCCTCGACCCAACATGAAAAATGATTAAAATTGTTTGATTTTAATTGGCGTGTGCGGTTATTTAGTAATTTCTATCTTCGGACGACATATGCACCGCATTGGTAGCATTGTAGCTCAGCTTTGCACCTTGAATAAAAATGACGGATTACCCTATTTTATGTTGTATGTGGGGAAGGAGATGGAGGTCAGCAGGTTTACATAAATCGGGGCAGTTTAATGTTTCTACGAACTTGGTCATTTTTTAAACTTTAAAACAGATTTATACCTACTGATTTATTCAAGCAAAAATAGGTGCACACGTCTTGTAATGAAGACTGTATTGTGCAGGTAAGTCATGGGCCAAAAATGTTCTAGAATTCAACAACTTTTTCGGTAAAATTATTATGCAGAATCCAACATGCAATCTGCTCGACATTGCTCTTTGGGAACGCCTATTTGATTTATCGAGTTGTTTGAATAGTTGTGGGTTATCCACGTCTTAGGTATACGACTAAAATTCGTTTCCTCGTGATCGCTGAGATCTAAGAATTTCTATTTCTAGAACTGGAACCACCGTAATAACGTTCTTTTCATTAACAATATGCTACTCGTATCGTATTGAAAGAAGGGGCAGTCTACTTGAACCAAATGAGAATTGGTTTCTTTGGTAGCATCTCGATTAGGGAAATATATAACAGAAAACCATTATGTGACAAAGAATGTAAATTACTGGACAATTGAAACTTGGGCATTATAAACAGGCCCGTAACCAGGGTGAAGTAGCAGGGGAGAACACTAACCATCAAGAGTCAAAAAATGCCACAGTCGTTGTTTAGCGCTTGAGATTAGGAATATTAGTATACTTATATATAACGATGTAGGTTAAAATGGAGGATGTCAAATATTGCGAAGGTGTTTCAGAAGAAAAATTAACGATGTAATTCACGCAGCAGACAACAATAGATAGATTCACCACACGCGACGCTCATTTGCACGAAATTTACCAGTCGTGACTATGCCTTAATCAAATTTGTCTACGGTGGTCAATCAAATTCTCCACAATCCGTAGAACCTTTAAGGGACCTTCGATTCAAAATATTGTCTGTAATAATAATGGGTTTTAACTTTAATGGTAAGTGGGTCATTGAAGACCATATTTACATGTCAGTACTCAGTAGGTATTATAAGGCATTGAAGGCAACTTACACGTGACTCATAAAAAGTAAAGATGATCAATTAAAATTAAAACATCGTTATTAGCCGGGTCCGTTTGAACTTCTACGACGTTTTTACAACGATCAACCGTAAATTTGCACATTTCAATTGAAACGTATCAAAGTAGTGTAGTTGTTGTGTGGTAATTAGCATGTATGATTCAAACGGATGTGGTTTCGCTTAAAATTCATAGTTAATACCATAGTTGTATCCTTATCTTGGCAAAGGTGATTAGACCGGATACTTCGTGTGAAAGCCTTTCTTTAGAGAAATTGGCAAATTACCGAATAGTGCATAATATTTCAAATTGGCGCCCAACACCTCTATTTATTGTACCTACAGAAGCCGAAATTTCAGTTTCATATTCCTAAAAATGATACTTTTAGTCCGGTCATAGGGAAACGTGCAGTTTCTCTGTACATGGGTAACGCGCAACAAAGAATGATCTTTGCGGACAATTAATCACTAACTCCATCGAGCAAACGTTACTAATTTAAAAATTTTCAAGAAAGTGTTTTCGCGGAGAATTTGATAGGATAAAATAGTCAGTCAGAGAAACGGCAAGCTCAATGATTTAGACAGGTGCAGCAAACGATTAATTAGCGGAAGCGCTTACCTTAAAAAAAATAAACGACGGGGCGGTGAAAATACGAAAATTGATACGGATTCATACGGTACATACAGACGAAAACCTTGCAAATATGCCAAAAGGGAACAGAACCCTTCTAAAACACGCTGTTACCTTATATGGGATTCCTAAAAAATGCGGAAAGGGACAGCGGTGTTCCAGCCGTCCGGCGTGATCAAGTGTAACGTTCCAAAATTAAACTAGGTCCCCAATTATCATAAAAATCTGGGCCACTCTTCAAATTCAGACGAGGTTTGCTGCAACACATGTGATTTGCTACCGCTATTTATGCTCACTCAAGTGGTGGGGCTGCAATTTCCAAACTCGGTAGTCCAGTAAACACTTGTTGTTACTGAATTCTCGGGTCAGGCGAACTAGTTTTAAATTAGCATAAGAATCTTCTAATAATTAATAAACGGAACCGAAATCTTATAATATTAATTTTCTCTCGTCTTCTAAAGTACTACAGCTTTCGGATCTCTACGGGAACAATTATTAAACGAAACCATTAGACACAGCATCTTGTTTTCCATATCGACGGCTAAAACGGCACTACAAATTAAAGCAATTGATTTTACGTTCTATTACCAACTGCTAGAAAAGCAATAGGTACATAGGTCCAGAAGCTACAGTTTCTCGTAAAGAAGTACGCGGTTAAGTTCCTCCATGTACCGGGTGTTAATTAATTCTGGTATAATTTATCTACGAAAACTTCCATACATCTTAAAATATATGTTTGATAAGTTTCAGAATTTATTTTAACATCAGCGTTAACAAAATAATTTTCTATTTTTTCCAACATTGATAGGCTAATGCTAATGTCTTCACCGAGGCGAAAAAATGATACTTTTGCCCTAAATTCAGTACCCTATCGCTTTGGTTGACGCAATCAAAAATCTTCTGCATCTAAAAAACAGATTATCAGCGCATTTTTGCAAATTTATTTGTAAAAAGGTAGCTTTTAATCTCACTTTGTCCAGCTAGCTGGTTGGCTGGCTTGCTGGCAGCAAATGCGGGCCCGTAGAAGAAGGGTTCTTTATCTTCATCTGCACCTACCGTATTATTTTACAGTTGCAGGAAAAGGAAATTGTATGAGATCACCTGTACGGTGCATTCCGTTTATAATATTTGGAGGGTTCCCTTTACTTTACCATGTACGATCCCCGCTTCAGTGAATATACCCAAAAAAAAGTTTTTAATAAATTTGTCATGTTATAGGAAAATATCATAGAATTAATACAATTTAAAAAAAGCTACATATTTTGTAATTACAAAAAGAAAACTGAGAAAAGAAAAATATTAGATTGTTTTGTAAACTGCAGGGGTTAAAATAATATAGACTATGAGAGCGAGCCTCCCTGTAGTTGAAAATGTACGTGCTGTAAGCGTAATTTAGGTTTAGCATTAGAAGTTGTAGGCGGGACTTCCTGTGTAATGTTTTAATTTACTTGTTTAGGACCTGAGGGAACTTTGTCAAAAGGGTACGTAATTTGAGGATTTATTTAATAGTCATTGTAATGTTTAATTTTTGCGTGAAATTTTATACGCTTGTTGTCTCAAGTGGAATTGAAAGGCGTAGTCAATCCGGTCAAAAAAATGTGAATTTGTAAAAGCTTTAAGTTTTCGTGAAAGTGTAGTTCCTGAGTAATTGCGTTTCCTTGAACCAACATAATTTGGATATCGCTTGGACAGACTGGGAGAAGGGGAACTGAATTTTTATTTCTTCAGATCTCCTGAATTTTGTTGTACTCGAGTGGGATTTTTGATCTGTTTCAAAATTTATGTAGCGTTTCCGTTGGAATTTACGGAATGTTATTGTGGCAATTTTTTTAATTCGGAATGTTTAAGTCAACGTCAGGATTTTTCTTTGTGCCGGGACCTAGTCACGTGTCGTGCCCTGAGTTTAATTTTAAAAATTAAACAATTAAGAATAATGGTAATTGTGTGCTAGCTAGGTAGGTGACCGTTGTGAGATCACTAAAATTTCATTCAAAAAAGGCAGAGGTATTCGCACTCCACTGACCAATGTGACTGAATTTCGTATTTTTTGTGTAGGTCAACAACAGTAACCTAACCTTCCTTAATCGTGATCGAAGATCGAAGAAAAAGGTCCGAAAAACCCCATTTAAGGGCTCAAACGAGCTCAGATATAAAATGCGCATTTACCGCTTCAATATAGTATCTTTTACAGAGACCTATCGATACAGAAAAGTATGTTTTTGAATTACGAATTTGCACAGATCATATAACTGTGCAAAATGCAAATTGATTGTGATTGCTTTGTATGACAGTCGGACAGTAAGTTCAAGGTCATTTGTTAGCATTAAGCCATGTCGCACTTTTTACGGGATTCAACACAAAATTAAACTTTACAATTAACAGAAGCACCGAACTGTATGTAGGCAGTCGATGACCTAAAGCAATTTCGATTGAGGCCATGCTAGACTTTTTGGCCTTATCCCATTTGACACTACACCAGCAATCGCCATATAAATGAATGTAGGTACTTACACACATAATTAATAGTTCAAACATTGTGTTTCTTACCAATTATTAGCACTAATTTGTCCAACTGCTTTAATCCTACGAAATTTAACCGCGCGAGTGTCCTAATTATACATAATGAAAATGTTGACGATTTTCGTCCTGGTAACAACTTTAGTAAAAAAAAAACTGTAACAAAAAAGAACGACAAGTGAAAAAAGCCTTGTTTGGTATTGCGGATTATTTATGTTTATTTCACACAATATATAATTGCTAATTAATAGGCGCGCGAGTGCAAGGGAATTTATAATAAGCAACAATAATTGCGTGTAAAATTTTAATTGCACTTATCAGTATATTTGAAAAGTTCCGCGTGAGCATGCTTTTCACAAAATTTCTACTTTCACGCTCACGTTCGCTTCCACTTTTCATAAATTTATGTAGATAAAGTAAAAATGCAACGCAACAATCGCCATATTATTAAAGGTAAAAAATAAATGAAATTAATCGTACAATTCATTTCTACGCTCTCTAGTTATTGATCCTCGAGAGGTGGATTAAGTTAGCACCCCTAAATCGGCACCACAATTTACTACATCGCTAAAATGTTGTGCGCCTCTTGTTTAGGAGAAATTCAAAATTGTTGTTGGGGTCCAACTTAATGCTGGAACACCATCAATCTCGTAACCACATGACACTAATACCATAGTTTTATGCTCGTTCTGTGCCGAATTTTTCATGAGAAAACTTTTCCTTAAGGATGGAAAATCTGGGGGCGACTATTTCGAGTTCGCACTTTCATGAGGATAATCGATCCTGAGGGTAAATCTACCTGATCGAATTTTAATTTTACCGCAGAAGCAGGAGGGCACTTAACAATGTAGTACAAAGCAGCTATTTCAAGGCCGAGGCCATCCTTCAGGGTCGAGCTTTTTTAAACTTAAATTTTTGCTTGTCGCAATTTCTTGGCGAGTGAATATTCCGGCTGGACCGAATATTCTACGAAAAATATTATGAGCGAGATATTTTTCTTTGAGAAAAATTTTCAAAGCCGAATCGTGGCTGTAGAAATTGAAGACAACTTTGGAGGTGGGTACATAGCACTATAAATTCAATGATAGCACTTATATCGAGAGCGCGTTTTTTTCAGAACGTACATTTTCTTTTAGCGCAAGTTCTTGACGAGTATTCTTTTGTTGAGCGCGAATGATGCGGGGAGTTCTTCAGAGGCGAATATTCCGGAGGAATCTTCCGGAGATGAATTTACAAGGGGCACACCTTGCGGAGCCATTATTCCGAAAGCGAATGTGTCGGTGAGAATCTTCTGAAGGCGAATTTCCTTGGAGACGATTGATTAGTGATACGTGTATGCAGTCATTCAGTCATGACATCCTTATTAGGTACATCAGGAGATCACGTCGTTCAAATGCCTTGGTAAATTTCACATCAATTATTTTACCAGTCATTTTTCACTGCAACAAAAACGTTACATTGGCAATAAGAATAGTTATTTATTATACAAAACGATAAAGGGATGTTTTAACCATCGAGTGGTTGAACTTCCACGAGAGTTTCCCTTTATCGTCGTGTATGATACAAAAAAGCCATAGAAATCATACTAAAACTTCTGAAAATTCTGTGGGTATTTAATTTAGACGTCCCAAATAGAAGCTTAGGTTCTCTCGTTGTTTCCATAGAAACAATATTGTATTCTGTTCGGAACTTTATTTTATTTTGTGCTTGCGTTCCATTTTTAATAAGAATGACAGATGTCATTGGAAAGAACAATGATTTATTTCACTTTATCTACTCTTTCCGTTAAAGTGGCCACTTTATCTAACCTTACTGTAAAAGAGACAGCCTACTCCGACGCCTACTCATTCAAACCTATTAAAATGTCATCTGCTATAAAATAAGGGTCATGTTTTTTCCAAAAAGTAGAAATGTCCTTTTTTGAAATGAGCTTCAGCACTTGACAGTCAATTTTCACTACTTGACTTCATTTCTAGTCAAGCCAAGTCAAGTAGCTTGAAAATCAAGTAAAATAGTGAATTCCTATCCATTTCAATTAACCAAGTACTTAGCTACATCCTTCTATTCATTTGATTTCAAATGAGCCGTGGGCTTTTGGAAAAAGGTACCGCCTACACTAATATTCCCCGTCTGTTTCAAATTAAATACAAATTAATTGTCCTAAATAAGGCAAATTTGGTAGGTATAAGATCCTGTTTAACATTTCAAAACGTTTATCCTGTGGCAAAAAGTTGTTAACGTGAGATGCCAAGACAAAAACGAATACGGGCAACGAATACTCAGACGTTGACATCACGTTTCTTAACGGTTTTTCTTATTGCAAGGGGCAATTTTCATATAAAGTGTTAAGGCCGATGACAGATCGTTCATGGTTAGTTCTTCTTTGTATGACCTACTGACTTACAAAAACGGTAGGTGACGGACAGATACGTACCTACCTAATCTGTGCAATTAGTTGATCGATAATTTTTTTTCGAAGATTTACTTACCTATTTAGATTTTTTACAATTAAAGAAAGACATTTCACATAAATTAGCATAATGAATGTATTCCAGACAATTAATGAGTCATCGTGTGATTTTTATATTAATATAAAAAACTGTACAATAGAACAGTGTAATTGAGTTAACATTTTATCTTTTTTTACTACTTTATCTGCACCTTATCGGTCGGTTTCCTGAATTTTTACAATTTAGGTATAAAATAAACAATGTTGAAAGAACAGTTGTCTGCAATGTAAATTCCCACATCAAACCATTTAATTTGAACCTATCATGCAGTGTAATTTATTAATTATCGTCACAAAGACGATATCCTCTTCTTACAATTAGTATATTTGTATGGTGTATAACCAGGTCCTAGTTACTTACTTTTGCTGTGGAAAAGAAGATTTTAAACAAAAAGCTCTTTATTTTACTTTTCATCAAAAGTGAACGAAGAACATTGGATTTTGCAACCTCGTGGTTCTCTATGCTGAAGGACCATTTGCATTTGCATTTCAAAAAATCGGAAAGATGTTTTAGGAGCCGATAACCGGATTGAATATGTACTAATTTACCGTCTAATTTATGTGTACTGTAAGGCATAATATGTAAATTCGCAATTTCTCCAGTATTGGTATTACAGAGACCTAAGATTATCTGGATAATTAATACATTTGATGCAAATTAGACCGTGATTATCGACGTACCTGGTACCTAATATCAAACAAAACGTGTGAAATAGGTGCATGTAATTTGCACAAATTAGAAAAGAAAGTGACTGCAATTTAGATTTTTATTACCTAAAACGATATTTGTTGCAGGTTGCTATGGCGACAAGTTTAGATGCCGATGCAATCAGAGAAGCATACGCAGACGTACGATCGGACACCTCAGAAACGCAATGGTAAGTCATCACCTCCAACTACAGCGCCATTGGATTTGATTGTAATTTTAGGGCTGTGTTCAAATTTGATGGACAACGAATTGTGTGCTTTGCCAAAGGTGATGAGTTCGACAAGTTTAAAGAACATTTTGGTGAGAACGAGCGCGCATTTGGGTACATTCGCGTGCAGACTGGAGATGAAATGTCTAAAAGGCAAAAGTTCCTTTTCGTGACATGGGTTGGTCCATCCGTTAGCGTTATACAGAGAGCGAAAATGTCAACAGATAAGTCTATGATTAAGGATATTATTAAGGTAATTTTTGCTATGGCGAAATTGGAACTAGTTTATTTTGTTTCAGAATTTTGCAGTAGAACTTCAACTAGAAGCTTTGTCAGAGTGTGACCTGTCGTATTTTAAAGAAGCTTTAAATAAGGCGGGCGGTGCTAATTATGGTACCGGCGTTCGTGATCTCTAACTTTTATTATAAAAATTGAAAGTATAACCGTTAGTTTAACTGTGAAAATTACAATAATAAATCGAAAAACAAATTCCTCTGTTTGACTGCTGGCCTGGTTTGACAAAAATATCCATATTCAGTTTTGCCAAAAATGACGTGCCTCATGTCCGTTCTGAATTCGTTTTATCTTTTTCATGCAAAAAGGAGAAGATTTTATTTTTTAGTATTGTAATTGTTACTTATGTATATTGACTGCCTATTTAAGAAGTGCTTGTATAAATTTTAATATTTATGTAATCCATAGTCAAGTTCTCTTTATGCTTCCAGGTTTTTTGTACTTACAAAATTAAGCTCGTGTATTAAATGTGCAATATTGTTTAAATTAAAAGTATTTACTATTTAGATAAGTTATAGCTTTACATTTCGAATAAAGTGATATTTTATCGACATGTGTTTTATCCGATTGCTGAATTTATCCTTACCTAGCCTCTTTAAATACTTTGATTGTCCTCTTTAATCTTTATTTTACCATCTCAATTCTCACTTAACAAACCCATATAGGCCCTCTTAGCTAAGGGCGATTAGAGGTTTGAATAATCGATTATTAAAAATAATCGATTATACTGCGTAATTAACTGATCGATTAATTAAATAACGGATAAATTAAATAATTGATTAGTCAAATAATCAATTAATGAAATAATCGATTAATTTAAAAAATCAAACCCAATGATCGATTATCGTTTGATTATAATCGATTTTTTTGCCCACCGCTATCCATCACAATTCACATTCACAATAACATAACACGAGCATCAATGACATTATGAAATCACTATCTTTTGTATTACCGCTTACTACACGCCTTTAATTAGGTTAATGTTCGTATTCATATTATGCAAAATTAATATCAAGCAGAAATGAGACTAAATTAAAGGTACGTACGATTAACCGAATCGCGACAAAGTGTAACAATTTGTCCTATGGCTGCTGCTTTTTTGGTAAACCGATGTTCGAAATAGCAAATATTCAATTACAAATTAACTTAATAATCGATTAATCAAACAACGAGTCAAACAATCGATAATCGATTATTTCTAGTATTGATTAATCAAATAATCGATTAGTCAAACAATCGATTGATTTAAAAGATTAATCAAACCCAATTATCGATTAATCCATTTTTTACCCAACGCTAGTTCATTTTGTTCCGCTTCTGCAAATGCGATGAACTCACTCTGCTTCTGCAATATACAGGGTGATTCCTATAGTACCTGCCACCGTTTGGGAGCGTATAGGGGGTGCCTAGGGGAGTATTTTGATATAGGACACTTGGGGTCGGAAATCTAAAATAAGGGCGCCAGAACCAAATTATTTATCTTCTGGAATTTCACGCCTGTATGTAGGCAACCCAACCGACCGACGTTTCGCGCGGAGCGATGCAGAGCGAGTTAGCGCGAGGAAGCGACATGGGAGGGAAGGAGGGAAAACGACAGTCAAAGGCAATAACGTTTACAAGTGTTCAACGTGGCCACCGTTGTTCTCAATGCACTTCCTACATCTAGCCAACTATTATTATACTATTGCCATAGTGTTTATTCACTTGATACGCGTCCTTGCAGACGGGATTTCGTGGGTTTAAACAAAATTCTGATCAAGTGTCAGCCACACATCGCCGCCTGAGATCGCTCCGTGTGCACCGCCGGCCGGTTGGGTTGCCTACCTACAGGCGCGAAATTCCAGAAGGTAAATTTGGCTCTGGCACCCTTATTTTAGATTCCCGACCCCAAGTGTCCTATATCAAAATACTCCCCTACGCACCACCTACACGCTCCCAAACGGTGGCAGGTACTATAGGAATCACCCTGTATATACCTACCTAATGCCACACAAGGTTGTTTCTTACAAGTAATCGCACCACCACTGTTAGACTTCCTGTTGGTAATATTCCCCGAAATCATAGCTTCAGGGTATCCTATTAAATCACTCATTTCTTATGCGGCTCACCCATTCCACTCTACTTGAGTTGACGTGTTCCTGCTCATTTGGAAATTGCAGCGGAGCGATGTCCTAGCTCACGTTTACCTACAGATAAATACAGTGGCTTGGCTGACCGCACGGCACCTGTCACTTTGCCGGCCGCACCCCTCTCCTTTCCAGCCGGACCTGTCACATTGGGGTAAAATTTAATACAACACTCGTCAATAAAATGACACTATTTGACTCTGAAATTACTTCCTCGTCAGTAACTTGTCATTTTCCTGACTTATGTAAATAACTATTACCTTTTCTATTCTTTTCCTCCTCCATTTTCATTATATCCCTCTCTTCCTTCCACCCCCTTTCCAAATTTCATCATCTTCGACTTTTCTACTTTATTAACTCCTTTGCTTTTCAATTTACAAAATATAGAAAACCGTAGCCGAAATGGTACTTCTTTCGCGTTAAGTGGCCGTAGAATCCATAATTTCAAACAGTTCCAAGATCGGGCTACTGGATCAAAAGTTACAGCCCTTTGAATGTTCTTTCGAAATTGGTTTCTAGTCTATAACTTTTGATTGAGAAATCTGATCGAAAAAGTACGAATTGTTTTGGATTCTACGCACCAAAATTAATAAGAAAAAGTGTTTTCCCGAGAAATTTTGGTGTAGTCGATTTTTGGTAAAAAAAGGAAAGTTGTACACTGCCTTTTTTTTGGCCCGAAAGAAAAATTGTCTCAGATCGACCGGGAAAAAATATTTTCTTATAGAATGTGGCGTTACCTAAGCATCGCTGTGACTCATGGCTGGGCTTAACGAAAAAAGAAAGGGAGAAGGGACTCTCAATAACGATAAACTATGAATTCTATTGGAGGACTACACCTTTTTTGCTCTGACTATTCAAGCGAACAAGTGAAATCTAAGATTTTTTTGCTCTTGTAATGTCAGACTCAACTCAAGTGGAAGTGTTTGTACTTAGAATAGACCTTTTCGCTATGGTTTTTTATTATCCTGCTTGATGTAACAATGTATTTAATTTAATACGTACAATAATAATTGCTAAAGTTGAATAACGTTGCACACTAGAAACTAGGAGGATTAGGAGAATACCAGTCGATAATGGCTAAATTCTCCCACACAAATTGCCCTCTCAGTCCCTCTGCATCCAGGGCAGCAAATAATGCAGGTCTCGCACCTTCTTCTGCAGTGTACGTTCCGGTGTTTCCCGTCAAGTCCGTTTTAGAATAGCCAGGGTGAACAGAATTAACAGAAATCTGCCTCTTTTCGGGATCGTTGTCGAATTGTCTTTGCAAAACGATCGTTAGGGCGGCAACCGCAACTTTGGATACATTGTAAGGAGAATCTCCCCATCCGTTAGTAATATGTTTATTTTGTCGAACGTCACTGGAAATCAAAGACGATTACTTGTGGAATTTTCAATAGTAAATTTTTACCTTAAGTACTCATTCATTAACTGACATAAACCGTCAACTGTTAAGTTCCTTGATGCGAGCCGGTCTCTGAGACTTGCAGAAGGAATGTTGGACAAATGACCAAAGTAGCTGGATGTATTGATGATTCGCGCACCATACCGTAATAAGGGCGCCAGAATCTCGGACACATGTAGCGTTCCAAAGAAGTTCACATTTACCACCTTCTCCGCCTCCTTTGAAAAAAGCTGGGTACACTCCTGGAATGATGTAGGTAATTAGTTGCAGAAGCACAAAATAAAAGTAAATTCACGCACATCAAAAGTAACTCCCGCATTATTAAACAAAAGGTTTATTCCTCCTTCGCGCTTGGCTATGTAATCTCGAAACCTTTTAATACTTTCCTCATCTTCAACATCCAATTGACGGAAAATGGGGTTTAAACCCAATTTTTTGAGTTTGCAAGCTGCAGCGTTCCCTTTAATTGCGTTTCTTGCCGTTAGATACACGTTTCCATTATACCTTTGGCACAACGCTTTTACTATCTCAAATCCAATACCTTTATTTGCACCAGTTACCTAAAAAATTCATGTTTAAGGGTCTACCAAACGATAGGAATTAAAACGTACCACAGCAACCTTCATTTTCGCTAGCGTTTTCGAAATATTCTATTCTTCTGCTGCTTATTTGCATTGCTATATATAGGTACGTAGGGATGCAAAGGTAAGTTTTCAATGTCAAACCACCAGCAGATAGTAAATATTGTTGTGGTTGTGGTTGTTATCTTTGTAACGGCCTAGACATCAGATCCTATGCACATTATTTTTAGTTAAATAGGTACGTTGAACTTTGATTAGAAATAAAACAAATAAAAAATGCAATTGTAATCGAAGCAATGCAAAATTACAGGAAAAATTTGGGAATCGAAAGAAGAATTAGAAATGTTATACCAACTACCCCTGTGCCTGTGGTAAAACAAAAAACGTAACATTAAAAAAGGTGGGTGGCAACTGTAGAGAAACAACTTAAAGCTGCAGGTCGATGGCATCCCTGAATGCCCGAAATTTTGGGATGTAAGATGACTATCTGCATCAAGCATTTCAAATGAGAGCCAGCTTGAAAAATCCCTGATACGTATTCCCAGGAAATTGAATCAAAAATCGCATTGGTATACTATAGAACTTCTGAATTTGTTTAGAATCAGAATTGCATCTGTGAACAAAGCTGCACATTAATACCAAATAAAAATTCGATCCAAAGTGACTGAAAATTCCAGATGTATAGACGCGGCAGACGAGCGGTTTTTCTTTTAGTGCTAAACATATTTGAAAATGGTTTCATCAAAGCTTAATCAATTGTTCAATAGAACCTCAATTCTTTGGTATCTCATGAGGCAGTTCTTTTTACTCCAAGCTCTTAGAGGTCTATAAATTGTTAATTATCAGTGGGTAAACGCATTAAAATTACATTTCAGGTTGTAAAATAAGACAATTAGTATTAAATTTAAAATCAGAATCGCCGCGCTAAAAACTCCCATAAGGATTGCATTGCCCTGTGCTCCCTGTAAGTACTGTAAAGGTAAGTGTTCATTGAAACGAAGCGGGCGCGCTAGACTCGCCGATTTTTAAATATTACTAGCTGCCTGACCCGGCTTCGCAAGGGTGTTTATAATTTTCGTATTCGTAGTTACATGTTGGAATGGATGTGTATGATGTTGGTTACAGAAAAAATAGTATCTTAAAATTTGGATTGAAACCCCTTTCCCGAATTATATTTTCACCAAAAAATGATGTCATTTGGAATACACATCAGTTTATAACTGTTGAATATTCTGCAAGAAATGATTCGATAGAGGGTTTTGCCCTGAAAGAAGTAATGAATTCAGTGGTTCAGGTGGCGTTGTAAGTTGCGGTAATTTGTCATCTCTACTGGCACAATATAATCCTGCTGGTTCTAGTCGAAACCTCAAAAGCGGAAGGAATTCTGTGTAGTATTGGACTCGATCATCTACTTTTTGAAGCCACTCGGGTTTACATTAGAACCTAAAACTGCCGTTTTCATGTTTCCAAATAATACTTTCTCATTTCCTCTTTTTGAGCACCGTTTTGTTTCGGAGAAATGATCACAAACTATACTTTTTTATATGGCCCGTGGAAAAAGTACACAATGTATTTAGTAGCACTTTTTATTACGAATACAACTAATGTATAGTTATTACTCTCGCTAGGAAAGATTGCCGGTCACAGCACACCTTGTGTCGATCTACAATCTATGTTTTTCTTAAGACGCGAGCGACTTCCGGAATAGGATCGTGCCAATGTTGTACGAAAAGTCTATTTGTTGAACATTGACACGATACTATCCCGGAAGTCGGTCACATCTTTAGAAAAACATAGATTGTAGACCGGGATCAAGTGTTCTGTGACCGGCAATCTTTCCTAGCGAGAGGTTTATAGTATCTAACATTTTTTCTATTTTCGAGGAATTTATTCGATTGGTATGCTAGCAAGTTGTGTGCAGGTGCTGTCTTGTAGAGTTCAAAAACTGGCAATGAGAAAGTGTCTTTTGTCTTTTTTGTTGTATCTGTTCAACTAACCCAGCAAAAAATAAACATAAAATCGGCAAGTCTCTGTTTTTCTGTCATATCTTCGGAAGTAATCAGAATTATTTTGTTTTCTCTAAAGCACGATAATATTGGTTTAATTGCTCATCTTTTCTCTAATTTGACTATCATCGTACCTTCTATGGTTTCGATCTCCGTGATAGACATCCTTATCTTGGACACTCTTCCAAGCGAGAGAAAGCCCGTACCAATGAGTACCCCGTCGTACCTACTGTGGTTTATAGTAAATCTTAAATTACTTCTTAAACCTTTGGTAAATTTAATCCCTTTATGGCTTAATTGTATGTTGGGTGAGTTGGGTCGTCCTTAGAGGTACAGGTTGGAATGAATTTTGTAGTCACGGCAAACCTTGCTCTTTTTATAAATAGAATTTGCGGACATATGTTTTTAAAGCAGTGATGTAGGGTAGGTAGGTACGAATTTATATTTTATATCTGGACGATTATTTTCCTAAATTAATTAGGCTATTCTTTGCTTTCATTTTTAAGAAAAGAGTTTCCTATTTGCTTGACTTAGCTTAGAGCGTCACATGTTTCGATAACGCAAGCACAAAAAAAAGGGCTATCTAATTTCATGCGCGTAAATAAATTTCATATATGTATATAGACTTTCGCAGTCATTTATCCTGCAATCGGATGAACAGTTTAGAGACGTACGTCTAACCCCCAAAGTTTAATCGCAATCGGATAAACGGTTTAGGCAAACATAATGGACATTCATACGTACAGACAGACAGAAATTTTTTTATTATATAGAAACCTTCTCGGACATATGTCCAACTATTCCCCAGTTTCATTGCAATCGGATGAACGGTTTAGGCAGGCATAAGGGACATACAAACATTCATTTTTATTTATATAGATATGAAGATGCGTTCACTTGGACCAAAGATCATGTACATACGCGCACGTACATTTAGGTGCAATGCATTATACGGCGCGTCCGTTGTGCCCGCTCCGCTTCAGTGAACGCATCCCTTAAAGTCAAAGTGAGACGGTCTATAGAATAGCGAACTTCCGTCAAAAAAGTGGGGTCATTTTGACCCCAATTGAAAACTTTCCTTTACTAAAGTGCGGGTGGTAAAAATGAGAGTAGTTGGAGGGCAGACAACTGAACCACGTATCTTTGCGTGATCTTTCCGGATCCAGTTAAAATGAAAAGTAAAAAGGTTTTCTTTGTATGAATCTGAAAGGCTTTTAAGAGAATCATGTTCTCCTTTGTAGAAATCGACGCCTCTGCTAAAGACCAAGGGCAGATTTTCATAAATAAGAGACAGAATTTGAAATAAAAAGTATATATGTATATAAAACAGGATAATACAAATAAAACAAACATATTGCTCACATTATTTGTAAAATATTTAAATGAAAATATGAAATATTTACATGTGATGTAAGGCGCATAAAAATAAAATGATTACAATATGTGATTTCGTGAGCACTAACTTTGTCAATGATAAACAAATTGATATGACTTTGTTACAAAAAGTTATTAAATTTAAACTGCTAGAAAACGAACATTTATTTTTCTACGTTTAATAACATTATACTTAGTGATATTCTAGCAGCTTTACACAGATATGATGTAGATATAGACATATTTACAATGATATCAATTTTAGACGTAGGTGCTAAGAAGTAGAATTAAAGCACTTATATGTGATTTTGGCACATTAATTAACAATACGTGCTTAAAAATTAAATTAACAGTTACAGAAACGCTAACTAATAGTGTTGTCTGCAATCTAGCAATACCCTATTTACAATGTTTTATTAAAAATATGTCGTGATCGAAATTTATACTCTTGATTGTTGACAACACTACAACACAATATTAACAATTATTTACTTCAATACATTTAATATCAATGAGATTCGGCTGCTGTAATTTTCAAACACACACCTCCATATCTTCTAAATTTATTGTACTATCCGCACTGGCTAATTTTAGCAAGGTTTTCTTTATTCGTAACGCTGGCAACCTGACGTTCGCATTCTGGTGCCAGCATTCGCGCATAAGTTTCGCCATTCCACTCAAAACCTTAAAAACAAATTGCACGCATTCTATGTGGAGCGCTACTTGCACAATACGTACCAGATCGCTGGCCCATCTGTTTGGTAAATTCGGACGTTGCTGATCGACGCAGACCACCTTTCTCATATCCTCAAAGCTAGGATCACTTGGCACCACATCGTGAAACGGAGGTTTATAGTCTTCGGCGATTCCGTTGCTAATCGTCCGCCGACTTACCTCCCAGTAAACCAGACCCAAAGCGTAAATGTCGACACGCCGAAACGCGTCGAAATTATCCATTCTAATACTGTAATAATATAAATGATGATTACTAGAGCAGTTTGGGGCGAGTAAATTGCGCTTACGTTTCGTCAAGAACTTCGGGACTCATGTACCGCTTGGTTCCAACTCTGGGATTTGTGCCTAAATCTAATTCGTCAGTTGCCTGAACGTGAGTAACTGCCAAACCAAAGTCCGCAATGCAACAGCTTCCATTTGATTTGACCAAAATATTCTTGCTCTTAATATCACGATGGGCCATTGCAGGTTTGCCCTGTTAAGAAATTAGTAGTAAACCTAATTCGTGATTTTTTAATTTATAATTTTCTTTCATTTCACAGAAAATGGTTATAATCATGGGCGTTATGAGTTTCGTGGATAATTGAAACCAACTGCATTTAGTTTCGGGTTCATGGGTTCATTTTAAACTGTGGCTTTACTACGGACTGCATTTTTGTCTATTCAGCTTTGTAATGTAATAGTACATAGTAGTATTATTAACAGAATATTAAGTTAGTTGTGAAAAATTTATACCAAAGAACTTGAAGGGCGGGTTTGGAGCTCCCAAAATTTTCAATCTTTTCCACCCTTATTTGGGGGTTATGTGGGTTAATCCGACAGTCGATACAGGGTCACCTATGCCAAACAGTTGCGTGACGCACCAGACAGTGAGGTTCAAGCGCATGTGTCCAAGACGTGCTTTGAGTGAGGTGTCAGCGACGTCGACGTTTGGCGTCTGAGGTTGGCGTTTGGGTACGCGCTCACGTTTGGATCTTGAAAATGTTATGTCACACAGCAAGATATGGGGCCATTGACAATGGAAATCGTCGATTGACTGTGACCTTGAAAGTACACATTGACACGGTAGCAAATGGAGTAATGGATCTCTGATGACCTTGAAACTGGAATAACCCATGACAATAAAAAAAAAGGTGTTGTTGATATCTGATGACTTTGAAAATGAAATGACACCGCCAAGAAATGGAGGTCATCGATCTTGGACAACCTTGGAAATGAAATATTGGGACCCGGGCCAAAAAGTGGAAGCTTCACGTCTACCGCGGGTGAGGCTCTTACAAGTCTCCTAGAAACACAGTTTCCAGACTCTGTAGACTAGCAGCTTTGGCTTTACACTGTAGTGATAAGGTCAATAATACTGTACAGCGCACCTGCCAAGCGCAGGGCAACCTACACGAAGCAGCTAGACAAGGTTCAGAGACTCATCTGTCTGAGAGTCACTGGCGCCCTGAAAACCACACCAACTTTGACCCTGGAGGCATTTCTAGGACTAAGAACCTACACTTAGCTGTGGAGGCAGAGGCTTCCATACAGCTAAACGATTGGGACAAGTGGAAGAATTAAGGCGGATCTGGGAGGAAACCCTCAGATCCATCCCCTCTTTCAAGAAGGGAAGAAAGGACAGGGAGCAGTGACTAAACTTGGATTGCCCGTTTCTCAAACCCGAGGGGCTCGTGTGGTTTACGGAAAGGGGAACGGGCCTGGGTATATATGGCGATCGACTGAGAGCTGACGTCAGCTTCTCCCTTAGTCAGCAACAACCGACTACCTACCTGAGTTCCAAATATTTCCGTATGGAGATGTACCAAACCATTTGCAATCGAGAGGCATATTCTAAGCAGCTGATGGTGAGTCAAGGTGGTTCTGTTCAGATGATCGTACAAGCTGCCCAACGAATGATAATGCGTCAACAATAAAAGTTGTGTACACGAATTTCTCGAAGTCATATCGGATCCGATGTATCCTAGTATATTTTCGTGCCTGAGTAGTATTGTGCTGTATATCTCTGTCTCGCGTGTCCAACTAGCTTCGTCTCGCGAAAAGAATATTTTAACTGCCACACTTTCGCCGTGCCAAATCCCTCTCCATACCTCACCGTAGCGACCTTTACCGATACACTCCAGTAAAGATATTTGTTTGGCAAGAGTACGTTGTATAAGTAGCGGTAGACCGGAGCCGCTTCCTGATGTGAGCGAATGTTCTAGATACTCTCTAAGCGTGCTGTCTCCAGCAGCGGTCGCCCTTAACAGATCGTCACTGGCAAAGTAAGTATCCATGTCCAGCTTGCTCTGCTCTCTTAATCTGCGTTTGTGTATATGTCTTAAAACGACTAAAGTTACCGTGACGGCGATGGCCAAAACGATGGCAGGAATAATAACGGCGAGTACTAATTTTAATATATAACTTATCGAGTCATTATATACACTGGCTTCCTCCCGAAATAATGGAGGAAGCTCGGGGAAATCTCCACTATTGCAAAAATCACCATCGCAACACCGTATATGATATTGACCGACAGCGTGCCGTTTGCGCTGAACTGCAAATGAGGGAGTACCACAATACAGAGGTATATGGTCTGCATTTGTGGTACAGCCACGCGTGACGCTCTCCTCGCCCGAGCTTTCCCGCACTCTCGATTTCCAACACTGCACCGCGTCAACACATATAGACGGATTAGAACAGTCTGGCGCTTCGCACGAGTAACATTTATAACGCTTTATGTAACCGGGAACTTTATGGTGATTATCTGACCTTTTGGGTAATCCGAATGGTGGCGGTTCTCCGACATCGAGATCATTATTTGATTCATCATCGTCATCGTCTGCATCCTCTTTCAATTGTGGTTTGTTTAGGACTTCCCCTGAAATATTATTTTATCATGCCCCTGTAATTGTAGAGAAAAATAGTTACCTGTGCAAATGTGAAGTATAAAAACAACTAATAAACAATTGATAAAAACAGAAACAGCCATGTTTGAAAGGGCTGTGATAACAAGATGGTATTTACGGACAAAACAGTTTCTCGCTCATTTTTATGGTGTGAAGAAACGATAAAGATATAATTCTCTATTAAACAATAAAGCCCCGCACAGATTCCACATTATTATTATTAAGTACTAAAATACGTATGTAAAATTTCCACATTTGAAGTAAAACGACAGCTGTAAAATTAGTTCCACATCATGATACAGGATGGTACCACTCCACGATGGTACACTGTATACACTCTCATACAGGGTATCCCAAATTTATAGGTCCACCTCGTAATACAGAAATCGTAGCAGAAATCCAGTGTTGTGACAGATACACTTATTTATAGCGTTTTCGATTGGCAAAACTCGTACTGCACGAGTGTTGCACGAGAAACTGAAGAAATCCATGTGAAAATTGCTCTCAATGGAACATAAATATTCGTAAATATTTGCTGTCATTTGTCCATAACCTCATTTTAGATTTGTATTTATACAATGATTTAGGTAATCGACAAATCTGTATTCTAAAAAATGACTGAAACGATTTCACTATTATTTATGATAAACAATGAGGAATATAAATTTGAAATTCCTGTAAAGAACCAATTTTTGGCGTTCACTTTAAAGAGTAAATGCAACTTTTTGTAAAGTAGAAGTTATATGGCTAGTTCATCATCTTCGCTATCGCTAGATGACAACAAAAAACTCTCCAACGCAAGAAACAAATTCAAATTGGCGCACTTTTATTTTGAAAATTTGCTCCACGAGCTCTCCGACCTCGTGCGTCAAAATTTGCATTTAGTGCGTAATTGTTGCATCACATTTGCCAATGGAACACAGAAAATTGCCCTAAAATTACCAATAGAACGTAAAAATTGTACTCGTGCAGCACGAGTTTTGCCAATCGAAAACGCTATTAGTATCTAGTTACAGATACAGATACATTTTTTTAGATACATTTGTTTCGGTGTATCTAGATACAGATACAAATACGAACCTATATTTTGTTCGAATGTTGCAATCGTTCACCTATTTCACTGAGACCCACTCATGTACATATAATAAATCCTATTTGTGAGTACAAAATCGTAGTTTGCCATCGGTAAATAGGAAGGAAGAGAAATGCAAGTGGATAAATCGGGTTAGTTATGTTACCATTGTAACGGGATTCTTTTCGAACTCAGTTTGTAAGAAATTGAGGTACAATACTTATCCGAATTTTTTCATATGTGAAAGGTCCAATAATCATATATTACGTGTCAAAACCTGTTTATGGTGTACAGACAAATAAAGATTGATTGATTGAATTTTGCTTCTTTGTTATACGACCTAAAATTTTAATATCGCTCTCATTTAAAAAAACAAAAGTTGGTATCGGTAAAGTATAATGATAAATAAAATTCCTTTCCATCATCTCTAAATGAAGAGAAAAAGTTCGTTAAGAAAGTTCTTTTTAGTTTTTAAATACCTTCCCAAATAACGATTTTAAAGCCAAAAATCAAAAACGTAAATTATAGTCGTATTTTTCGCCAAACATATTTAAGAAACATTAGCCAGGGGGTAAATAACTCAAGGATTATTTTTGTCCATTTAACTATGCGAATTAGCGAGATCGCTGTACCAACTGTACTACCACGAAATTTGATACAACCTGTATACAATGCTTACATTTTGTGGTTTTTTACCATAGACTTCTTGTATCTATGGTTCACCAGATGTTGTTTATTGACATATGACACCCATTGACATATGTCAAAATCAAATATTTTCCCTTTTGTAGGTTATTGTTTAGTCATTAGTCGACATTACTTATTTTTGCCGTTACCAGCTCTTTTACCGAGGTGTGAATAAAATCTAAGAAAACAATGAGTTTGCATTAATTAAAGGAGTGAGTGATCTTAATTTCATTTTGGAGATTTATCTTTACACATGCATACATTTATTAAGCCCTTCTTCTTGTTATAAATAGAAGTTTCTTTTGTTCTGTTATTCTTGAAAGTACCTAATTTTTAGATTAAAAATGGTGAAATTGACCTTCAATAATTTCCTAACAAAAGGGGATCCGCAGGAAACACCTGTTCTTATTATCGGTCGCTTAACCAATCTGTTACGCATTAAATATCAAGATATCAAGTGCAAGTTGGAACCAAGAGTTACCGAGGATGTCAGTTGACAACGTTTATGCTTTAACTACTTACCGAGTGATTATTTTAGGTTTTTAAAACGGCTATATACAGTCTACATCCATCACCTACTGATACATGCTCTTTGTACTTAAATTTGGCAACGGTGGCTGCATTGCCTACCAAGTGTAGCAGACATAATACACCTTCTAGATCGCATGCCATTACTCGTCTGGTGCAAAATTGTAGTGTTGGAGTTAATGAGAGCGTAGTGGTGAGTATCCCTTAGAAGTAGGTAATTCTACCTGCATATTTTCCAAATTCTTTTCCACATTTTTGTACTTACGGTGCTCACATCTCATGACTTGATCTGTGTACAGCAAATGTGTCTTAAATGTATACATATGGGCCATGTATAATTAAAAAATGGATCAACGAATCATGATACTTGGTATTAGTGGGGCAGACAATGGCAAGTATCTTTCAGAGAATGATACAAGCATAAAGGCTTCTATAAGGATACTGTTTAATATGAAAACACTGGCCACTTAAACAATTGAAAATGGCCGCAGTTTTCCAAGATGGCGGTACAGTATTAACTATTGTTAGTGTCAAGTATTTCTCAAATGATGATGCTACCATTACATTTGGTATGAACGCTAAGACAAGGATATTGTTTTAAAACGCTGGCTATTAAAAATTCGAAATGGCCGCTGTTTTTACTTCTCACTAGATTTGCATGATCTGTGCCGCCATCTTGGAAAACGGCGGCCATATTGAGTTTCTTAAGTGGCCACTGTTTTTGTATAAAACAATACCCTTAAGAGTCTTCTGTACCCACTGCACCCAATGTAAATTTCCATAAGAGCGCCCGCCATAAAAACTCTATTTGTTTTTCCAAAAACAATTTTTTTTAAGAACTATTTTATAAATTTAGACCTTTATCTACAAAATGTTTGGACTATTTTTTTTTTTAAGTTTATAGCAACTGAATACCGATTGTTTAAAGATTAGATGTTTCGCACCAATTATTGCGCTAATCTGTTTTATTTTTTTACTCTCGATCAAGACGATTTATGGAAAAAGTAAACCGACAGTTTTTTAGATAAGTTACTTCTAAACATGACCCCAAAAAATGAAATAATAATTTTTGTAAATAAAGTCTGTATCTTGGCGGGCGTTAAATCAACAATTTGAGTGTAACAAGTGGCGCCGCTGCACAGTGTCGGTGGGAACTTACTAAAGACCAAGACAGGAGTTGACAAAGCAAGAATATCATCTTATCTCTTGCAGCTATAATCATCTATACACTATAATGTAAAAAAGTTGCGCTTAGGTAAAGAAGACTCTTAATGGGAATTCATAGCGAATTTCATGGTGGTATAATTTAAATGTGAGTTGCCACTAATGATAGTTGATATGTACCGCCATATTAGAAAATCGGCGTTTTTATATAAAACAGTACCCTTACAAGAGCATTCATACCAAATTTCATGCTTGCATCAACATCTGAACGATACAAGCATTTTCTGGCATATCTGCCACTGCGCTATATTATAGGATAGAATAGATGGCCATAGGCAACCAACATTGTTTTTACAGTTCTTAAACTGTTACTACCCTCATACCCCTCGCCTCATCAAGTTAATATTTCAACCTTATCGTCTTTGCTATATATATTTGTGTTTTTTTATTTTGCGCCTGGTGACAATAAAATATACAGGGTGTTATATTTAAAAACGAAAAGTTAAGGCTAAACTGGAAGTCCAAAAAAAAAAGACATTACAATTATTAAATGCATTAATATTTGTTAATATAAGCACACCAATTAGTAAAAAAATTGCTTCACAAATATCGGAGAACTTTATACTGCAACTGTACCCCAATGAACTGTGATTTTGTTATAGATTGTGTGCGAAAAATCTGATGTATTTGCAAGCGGTTGCGCTGTCGCACGAGCGTTTCCACTGTACAGCAAAAAGACTCTAGCAGTGAGTAACGAAAACATTACGGTTTCTGTGGAGTTTGTAATTGTACCATCCACAAATGGTAAAGGTACTGTATTTATTTATGCTTAGTAATAACAGTATACAATTTATGTTGTAGAAGTGGAAGAACATGTGCAGATGGGAGAGGTAACAGATGAAGAACTAAAAGCTCTAGAACATGCTGCGTATGGTATAGCTTTGACGGCACGCATTGTGGATACACCCTGTAATGAAATGAATGTGGATTACTTCATTCAGGTTTTTATCAACTTTTTGATTGATTACGATTCATGGTAATTCTCAGGAAGTGGACGCTATTGGGAACTTATTACATATCCAACCGGTAATTATACGGGGTGAAGAATTGGCAGAACGAGGCTTTGGCGGAATCTACGGGGTGGGCAACGCTGCATTAGTGCCGCCCGCTTTGGTTGTATTAAGTTACACACCTCCGTGTGCTACAACTACAATTGCTTGGGTCGGAAAAGGAATCGTCTACGATACAGGGGGTTTGAGTATTAAGGGGAAGGTATTATGCAAATGTGTTGTGTAATTGTAATTCAGCTTCTTATAGACTGCAATGCCAGGAATGAAACGGGACTGTGGAGGTGCGGCTGCCATTCTTGGAGCTTTTTATACCGCTGTCAAGTCCAACTTCACAGAAAATCTTCACGCAATTTTTTGCTTAGCTGAAAATTCTGTGGGTCCATCAGCTACAAGGTAATGTGTGCTAAAATGGCATTTGTTGCTTTACCTAGTTTCCTAGACCGGATGATATTCACACGTTATACTCTGGGCGAACTGTCGAGATAAATAACACAGATGCTGAGGGACGCTTGGTTCTTGCAGATGGTGTCGTTTATGCACATCGTGACTTAAAGGCCAACATAATCCTAGACATGGCCACTTTAACTAGTGCACAGGTATTTAGAAAGTCTGAAGGCATGGAGGGAACTTCGCGTTTAAAGTCTTAAATTAGAGTTTAAAGGTCGATTCTCACTTTGAATTAAGACTTCAGGTTTCAAAGTCAGAATCTCCAAAGGCTGAATTTTACAAGCGCATTAACGCATTTCTAGAATCTTTCATAAGCCTTTTAATCCTTTGTAGTTGGTAAACTTCCTCTATGCCTTCCTAATAAGGTGTGTCAATTATAATAATTTTGTGCTAGGGAGTGGCCACAGGAAAATATCATGGCGCAATTTTGTCCAATAACGAGGATTGGGAACAATTTTGCATGCAAGCCGGACAAGTTTCGGGAGACTTGCTGTTCCCAATTCCTTATTGCCCGGAGCTGCATTTTTCTGAATTCGCTTCAGCTGTGGCAGACATGAAAAATTCTGTAGCTGACCGTAGTAACGCTCAGTCCAGTTGTGCCGGGTTATTCATAGGGGCACATTTAGGTTTCGATTATCCAGGAGTGTGGGTTCACGTTGATATGGCATTACCTGTGTACAGTGTAAGTAATTATTACTGTTCTCAAACATCCCATACTATGCCTTGTGTTATAGGGAGAAAGAGCGACCGGTTATGGAGTTGCTTTACTAACAACATTATTTGGTAGTTATTGCAAGCAGCCGTTACTTAATTTTATTGCTCCAGAAGTTGATGTTAAGGAAGGGGTGCCAAAGAAGTCTCGAAAAAATTGATGTATCTTACGGTACATTTATGTGAACGTTGCATTAATATTTTGCATGTTTTATGTGGTCATAAAGATCCGTACATTTTTTCGAGGGGAGCCAAGATTTTGTAAACATTAAAAAATAAAACTTTTCTTTGAAGATATGTAGTTTATTCATATTAGGAACTGTATTCGTCTTTCATTCAAAGTACCATAGTAGTGACTAATTAGAGTACTGGGGCGCCGACCCGTGTAGCGCAGTTCAGTGGAAGCTCGACTGCGGTACAGGGTCCCTGGTTCGAATCCGGGTTCGGGCATGGATATTTGTAAATGTATAGTGGGTTGGATAGGTAGAGCAGCCTCGGCTGAAACCCCGCCCACTTAAAAATAAAGGCAAAATAAAAACTGAGACAATTTTTTTTTCGGAACTCAAAAAAAGGCAGTGTATAACCTTCCATTTTTACCAAAAATCGCCTACACCAAAATTTCTCGGGAAAACACTTTTTCTTATTAATTTGGGTGCGTAGAATCCAAATCAATTCGTACTTTTTCGATCAGACTTCTCAATCAAAAGTTATAGACTAGAAACCAATTTGGAAAAAAAATTCAAAGGGCTGTAACTTTTGAACTAGTAGCCCAATCTTGGAACTGTTTGAAGTTATCGATTCTACAGGCCACATTCTATAAGAAAATATTTTTTCCGGGTCGATCTGAGACAATTTTTTTTTCGGGGCTCAAAAAAAGGCAGAGTATAGCCTTCCTTTTTTACCAAAAATCGACTAAACCAAAATTTCTCGGGAAAACACTTTTTCTTATTAATTTGGGTGCGTAGAATCCAAATCAATTCGTACTTTTTCGATCAGACGTCTCAATCATAAGTTATAGACTAGAAACCCTGGTTTCCAGTAATATGAAAGGTGCCTTATATTGTTAATATTTAAATTAATTTTTATTGTCAATTACTGTGATTCAAGCACTTTTAATGGTTTCACGCACTTTCCAAGGGCTTGATGCTTTGTATTTTCAATTACTTTAGAAAGTGCTTGGTAATTCCAAGCTCTTTCATCACATAAAAGTGCTTAGGGCTTGCAAGCACTTTTATCAAAACAAAGTGCTCGGTGCTTCAAGCCCTTTTCAAGAGGGCTTTACCCAGCTCTGGCACAGACGAACGTAGATAAAAATACGGAAGCAAAAGAAGCAATAATCGTAGGTAATTGCACAAGTGCATCAAAATTATCGATAATTTTTTTAAAAGCGTGTTGTCTAAAAACTGCTTGAGTTTATTTTCATATTTTGGCCAAAGAGCCAGACACCGACATTGCATAAAATTAGGCGCCCTTCAGAAGAGATTTTGTAATTAAGACAGGGAAAAACAATACATATAAATCCCTATGTCTACATCCAAGGTAGAGAAGCGTAGTATCCCAGGTTACATCCCGAGGCGCTTGTGTAAAAGTATACTTATATAAGTTAAAAGAAAAAAATAAATATAAACAATACCTAAATACTAATTTTTATTGTAAAATTTGTTTATACAGATGTACAGCTAAGAAAACTAATCTACTTAAACAAACATTGATAATTAAAAAGAAGACAACTTAAAATCCGTATTTTGCTTGCGTTTGTTTGCGATTATACCTATTTTCGGACCATGTTTTCTGGAGTTCCTTATCGTTCGCCAGTGCTTTTTGTGCTAACGCAGTAATGTGATTCTTCACCTTTCTCGTACTATCTACTGTTTTTTCTATGACAGGTTCAGCTTCGAGATCTGGATCTGTTAGTGACCTTAACCAAACCTCTTTGTCAGGTCTAATGGCATCTTCGTGGATGTCAATTAGCTTAACGTTTCTGGGGATTCTTTTGGTATTTCCCAGTAACTCTTTGAACTAAAATTGTTTATGTGAAAGTAAAATGTATGAAATAATTAAACTTACAGCTTTATTATCGAGTCCTTTGTACGGCTGATCGACATCGGGAGCAGCTTCGACAGTTTCCGTTACTTTCACTTGCTCCGGTTCTGGTTCAGCTGGCGGTTTCTGCAGTTTTTTCTTCTTTCGTCCACAAACTTCCTGCCAAGTTGCATCATCGTATGTTTCGGGAATTTCAAACTCTTCGTCGTCTGTCGAGTCCGACCCATTTTTAATTAATGAAATGGGAGTAGGTTTTGGAGTTGTGTCTTCTGCCACTTTTCTTTTCTGTGGAGTTTTCGAAGGTGGCGGTTTTTTACTATTCCTCTTTTGAAGAACGTTGGGTACAAAACTTGTGCTCGACAATGGGGTACCTTTAGGCGGGGGCAGTAATGTGAATAATCCTGAAACCTACTTTACAATTAACAGAGTTACACTTTGCAGTTTAGATTTTAATACTTTTTGTTTTGATTTCCTTTCGACTGGCTTTTCGTCTTCGTCACTGCTGTAGTCAAGGGTAGGTATGTCTATTCTAATCCGTTTTTTTGGTTTTTCAGTAACCTCTTCTGTTTTTTGTAGAAATTCGTCTTCAACTTCTTCAATTACCTCATTTTCAACTTCTTGTGGAGGAGGTAAAGTCGAAAACAAATTCCTCTGGTCATTTTGAGGTGCAATATTGGAATCGGAAGGCAATAGAGACTTTGTTAGTGTTACTGTACCATTACAGAGAGAATCGGACTCTGCCTCTTCTTCATACTCGCTGTCACTGTTGCTGTCGTACGCTACTAAAGCCATATTTTAATACTACTCCAATATAATTAAAGGATTTGTTGCTCAAATTAATCAAATATTAAACAAATCAAAGCAATGAGTGAGGTTAGAATTAAAATCTTCCAAACGCATTACTTCAAGTTCAAGCTCACGTCAATGTAAAGTACCAAAGGCGGCTCGTGAATTGAGACAAGTGGGGTTACGTCCATACTACTTGGGGTGGTTACTGGTTAGGATAAAAAATCCAACACTTATAAAAATATTGAATGAAATTGACTGACAAAAAAAGATAAAGAATTTTAGTGTCGGGTGGCCCTTCTTGCACGAAAACTTTATCTAATAAATTTATCGACGAAGTGCTCCATGTTCTTGGGTTGTAGGTATATAATGTGAAAATAAGATGCAGACTCAAAAATAATAGTTTAATCTTAATCTTATTTTCACTTTATCTAGCGCGAGCGAAAAAGTTTATAAATCGGCCTTTATACCAGTCCAGCCCTCTTTCTAATTTTCTCATTCCTGATCCTATCCTTACCTGCCTTCGCCTTGGACTCCCTTTCCAGACTTTCCGCTTACGTATTACATATCCTCCGACTCTATCGAAAACAAAGTGTGACGGTAATTGGGTACGTTGATCTCTGGAATCTTAGTGTTGGGCAGCGTGGGTGAAAATGAAATCCATATAGGTTGCTTATTGAAAAATTGAAGTTTTCTTGAAATGAACAAATAATGCCACCCTAATTGTGTAAATTAAAGCTGGTAGGTGTTTGTATAGTTCCTTACAATCTTAATGCGGATACCTACCTACTTGTTATCAGTCTCCTCATTTTGGTTACCTTACCATTGTTATTACCGCTATATTATCCATTATGAAGTTTTAAATGCATTGTAAGGGATAGATAATTGAAACAATTTGCTTATTTATACAGTATTTTAATGCGCAAAAATACTTAAAAAACAAAAAAGATGTACATAATAGTAACAGTGAATAAATTATAACGTTTCTTTGGGCGTATCAGGCGCATACCAATCAACAACACTGGAATCAAACCAAACATATTGCCCTTTTAAGTTATGTCCGCCTAAAGCCAAAAAAAGTGGGGCTGAGGCGCCTTGCTCCACAGTTAGAATACCCTTATGACTTGACATGTCAGTGTCAACGTATCCGGGATGAACATGATTAACTGAAATATTTCTATTATCCTTGTCAAGTAATCTTTGTTGGATAATGGTTAGAGCGCTGAAACCAACTTTGGATACAGCATACGTAGAACTTCCCCAACCAATTTCGACGTGTTTATCATTCTTGGCATCCCTAAAAAAGGTTTAAGATCACTTTACAACGACAAAGTGTATGTTTACCGTATAAATTGATTCATTAGTTCATTCAGCTGGTCTATCGTTAAATTTGGGTCACTTAGTTTACTTCGAAGCTCTACAGATGAAATTTTAGATAAATGTCCAAGGGAACTGGAAACGTTTACTACTTGCGCGTGGGGGCGTAATATAGAAAACAAAATTTCACATGCACGCAGAGTGTTAAAATAGTTGGTTTTAAGTGTAACCTCGGCTTGAATTCCAAATGGGTCCGTAGCATTATTCTGTGTAGATCAAATGTAAACTTTGTGAAATGGAAAGTTTCAAATTACTTTAAAGGCAATTCCGGCATTGTTAATCAAAATGTCAATTCCTCCCTCTTTGGTTTTGACGTAGTCACGAAATGATGTAACACTTTCTTCATTATCGATATCAAGTTGATGAAAATATGGATTGAAACCCAACGATTTCAGTTCGTTCACTGCCGCTTGCCCACGCCCCACATCCCTGGAGGTCAAGTAAACTTTCCCATCAAATTTCTCGCAAAGGCCTTTTACAATTGCAAGTCCAATTCCTTTGTTTGATCCTGTTACCTAGAATGGCTCCCCTAGTATATACTATACACCTCAATTAATACGATCTTACCACTGCAACCTTAGAGGACATCGTTTCCGTTTAGGTAACTATCAAGTTCTGTAAAATACTGAGGGGTCCAAAGTTAAACAAGTATTAGATAAGATAATTTAACTTTCACTTAAATCTATATTTAACTAAAAATGTGCATAATCAGGTTGAATGATTTAAATAAATAAATATAAACCTCCTGCCTGTGTGGCGTGGAAGCGCGACTGCCGCGGTACTAAAGTGTCCCTGGTTCGAATCTGGGTTCGGGAATGGATATTTGTAAATGTATAGTGGGTTGGGTTGGTAGAGCAGTCTTGGCTGAAACCCCGTCCACTCAATAATAAGAAACAAAAAATAAAATAAAATAAATAAATACAAAATTGTAAATGTATAGTGAGTTGTTTTAGACGGGGTGAGAGGGGGAGAGTTTACCTAAATGGTAATTTGGTGACATCACATGGGTTTGCTGAAAAATCTCGAGCGGTGCAGTTCTACCACTAGTTACCCCGTGAAGTTGCATCTCAAAAATGGACGGATCGCAAACGAAGGAATGTACGTGGTCCTGACTTAAAATTGATGTATTTAAAAAGAACAATAGAAATCACGTAGGTATCGCGTTTATATTTAGTATTGATTTATCGGGAAGAGGGCCATACCAATTGACGACACTGGAATCAAACCAAACACACTGTCCTTTTAGGTGATGGCCACCTAATGCGAGAAGAAGTGGAGCTGAGGCGCCTTGCTCTACAGTTAGAAAACCCTTATGACTTGTCATGTCAGTATCAACGTATCCGGGATGAACATGATTAACCGAAATATTTCTATTATCCCTTTGGAGTATACTTTGTTGGATAATGCTGAGAGCGCTCACGCCAGCTTTTGATACAGCATACGAAGAAGCTCCCCAACCGTTTTCGATGTGTTTATTATTCTTCGCATCCCTAAAAAAAGATTATTTCACGATAATAAAGTGTGGTTTACCGTATAAATTGATTCATTAGCTCATTCAGCTGGCCTATCGTTAAAGAAGGGTCGCTTAGTTTACCTCGAAGCTCTGCAGATGGAATTTGGGATAAATGTCCAAGGGCACTGGTAAGATTTACCACTTGCGCATTGGGGCGTAATAGTGGAAACAAAATTTCACATGCACGCAGCGTGTTAAAATAATTGGTTGCAAGTGTAACCTCTGCTCGAATTCCAAATGAATCCGTAGTATCATCCTGTAGGTATACATGAAATTAAGGTTTATTAAATGGAAGAGATCTAAATCACCTGAAAGGCAATTGCGGCATTGTTAACTAAAACATCAATTCCTCCTTCGTGAGCTTTGATGTGGTTTCGAAATGTTTTGACACTTTCTTCATTGTCGATATCAAGTTGATGAAAAGACGGGTTGAGATCCAATGATTTCAGTTCATTCACTGCTGTTTGCCCACGTCCCTCATGTCTGGAGGTCAAATACACCCTCCCATCAAATTTTTCGCAAAGTCCTTTTACAATTCCGAATCCAATTCCTTTATTTGATCCTGTTACCTGTTAATTGCTCTTCTGGAATATGCTACGTATAAATTATAAAATCTTACCACCGCAATTTTAGAAGGCATCGTTTCCTTTAAGTTATTAGACTAACTGTTAAATCGTGCCAGTTACCAACCGCAATGGGCGATAGATAAGATAACATACTTTCAACATTCACTTATATTAATAATATTATTGCTTAAACTCGTTTAAGCGATACAAACTAAAATGAATCAATATTAAACATCGAGAGTGCGTAGGCAGGTTCACTTCTACCACACACCAAGTGAGATTACACTGGTGAGTCCTGACAAAGTAGCGAAGTTGTTGGAACCTTTAAATTTAATATTGTAGGTATTGTATAAGAAGTGGTTGGGGCAGATATAAAGAGCGATGTAAGGCGATGCATAAGATCCTTTTGCTTCATATGACATTGACCGTACACGCAAAGATACATTTCTAAAAATTTCTAAATTTGAAAGTTAATTAAAAAACCCTGTTTGTTCAACAGTTAATCATTTGAATGCCATTTCCCTTAATGCCACACTTGGCACTGTATTGTTTGTATGAAACTCAAAAGTCACATTAACATACACTAAGAGCCATTTGGTTGAACGTTTATGGGTAGATAAAATATAAGTCACAATGAAAGTTAGTTCAATTATTGAAATTTTACCGCAGGGTCACCCTGACGTTAAAGAATTGGATCTAAGAAAGCATTTTACGATGGTTTTCCATAAAGGAAGAGGTTAATTTCTTTCCATTTAGTGTCAGAAGACTCTTGATCTGGTTATACCTACATCCTGTTGGCTGGTGACCTCCTAAGAAAATTTCCTGACTACAGTCGATTCACTAACCTCTTTTATTTCTGTACAAAGGATTACGAAAGTAGCAACAAATATACATCTTGGCTTACTCCAAGATTGCTTCGTTTGTTCCCTATCCATTTAGCTAATCCTCATTAACCTTCTATAGTACCACATTTCGAATACTTTGATCCTATTTTTGTCTTTTACAATAGCCTATCCAATTCCTTTGTTTGAAACGGTCGCGTAGTTCTGGTCTTTTTATAGAATTATTTAAATAAAATATTACTGCAATATTATCGGATAAGGTGACTAAAGTAAATAGGTTGGGAGAGATATATTTTAATGATAGCCTTGGGCAAGAGGTTTTATCATTTTTTTACCCACAGTTTATATATGAGCAAGTGAAGGTTATCGTTCTCACCCATTGTTGTGCATTCTCCTTGTGGTATGTTATTTATTTAGTTGCATCTGTTGTTCGTATTGTTTGTGAAACCATCCTCCCTGGGAAGTATGCAAAACGAACGGGTTGCAGTGGTAAGGCATATAAACCTCTGTTTTTGAGGGGTGCAAAATTGAACCTAGCTCTTTCCCATACCGTCATTGTTGTCCTAGAGTTTGCATTTTTTTAAACCATAACTACTTCTACTAACGTGAGTTTTATTTGGAAAGCTTTCTAGGACTTTGACAGTACTTTATAGCGGCATCTAGTTCTGGAAAGTGTACCTAAACAATGCTCTCCAAATCTTCGGGAATTGTCCAAGGAATCCCTGGAAAGCACTTACTGTAATTTTGAAAGGCTTCTAAACGCTTTCCAGAGTTTTATAAGTGCTGCCCTTAACAATGGCAGAATTTCTTGAGCAATCAAATGCTCTCCGGAAGCCCCTCCCTAGTTGTTTTTCAGGGCTGTTTATAGAAAAATGATCTCTCATTTTACGTACCTTCCTCCATCCGCTGTGCATTTTGTATTTTAAAACTTGTTTAATTTATTTTACCCATTTCTTAACTTCTTAAAGACTTTTGTTGATGAACTACAAACCAATACATCAAACGGCTGAGTGAGGCATCAAAATTTTCTCCTATCGCAATTACAAAATTCAAAATGGGCACTTCATTTAACACGCTATTTAGGTTACAGGAGGTAACAAAGGTATCGGATATGGCATCGTCCAAGGACTTTGTGAAAAGTTTAACGGAAGGGTATACCTAACATGCAGAGACGAGAAGCGTGGAAATGATTCAGTAAATCAGTTAAGGCAAATGGGTTTTAATCCACTGTTCCATCAACTTGACATAAACGACGAGAAAAGTGTCCAGAGGTTTAGAGATCATATTAAGACAGTAGAGGGAGGAATTGATGTGTTGGTTAACAACGCTGGTATCGCATTTATGGTGAGTATGTTTTTTTAATACTAATTAATAATAAAGTTACAAATATCAGTGAAATATCAGAGTAATCTTGTGAAGTAAGATTACTCGACTTGGGTAATATACAGGGTGTTTTACAATGGATGGGTTAAGACTTTTCGAGCGTATTTGTACTTAATTTGTATGGGACGTGTACTTCAAAGTATATAAGGAATGGTAATTCAGATAGTTATTTGGGTAATAGCAAATTATGGTAACAGTCAGTGAAACCTCAATTGTAAATTATAATGAGTTTCTCGTCATTTATTGAAGATAATTTATTAATTAAAATACTTATGCATTTTCATGCATAGGTATATTATATTTGTTATTATGTGCTAACATTCATATATTGTTACTAACAATTCAAAATATTTTACAGAGTAACTCACCAGATTTAAAAGGAATTGAAGCAGAAGCTACAATTGTCACAAACTTCTTTGGAACACCCTTGGACATTTAAGTTGGATTCCATCTCCTAACCTGAGATCAAAACTAAGTGATCCAACACTAACAGTAGCCGAGTTGAGCGAGTTAATGAATCATTTTATAAGGTAATGTAGGTAACTTAATTGTTTATGGCGTTTATTTGAACGTCGAGTCCGACAATACGATTTTATTCGTTCCAGTTAAAAGATACCATACCATACAAATTGATTTAGTGCCATTGGTGTGGTTTTGTATATTTGTGCCATTCTTATATTCTATAATATTGTACTTAAGAATATAATCCTGGTGTTGTTCTTGTTACAGAGCGGCCAAAAATAACGAACACGTAGCACAGGGATGGGGTGAATCGTCGTACATCGCGTCCAAAGTTGGTATATGTGCCCTTACCATTATTCAATAAAGAGAATTTGAGAAGCAAAACCGAAATATCTGTGTGAACTCTGTGCATCCTGGATATGTTGATACAGACATGACACAACACGTAGGTCCATTAAAAATTGAGCACGGTGTAATAGCTCCACTCCATCTAGCTTTAGGGGCGCACAAATTGAAAGGACAATTTTTGTGGTTTGATTCTAGTGTTGTAGATTGGCGCTCATCGCAACGTCCAAAAGAAGAATATCCCAATTTTTCTTTTTCACAGTGTACTAGTTATGTTTTATAGGTCGTTTACTTAATAGTATATTAAGATACAAGTGTATAATCAAGTCTTTAAAGCACGCGCAACGAGTTTAAGGGCACGACGCAAAGCGGAGTGCCTTTAACGTTGCAAGTGCTTTAAAGACAAATTATACACGTGTATCTTATAGTATTTTTTATTATACCTGCAGTATAATTTAAAAATAGGAAATACAATGAAATCATATTGACGTTATACTCGAATACATGTCTAATTAAGTGGGCTGAGTGTTTGTAATTTCACGATTGCCATGGAAATGTCACTTGACGTTTGCTTATAAAAATCATCGTCTTTGTGAATTAAACGATTTCCGTTGAAAAAGATAATACACCGTCCATTAAATCGATTGTTGTAAAATCTAAACAAACGTTGGTAGGTGTAAAATCCAAATCCAGTAAAGCCTATTATAAAGAATATGAAAAGTTGTTTCCATAGATGGAATAGGAAGTTACTTACGAATAAAGTCTTAAATGCATCCGCTGGCATATATGAAGGAAATGTCAAAGGTATTTAAATCTTCTATATTTTGGTGCATTCATTCAAAACTTTAAAGCAATGCTGCGGTTAAAAAGTGGAACAGATTTGGAAGCATACCCTAAATTACGCGCGTTTGTGAAAGCTTCAACCAAAGGATAGGTACACAAGCCAAAGCAATGATCTGCATTTACAGAAAGCGACACCTAAGAGGATTTTTTATTTCATCCAGATGACAGTGTCAAAAGTCATACTTGAAGTATTGTTACTTAGCAACTTTAAAGCACGTGTGTTTTAAAGGCCCTTTTTCGCACGCATTTGAGTGTTTAAAACGGAGATTGTGATTCAGGTATAATAAAAAATATATTATTTCAAACATTTCTGCAGCCCTTTTATTGAATTTTAGGTTCCAAAAAACCCGATTGAAACTTAGATTCATCGTAATCTGGATGTGAGCTATCTTTATAAAAAGGACCGACTATGGTGGTTCTATGTATGATCTACGTTAAACAAATATAGTAATACTACCACGGGAAGGGGCGCGAGAAGATGACAGACTATATGGTGGTTCTATCTATCCTATGTATGCTAAACAAAGTAAGTAATACTAAGGAGTAACCATAATTAATACTACCACGCTTGTAGTAACGTCGCGCCTTTTCCAGGAAGTATAGAGTTCAATGCGCTAGGTGAAGTTCAAGATACTTCTGATCTTCTTCACTTAGTGGTTGTCCCTCCATCCTGGGTTTATCGCTTGTACCAATTTAATACATGTGTACCTTCAAGTTTCCTCGTACCGTGGAGGCACCCATCGGGCGCGTCCCCGGGCGGCGGATAGGGGGACGCCCACACAGACACCTGAATGATAGTAAAGTGACTCGTATTTCGGTGTGGGTAGTGACGATTATATGTGACTCGTCGGGGATGAAACCCACACAGGTAGCGTCGAAGGTCGTCGTCGGGGACCAACCTCCTAAGTCAAGGTGTTAGCGACCGTGCCGCGTGGCACTTGAGTGCAAGTGTCGATAACAGTGCCCTAGGATACCGGGCGACCTTCTAGTGAAGCATTCCAGTGTCTGGTTCAAGGCAACACGAAAAGAAGCCCAGAGGTTCTGGAGCACCCAAAGTTGCGCGTGTACCACGAACCTATGGGCCAGTCGCTGCGGCGAGGCCAAATCTGGGTCTTCTAATAAGCTTCTAAAACTGAATAGAAGCCAGAATAAGAAGGAGATCACCGGTGTCCTTACGGTGCACTGGATGGCCAAACGATCTGCTTTTATGCGCTTTCGACTATTCAAGAAAAAAAAACACTTCGGTGGAGTTCCAACTATTCATTATAATATTTTACAGTAAAATACACATTTACTAAACCAATATTGATAGTTGGTGTTTCAGGTCTTTCCCGGAACTGTTTTAATCCGGAACGTGATCGCCTAAAGATTGCGTGTAGAGGAGGAGCGCTCCAGAACTAATTATAATTGCAAAAACCTGTAAATGATAGGGTTATTTACGTTCATTCACAGAGAAAAAATGCTTTCGTCATCGTCCTTCCATTTAAACGAGCTATTCACAAACAAACATTTATTAAAATATTTATTAAGAAAGTGTTAAATGTCATTGACATAATTAAATAAAAAAATTTTCACTTTGCAATACTTCTCGTCATGAAATAAATAACACACAAAACTTCTTAAGTAAGCCTATAAATTAAATATGATCACACTAACATTCTAAATATGTACAAAATGGGTAGTCACAAGAAGAACTAGAAATGCGCAATCACACATCACGTTGAGCTAAGTCTTTACAGTACTTTAATCACAATTTAATTACATTCCCAACTGATTATTCCGACTGGATTTTATGCATTTACCTCTGTAGCATATTTCGGTTTCGTGTGATATTTCAGTCGCCGTGGAGGTTTTGACGTCCCAAATTTGGGGTTGCGTGCTTTCCGTTTGAGGATATGTAGTTGGTGGTAGCGTTGTAGCAGGTTCTGTTGAGCTCTCCTGTTTTTGCTCGACTAGTACCGTTGTGGATTCGGTTACGTTTTGGGTGGTTGGTAAGGTGGTGGTTAGTTGAATTTCTACAGGTGGTAATTCAGTACTTGTCACCCCTACATCCTGAGTAGTTTGAGGTTCGGTAGTGGTGGGTTTAGTAGTTGACTCAACAGTTTCTTCATAGGGGCCCACCGAGTCGAACATTTTATAAAACGAATCCAAGAAGCTTTCTTCCGGCGTAGCTAATATGAAGGGGGTAGTTCGTACTTCTACAGGAGTAGCAGTAGTTTCTACCTCTACAGGTTTCGTGTTGGATTCTGTTGAAACAAGTTTATCTACGTCATACACTTTCTCTTTGCCATCGCTGTTAAAGGGAAGAGTGTTAGCACTAATTTTTCCTACGTATTGAGATTCAGCTGTTTCAAAAGATTCAACCGGACGTTTCACTAGCCTCCAAACGCCTCGCCTGCGCCCTTTCGGTTTATGATTATAAATCCCATCATGTTCTTGGTAGGCATCAGGTTTGTTTGTGACACTCTCGTTTTCATCCTGAATTTTATCAAGCTCGCTTAGTATATCGTCCATTAGAGATTTACCATCGTTCACTTCGGTGCTCTCGTTTTCTGAAACAGCCGGAATGGGCACGGGCTGCTCCTGGGATTCAATAACTTTCCGATCGATTATCAAATCGTTTACAATTCTAGTTCCATTTGAGTTGGTTATTACGAATTTCGGTCTATGTATTGAAGAATACGGAATCTGATCCTCATCGATCGACGATTCCTCAACAATAGGCTCGATAGTTATTTGAAAAGACGGTCTCTCGGTGCTTTTGGGAAATAATTTTGGATAATTGCCTCCTTCGACTTCTTCGTCTTCCGATTGGTTATGGTCTCTGATTTTGGGTGAAACGAAGTGAGATCGTCCTCGGGTGCGAATGCGCACTTCACTTGGAGGAGTGGTAGACTGCTGACGACCGTCTTCTGTAACTTTCCGAGAGGGCACTCGAACTCTGGTACGAAATTTCGGGCGGGTAGGTTTAGACGTTGGAACTTCGGTGGTGGTTCTCTCCGTCGTGGGAGTATATTTCGTTATCAATTCACCTACGAATGTAGGAGAGGAAGGGATTAAGTTATTAGTGGAGTAAATATCGACGTTATTTGAGTTTTCCACTGGTTGGTCGTCGTAGATTACAGAGTTGCTTGATATGTAAGTTGGTCGCCGTGTAACAATCCCGTGTGTAGGGGAGTAGAATGACACTTGAGGCGAATTGAAATTAGGTGGTCTGAAGAAACCATAAAACTCTTGCGGTTCTTCTTTAGCGGTTGTTGTGGTCGTCGATGGTGTAGTAGTAGAAGTAGTTGTAGACCTTATCCTTGATCTTACACGTCCTTTCGCATTTATGCGAACATACGAAGGCGTTGTGGTTTCTTGAGCTTGCTGCGTTACAATATTGCTGGTGTCTATATTCGAACTAAACCTTACGTAGTGCGAATCCCCTTCGGGTTCTGAAATAATCACAGGTTCTACTGGATGCTTTATAATGACATCAACATTCATTTGGTTTTGTTGTGGCTCGGGTTTAGAGATGATTACGGGCGCTTCAGTAGATCCGTGAGTTGGAATAATTTGGTGTTCAAATTGCATATAGGAGTGTGGTTGAACTGGGGATGCTTCAAAACCTGATATGAGTTCAGGTTGATTAAAAGCCCTCTCTGTCAAATTAGGAGTTTCAGGTGGAGGTGCTGGCGTAGTGCGCCCTCTTGTTCGTATTCTCTGACGACTGGTCGATCTTTGAGTTGGTTCGGGGGTATGATAATATTCTTCTGAATATCCTCCTTTCACACGGCTGGCTCTGGTTGGAGAATACTCTGGGTATTCCTCTTGGTAATTGACGGTGGTAGTGCGGATATTTAATGGACGGCGAGTTCTAGGTTGCTGAGTTCTTCGAGAAGGCGTAGCATACGTAGTTGTGCTCACCTTCGCTCGCTGACGCCCTCTTTGTCTTTGGCGGTATGCTGTTGTGGTAGACGTTGGCTGGGTCGTGGTGTGAATGACGGGGGTCGTCGTTATATATGGTGGCTCAGTTGACGACGAATGAAAGATGGGTTGCTGGCCACTACTTGTGTCATGTGTAGGCGCTATTAACGCGGGCACTAGCAGTGGACGAATTGATTGATCTTGTAGGTTATTTATTAATGAGTGAATTTCTGGATGAATTGTGGGAAGTTCGGGAGGTAACCTAAAATCTTCTTGAGCTTGATCTTCTGTGACACTATCAAGGATCACATTCTGCTGAGGCGGACTAACTCTTTGCCTAGGTCTAAAGTTATATTCCGGGTGAGATTGTATAGTAGGTGCTGACGTAAATGATTGCAGTTGCCTGTTGACTTCAGTTGTAGAGAAGGCTGTATCAGGGATCACATTCGGCTGAGGCGGACTAACTCTTTGCCTAGGTCTAAAACTGTATTCCGGTTGAGATTGTATAGTAGGTACTGACGTAAATGATTGTTTTTGCCTGTTGACTTCAGTCGTAGAGGAGGGTGTATCCTGAACTTGTACGTCTTGAACCAAAGGCTGTTGTGATAATTTGTGAGAAATATGGTGGTTACTTTTCATTGGAACATATTCGCCTTCTTCGTTTAATTGGAGATACGAAGGTTCGAGTAAAGGACCGTTAATAATTTCCATCGGTTTGACTTGTTTTTTGTTTTGAAAGATTTCTTGGTGGTTTTGTTGATATTGGTCGAAATTATTTTGAGCTATGTGATCTCGAAATTCGACATATTTGTTGTTATCGATAGGGCGTACCTGTGACAACGATGAACCATCGGTTTTCTCTTTTGGCGCGGAAACAAAACTTTCGGAATGAGTAGGTATGCTCCTAGTTGGTGCAGGTGGTGTATCCAAACTGATTTCTGAAGTGGTTCTGGGTGGCGACCTTGAACTTTGACGGAAATCTTGTACATAATCATTTCCAAACGCGTTGCTTGAAAATGTTGCATAATGACTTGCTCTTGTAGGAACTGCAGATTTGAGTCGTTCGCTCTCTGGTAGAGGTGCGAATTGGTGCGTTGCAATCGGTTGCGATGTAGCCACAAAACGATTGTTTTGGTACTGTTGAAACCTCGTCGTATCTGCTTCCTTAGGGATATTTTGAAGTAAATGCGTTTGCGGAACCGCAGAGGCAGTAGTATGACTAAATTCTGGTTGCGCCTGGAAATTGTTTGAATCTTCGTATTCATGGGCTCCAGCTTCCTGCTGAAACTCAGCCTGCGGCTGGAATTGATGGTTAATTTGCGCCAGTTCGTATTCGTTTATGGTTTGCTTCAAAAATGATGGTGAAGCTGTAGAATGGGTCGGATTAAATCTATGGATTGGTCCGTTGTCGACAGGATTCAAAAATTGATTAACATCGGAAGACCCAATGAACGTTGGGTCTTGGCTTCTGTCTTGATCCTTTTGCGAAACGACAACTGATCCAACATGCGGTGCAGGTAAAGGTATTTTCGAGTATCCCGTTGGAGCCTTGTAGCTTACCGGGGCGACAAAAAATGGAAGTTGATCGACTTTTCGTTCTATACGGTTAGAACCCAACGAACTCAAGTATGGTAGATCAAACTTCACGTAACCGTCGGGTGCTTCTAAATTGTGCGGGCCTACAAAAACTTGTGGAGAATTGGGACCGACCGCATCTTGTACGGAAATTGTTTTCGCATTCTTCAAAAGATTTAGCACGTCGGATACTGTGACATCACCATGACCACCCATATACACAGCAAGTGGTGGCTGGTGGGGCTTTGGTTTCTTTGTGCTCGGTTCTGTTATGATCGGAACTGGTGTTGTTGTAGTGGTGGTCGGTAACGGTATCCTTTGCTGAACCACTGTGGGAAGTTGTCCCCGTTGCAATTGAAGTTGCAAATTTAAAGCATCAAGCGCTTGTTGCGCAAAATCATGTTGAATCGACAACAGTTGTTGTTGTTTATGTGCCTGCTCATGACTGAGTTCGGTTTGCCGATTTTGGAAATTGTTATTTAGCAGTGTCGGCGGCTGTTGCGCTTGCAAAGTTGGCAACTGGCGGAAATCTTGTGTCGGATTAAATTGAGCCGGCTGGAATGGAACCTCCTGTTTCACCGTCTGACTTTGGGACGGTAGAATTCGTTTATTTAAACTGTCGACTGGCACATACAAAAGTTGGACGGAGTCTCCACTGGGTTTAGGTGAAGTGTTTCTCACGGGAACTTCTCTAAAATTAGTATTGCTGCTCGTTACAATATCCGGAGACAGCGCTTGGTTAATTATTTCTGGATTCAGTGATTGAAACGAATTCGGTTTAGTATAATTCAGAGCATTCTGCTCTTGAAATGCAAAGTTCGAGTTTAGGCGAGTTTGCTCCGGCGGAAACAATAGTGGATTCTTCAACAGTGGCGGATGAGGAAATTGATTCCTATAAGCGAACGGTGGATTTTCAGGTGGGAAAATGAACTGCGAAGGGAATTGTTGAAAGAGCAAGTGAGGTTGTCGCTGCTGTTCAAAGTTGGCTGGCGCGAAGAACTGATTCAGTATCTCCCCTTCATTTAGCTGGGTTTGAAAGTTTGGTTTCGATTGAAAACTTTGTTGCCGAAATTCTGGCTGGCGTTGAAACGGTTTGTTAATTGCAGGCGGAGATACTTCGCGTAAGTATTGATCGTTGTTCGACTTCTTCGTTCGCACCACATGTTCTTCGGGAAAGAATTTGTCGCGAACAGGTTCGTGAAGGTTTAGAACCCGGCCTGTGGGTTTCTGTTCGATGACAGCGTCTTTGGTCGAACATGAAGGACACTTATTGGCGATTGGTACCCAGTCGTTTGTGTCGTAAGCGTTCTGTGATTTAGCCGTAAGCAAAAAGGTTGCAAAGAACACACATCTAAAAATGTCCTCCTTAGGAATCTGCAAAAAAACCTCAATTAGACATATAGTATGCGTGGGAGATATTATGTAAGGTATTGAAACGGCTACCAAATGACATGCCTAGGTACTCGTATTTGTTACCTTCTGGCATTTAGTTTATTTAAAAAGAGAGAAAGTGGGTTAAATCAAACGAGACTGTTGCAGTTCTTTTTTAATTTTACGTAAGGGCAATGATCGCGTCCTAAGTTACTGAGAGCGATGCCACATATTCCGATACCTACTTACCAATCTGAAGTAAATACTTAAGCAATGAAGACATGGATCAAAATGGGTAAATGACTTGATTTCCTAGTTTGTTAGTGACATAACGACGATATCTAATATCCACAAGACTGAACATTAATTACAATCATTGCTTGATTAAATGACTGAATTTAAAGCGTAACGCAAGTAGGTTAAGGAAATGTACTCGCTTTAACGAAAAGGTTGAGTGACCAAAGTGATTGTATGTTTACCTACAGAGAATATGCTTATTTAAAATGTTGTGATCTATTAAATAATTCAAATTCGATACGATTGCAATTACTTTCTTTAGATTATTTCTAATATGGAACTCCAGCGAAACGGTTCATTGACTACCTATGTTACCGAATATTTCATTTCTATACCTTTTTATATAAAGGAGTTCCTCAAGGTTTAGTATTTGGCACACTTATGCGATATGCTTGGATTATGCTGCGACAACATTAACTGATAAATAAATGCCCCGGTTCCCAAATGTTTCGCAATCACGCTCTTTAACATAACTATAATAAATAAAAAGATGATCTTCTGCATAAGTTCTAAAAACCTAAACTGATTTTAAAAAGGGCTCAGAAGTAGTTATACACAATAACTTTTAAGTGAGTTCCAATGAACAGAACCAATTTAAAAAAGATCATTTCAAGAGGATATAATTTTAAGAGTAGCTTAACATTCAAAAATTGGTATTTTTAAAAAACCTTGGGGCTTTTAGGCACATATTTTCCACATTATGCTGAAAAAGGATTAAGAACCAAGGGAGAGGGGGGCTTCATAGGTGTTCAAGGGTCAAAACTATTCAGTATTCAATTATAGATATCTATAAAATTCTCTGATTTACCTATCAAAAAGGCAAGGTCCTCTACCTGTCTGCCAATTGCCAGGATTGGAAATGCCTTCCTCCAACTGCCATCTCCTACACAGATCTCCTAACGAGATGAGCTATATAATTTTTCATCTCGAGAGCTTGATGTTTGAACAAAAGTAAAGTGGAACATTACCTGACAGTTTCAGGGCCTTCTGCATTACCACTGGTACGACAAAAGTACCAGGGTGCTGCGAAAAAGGTGCGACCTTTAGTTACTGTAATGTAACACGTTATAATTTCGAATATACTGAAATAGAGTATTGTACCAGCATGACACGCACAGTCTATTTCGTAATGAAATTTATGCAAAAATTTCACCCCGCCACCTTTATGGTGTACCATGAAATTTTCAATAAAAACAAGAAACTTTCAAGTCCAAGGTGAGTTACTTTCATACTCTGTTCTGATGCATCTTAATGATCAGAGGTTAAACTTTCTCCAAATCCGCCGGCCGGCGACAGGTGTACCTTAAATATTAAACACACCTTTAAAAGTAAGCGACATAATTATTACACCCATTGCTGTAGTTACGTAGGTAACCATTGAGCATCCGCCTTTCTGGTGAAACGCAATTTAATTGCTTTAATTTTTAATTAATCGTAAACCGTAACGTAAACGTTGGATGTTTAGCAATAATGAAAGTGTGCATCCTGAATGGAATCTAATTGGCTATTATCTTATGGGGTACTGTGTCATACGCATGAAAAGTTTTTCTGCCACGATTTGCTCTTCATGCCGCTTGACGATATTTTCTGAATCGCAATTTCATGGTCTATTTGCGATGCCTAGTGAAAGACGGAACGAGCGGTGGGACATCGGTGTCTTAAAGTCTTGCTATGAAAGTCACGTAATTTATTATTGCTTTTCTTTTTAGTCTTTTGTGTCTTTTACAACGTCGCTTCCCTTGATTTCCATTTACAATAAAATGTATTGTTGGAGTACTTACTATACCTACCTACCTAATTAACCTTTTTTAAAGCAAAAAGACTTTTAGGACAAAAAATCAGATCGAGTCCGTATTAGTAGAGAATAAATACAACGCAAGCATTTTAGATAGTAGAATGTGTAGAAGCTTGGATACCAACTGTAAGCATAATTTAGTGATGGTCAAAACTAAGCAAATAGGAAATAAAAACGACAGTATAGAGTTGATTTGCTGCAGAAAGAGGTGATATAATCGATTATGTCTTCGATTATGTTAAGATAAACACGAATTCAGTGCTATCAATAGAAAAGGAGTGGGGAGAGCTAGAAACCATGGTGGTTGAAGCAGAGAATATTTGGTTGTGCAGCTCAGACGCTAAAAGTGAGGAAAATGATTTAAGGCTGAGATGGGATGACTCAACACCGACCAAACCGTCGACGAAGAAAGGCAGACCACACAGGCCCAACCAAAGGCGGGTGTCAGTAAGGCTGGAGCACCGCGCAATCGTAGCTACAAACAAGTTGCCGACATACCAAGTAGCGATCATAAATACCAATAACCCTCTAGGTAACTTAACGGCTAACCAGGCGGATATGGTACAAAATCACCTGGCCAAGCTTCTTGACCAGCAACTGTCTGCCCTAAAAGGCGCTACACTAACACCCACGTTCAGGGGTTGGAGGTACTCGTGCGACATCCTAAGAGAGAGTACCCTTTCGGAAGACGCCTGTCGGGTCCTGCCGACTTACACGACAATGGAGATCTTACCAACTCCATTGTCATTTAAGCAGGCATTCTCTCTGAGGACTGCCAAGACGCCCTACCACCATCCCCGGTGGAGCAGGGCGCTCAAAAAGTAGAGAACTCACTTGACCAAACTGTTCAATAAGACAAAGAGAGCAAAGCTATAGCCGTTTGAGCGGCTTATAAGAGCTACATAAGACGGACAGCCGAGGGACTGAAAGACGCCCATTTTGTCGGAACCACCACAGCGCCATACCCCAACTGACCAGAGGTTACCTCTTTCATCCCCACGGAGAATGACTGGGAGGTGAAATCAGCATACAACTCACCAGGATTGGACGTCATAATACCAGCTCCTCTGGGGACTGGATGTTATTGTCATATACCTAGTGAGAATATATACGGGCGATAGATACATAAGGGATACGGCGCTAACGCGGGTTCCGCTGCACCCTAACCAACACTCCTCCCCAGGAAGATCTGAGTCAGTCCTGCACTGCGTTATAGGGTGGATTGAGAGATCGCTGGACTATAAACAGTCCACACTGGGAGTCCCTACCTATTCATAGATACAGAAGGAGCTCTTGGCAAAACAATCTTCGATACAATAAAAATGGCTTTACGGCCACCACGGCGTGACGGAAGTCGTACGAGGCTGGATTGCGCAGCTGCTGAATTTCAGAGCAGTGCACATCAACATTAGCGACGAAATACTAAGGTGCACAGTAGTGAGAGGATCACCTCAAGATAGGGTGCTATCACCAATTCTGTGGAACTTGACTTCCTTCCTCTGTCACCTCCATGGCAGTGGCTACTATACGCCGGGGTAGGCGGAAGATATATCCATACTAATAACGCACAAATTTGAGGCTACTCTATGAAGACGTAGTTACCTCTTAGAGTAACCGAAGAATGATATCAACCCGATAAAAACGGAGCTAGTTCTCTTCACTCGAACTCCCCAATTATTCCAGAAACACCTCCAATTTTGAGAGTCACATAAATATCTAGGAATCACACTTGACAAAAAACTGAATTGAAGTAAACATGTTCCGCTCAAATCGAAGAAGCAAATAGGACTTTTGCCCCTCAATAGGGAGAGTTTGGGGAGCATCCCCGAAGGCTGTCTTATGGTTGTACACGGCCGTGATAAGACCTATGCTATGCTACAGAGCATTTGTTTGGTGGCCTAACACTTTATAGTGTTAAGAGTCATTAAAGAGCACTTATTAAGCCATTCATGATATAATATTACTGCATATGTTGCAAAGCCCGAAAACGGCCAATGGTCGTTGTTTTTGCTCAGACTTAGGATTGGACTATTTAAAAAAGCTCGAATTCTGATTCAATATCGGACTTTGGCCTTCCTGAAGCAGCCAAACCTAAGATTGAGTAATTAGGAAATAACCTAAGCTAACACACATTTTTAGTGACTCAATAAAAATTCAGTAACACTCAAAATCTTTGAGGAGGCAACCCATAAATGACGTAACGCACTTATTTCGAAATTTTTCTTTTTTATGTACAAAATTTTTTATTTTGATTTCATTCAAAAATTTTATTTTAGCTTCGATCATATCAGCAAGTTCATTTATGACTGTGCGGCGGTGAACCCTGTTCCATTGTCACATTGGATGTAAGGAGCACCTATTATACAAAAAATGTCTAAAAGATTGTAAGGTACTTCCGTAACTCTTTTAAATTTCACGTTTCTACGTTTTTTTACGTCCCCGATGGTTAAAATGTCACCTCACACTGACACTGGAACCGAATTTATTAAACTTTGATCGTTTCATATTTGCACAATCCTAGGTTTGGCTGTCTGGAAACGATCGAAGTCCGAAATTGAAAGGAAATTCGGGCTTTGGTCGTTTTAAATAGCCCAATCCTAAGATTGAGCAAAAAAAACGACCATTGGCCGTTTTCGGGCTTTGCGCCCAACACATATACACCTACGCCCTGGTGAACTATACAATAATTTTAATGTTATTTATTTAACATAATTGTTTGTTTATATTACTTTCGGATATATGTATCCTTGACATGTTAAAACAGAGCCTATACTAGTAGTTTTAAGGTTGGTATCTGGTCGCTCTAATTTAAAATTGTAAACTGTGATTATGTATTATTCAGTTTTTGCTACCTGGTTTGCTTATTTTATTTTTTTAACTTTTTAAACCGTTGAAATTGTGTATTATCTTA